ATGTTGTTTTTTCTGGCCAAACTAGAATATTTACAGGCTGCTGAAATATATTAAAATATTTCTGACAGTGGCATAAAGCACGCACAAACTTTGAACATGTACCGCCATGATTCCTAATACAAGCAGGATGTACTGAGCCGATTGCTGTACTTCCAGGCAATGGAGAGAAGACGCGGATGTTCAACAACAAGGGCTCAAGCTCAGAAACAACAGAAATTCATGTGGACCAGAGTTGTGTTGGAAGAATAATTGGTATGGTTGCGTCACTGACCTCATGTCTACATTTTTATGAGATAGGTTCACTGTCATCAGTATTGATGTAAGATGAAGTGAACTATCATAACATGTACAATGTAGTTGATGCTGATGCAAGAGCATCCATGAAAACAACCAACCCTCAATGAAACCTCAGCCACTTTTGGCTCTTCTAACACATTAAGCTGCAATGCTGTGATATATTGAAATGCGGTTCATTGTTATTCCCAGTGAATTTGCTCTCTAAATTATTGATCTCAATTTTCTGTCGTATTACCAGGAATGAGAATTTTCTGTGGATCTGAAATTTTTTGTTACGTCAAGGGGTCACTTTAGTGATACATGCCATTACAAAATATGCATAGATGATATGGTCCCCCAGCCCCCCAGCTAACTCAAACAAACATTCTCATGCCTGTATTACAGGTAGAGGGGGATCCAAGATACAAGACTTGCAGGATGAAAGTGGAGCAAAGATCAAGGTATACCTTTCAGCAACATTTAGGGCAGATTTATGTTTGTCGGCAGGATCAGAATAGCACAGACTTGGTGAAGATCCGGAGTAGAATAGGCCTTCAGCAACCCATGCTTGATGTAAAAGGCGACTATGGTTGTCGTAAAAGGCGACTAACAGGATCAGGTGTTCAGGCTCGTTGATGCATGTCATCGTTTCCCAATTGCGTGGATCGATGCTCATGATGTAAATCACTGGATTGTCTGGTCCAGACTTTCTTCTGAATTGCACCAGACTGGTGGACATGCCATCTCCTGATGACTCTTATCAAAATGAGTTTAACAGAAAAATACTTCAAACATCAAAAGTGGACACGTAATAAGTTAAGTATATGTCATACAACTGCTCACCTTTAGCAGTGGTCTGTTCCATGAAGCTGTCGCAGCACTAAAGTTGTCGTAACTCCCGTATACATAAACATATAACTGTTAATGGATTGCGATCACCTCACTGAACCACAAGGATTACAATCACATCACAATACCCAATGGTGTAATTTGTGAAATTTTGTTGCAAGATACAAGCGAAACAATGCTATATGCCCTCAGCCTAGCAAGAGGGATAATTGGGTCATTGACTGTGCATAAGCTCCTTTCAATGATCTATCATCTCTACACACAATGTCGTTGAATAAGCCCAGGGATGTTAGGAGTTTTCAATATTTGTTGGTGAAATTTGTTCCTGTAGTACAAAAGCATGCGTTTTGGTATTACACAATGTAATGATACACAATGTGTAATACAGCTGTATGTTTAATAAACGGGCAATCTCTTCACGGGCAAGTTATGAATTGAGGTTATCATGTTTATCCTGAGTTTTGTCCAATTTCAGGTTACAAGAAATGAGACAGAAGACGGGAAGATTATTGTGGTCCTGACGGGGAGTGCTGACGCTCGCACACAGGCTGAGGACATGATAAAGGAACTCACGGAATCCTGCTTCGGTCAGTTTAAGTTTCACCATATCTTCCACTTGTTGTCGGGCGGTCGGGTAGCCTAGTGGTTAAAGCGTCCGCTCGTCACGCTGAAGACCCGGGTTCGATTCCCGACATGGGTACAATGTGTGAAGCCCATATCTGGTGTCCCCCGCCGTGATATTGCTGGAATATTGCTAAAAGCGGCGTAAAACCATACTCACTCACTCACTGCACTTGTTGTCTGTGTGATCCGGGTCTTCAGCAGCTCATGCTTGTCATAGAGACAACTGATGGGACCGGGTGTCCAGACTCGCTGACTTGGTGCATGTTATCGTATTCCACTTGCGTAGATCGATGTTCATGATCTTAGTCACTTGATTATTGGGTCCAGACTCGATCATTTACAGACCGCCGTTATATAGCTGAAATATTACAGAGTGTAGCATAAAACAAGAAACAAACTAATTTTGTCAGTGCAGACTCCACTGTATTGTGCTGGACCACTGACTGAGAGCCAGTTTTCATCCATATAGTTTCATATGTGAAATCATATTATGTCAGTCCGTCTGTTTTTGTCAGAAAAATAACATCATGATAAAAAAAAAATCTGTTTTCATGTTATTGTTGCACTGTGCTATTTTCAGACTCTTCATCAAGCTTTGACAGAAAAATAACATGATACAAAAGATTCTGTTTTTCAGTGTTGTTTTCACCTTATTGTTGCATTGTGCTATTTTCAGACTCGTCATCGAGCTACAGAGGTGGTGGTGGTGGGCGATCCACAGGCTGGGGAAGCACAGATGACAATGCAGGTGAGGGGAAGTATACCTATCAACATGCATCAATCACATACCAACAGCCATTTGCATATGTTCTAAGAATAACCACCAATCAGATTTTTTTAGCAAAGTTTATGAACTCGATAGGCCAATTGCAGATGAACTTTTTCAGGTTTGAATGTAATGTGTGGTGTTGTGACTTCTTCTATATGTTTGCATCTTCCCGAGTCAAGAGAGTTAACTGACTTTAAAAGTCCAGTTTCCACCCTTGCCGAACTAGGCTGGAATTCCTGGGCTCGATCGTAGCGCCACAAGTGGCTATTACGAGTTATGTCCTTTCTATGTTTTTCCTATTGACCAATCAGATTCAACCTCTCGTATCACTTGCATTTGCTTCAAACAAAACGGTTTCGCCCAGTCAAGACGATCTGATCGATAATCAAGATCTATATTATGATAAAACGAGTCTTACATCGCGAAGTGCATCAAATCACGTGAGCACCTTGATTAAAAACATGAAAAGATTTAGAAAATATCTGTTGACAACGAGTTAGCGGTGCATATGCTTTGCAAATCCTGCAGTCGACCGAAATCTGCATGACAGTTTACGAACCGGATTTCGATTTCGTTGCGCGATTTTGATTGGACTATGCATAGACTCATTAGCCCAGCCAAAATGTAACTCCATAATACCAGCCTAGTTCGGCAAGGTAGAAACTGGACTTTTATAGTCAGTTAACTCACTTGCCTCGGGAAGATCTTTGTTTGTGGCATGGGCAATGCTGCAAGTATTAGGAATGACCACAGGCGAGGTTCTTTGTACGCCAGGGGTTTATTTCAACCAATCCCAATGAGTGCACTACCTAGAACAAGGAAGGTACTAGATCAACTACTTGAGAATATTTCAACATATATTGTATACTTTTTAAACTTTTCCTATCTCACACTATGCATTTCTCTCTTCTTGCAATCCTTTTTGGAAGCTGGCTTGAACAAGGTTATCAGCTTCTAAAAACAAATCACCAAAACACGTCCCAGCATCACCATGGTCACCACCCAACTTCCAAGAGTCACCGTTTTGAGAAAAGTAGATCGGCCCTCCAGCATCACTCTCCTAAGGGTCGCTCATCTGAGGATTGACCGTCTTAGGATTGTTGTTCCGGGTCTCCTGGTCGCTCTCAGGATTGACTCTTACAGGTTTGACAATTTGGGGATCGTCCTAAAAAATCCTGTTTGACGTGACTCAGAGGAGGGTTCCTATACAGACTCAGTCGAGTGTTCTTCCACTTTGGGTACTTCCAGTCCTCCAGAGATCGTTGCTGCTCCTATGATTGTCATCAGTCGGACTTGCTCGCTTGGTATCCCTATCAGTACGTCGATTATGCAGACCACCAATGTTGCTTGGAGAGCTACTCCTCGCACTTAGCATCATATCCTCCTTGGCGTGGTTATCCTTAAGCTTTGTCCTTATGCTCCCACACTGTTTATACCTCTCTCCTCAGCGGGAACAACCTTTTGATCGCCATCACCGTGGAAAACTTCTTCTTCTCATAGACTCGGGGGGGGTCGGGTAGCCTAGTGGTTAAAGCGTTCGCTCGTCACGCCAAAGACCCGGGTTCGATTCCCGACATGGGTACAATGTGTGAAGCCCATTTCTGGTGTCCCCCGCCGTGATATTGCTGGAATATTGCTAAAAGCGGCGTAAAACCATACTCACTCACTCACTCTCATAGACTCGCCGCGAATAGCTGCAAAATTGCTGATGCAGCGTTCAGCAATATTCACTCACTCACTCACTCACTCACTTCTCATAGATGTTTATCTCTGTCGGTCACTCGTGTGGATCACCGTTCTCGGAGCTGTCCCCAATTGTTGTCTCTGCTTCCTACTCTTCTGTCCCAACCCATCCTGTGACGCTTCAACCAAATAACCTAAGGGAACTGGCTCTCCATTGTGATCATACCTCCCTCGTTTTATCATTTCAAGACCACATTGACTATGACTTCCCTATTGATGACGGAGCATGCACTATCCGTTTTCATTCTTCATAGCCGATTTTTCCCACCTTTTCGACAAGCACGTCCTGTGTTTTTGAGGTTGAAAGATTGCCTTCTACAGTCACCCCCTATTCAGCTGACCACCCACCGAACTGTATGATCAAGACTGGTTATTTTATTGCATTGATGTTTATAGAAGAACCAATTCTTATTTTATTTTTGCTACAAGCGATGTATAACCATAGTGTCTCGCTCACTCACTCACTCTATCACCTACGCATCACCTAGATCGGTTAAATTGTTTGATAGGCATTACTTAGAAGTTGACCTAGATCGGATTAACTATATCGGTTTGGAGATTTTATAACAGTCTACATTGACATTGCTCTCAATTACGTACTGCACGGAATCACCAGACTCTCTCCTCGGCGTTTGTTTAATCTGTTGCTCAAGGAGATTGCCAACTTTTTAATGTTCAAGATCAGGATTTTATCCCCTCTCAAGAGTTACCAAGCAGGCGTACCTTATTGTCTGTGGGAGATAGTGCTGTGACCTGTCTTGTGGACTCAATTGGTTGGAGACCCCTTCAGGAGGTCATATGCTGTATAGATTGTTCTTTACAGATACACGGTCATTCATGTTACGATGTTATATGTGAAAAATATAGCGCATGTTATACTCGCTTTCATGCTGTTACGTCCGAGATCGCCTCCATGGTCTTGTGGTAGAGCGTCCGCCCGGAGAGCGGAAGGTCCGGGGTTCGATCCCCGCCCGCGTCATACAAAAAGACGTTAAAAGATTGTACTTGTGTTTTGGCGCTCGGCATTAAGGGGCTAAAACAAGGACTGGTCGGCTCGGAATCAGTATACTGTGTGAGTGGGGTACTCATGTTAAACTGCAGCATGGTATCTCAGTGAGCTAGCACTATAAATCTGCATCAGTCCGGACTAGTACAAGCAGCCACACACACATACACGTGCATGCACGTCGCTATATAAGTGCAATAATCTTGGGCACGACGTTAAACCCAATTTCACCTCACCTCACCTGTTACGTCCGACTAACATATAGGGATCGTATCGCCTTTTATGGTGTGTTTTCCTGCTCAAAAGTTATTGTCTTTACGACACTAGGCAGTGGTTAAATGTTATATTTATTTCACTATTTAATGCCAGCTTCCTCATCTGTGTCTCATGGGGGGCACGGGGGGCCCAGTCGTCTAAGGCACTGCGGTTAGCTGTGCAGAGTTGCACGGCAGAAACCTATAATTTTGGGTTCGAATCCCGGTTCGCCCCAATTATGTTTCTAGTTTTGTCAGCACCATACCCATGCTCGTGGGTTTCACGGAAGTGGTAAACGTCTGAGACCTGCATCACTTGGGGCTTTCCTCCCACATTAAGCTGACACGCCGTGATATAACTGAAATAATGTTAAAAGCGGCATTAAACCCAACTCAGTCAGTCAGTCAGTCTGTGTCTCATGGTCGTAGTACAATGTGTGAAGCCCATTTAAGGTGTCCCCCGCTGTGATATCGCTGGAATATTGCTAAAAGCGGCGTAAAACCATACTCACTCACTCACTCACTCACTCACTCACTCATGGTTGTAGTTTTTTACAGGCTAGGGTATCTGCACCTCACTATCCAACTTTGGGATAACTGCATAGTGTGAGATAGTATAAGTTTAAATATTTGTAAATTTTATCTTAAATTATATATTTTTTCCTTATCCTATCTCACACGCTATATGCCCACCCAGCCATCCCCACACCAGAGCTCCTCTAGCCTGTTAGCTCTAAGAAAGAGAATGATGTGGCAGGGGTAGTCATGTGATCAGGTCGTGTAGGTCGCTGTGCATGGGATTACAGTGCGTGACCCATTTGCTTGGGTGGTGACCATGGTGATGCTGGCAGTGTTCGGGTGATTTGTTTTTAGAATCTGGATACCTTGTTCAAGCACGTTTCCAACTATGATCGAAAGAAGAAGGAAGACATGCATAACGTGAGATAGGATACAATATAATGTAAAATTTACAATAACAGTATGTCAGTGTTCACTGAGGAATTGGTTGCTTGGGATATGCAAGCTGACCAAAAGCTAAAATTGTTCGTGTGACAGCTTTCATATACTTCTGTGAATGCCTGTGACTGTCTCTATTCCTTGCACTTCCTGTCAGCTCATCTACGTCCTTTACGTCATGATTTTACCCGTGAAGATCAGGGTTAGACTAGGTCTTCAGCAACCCATGCTTGCCATAAGAGATGACTATGCTTGTCGTAAGAGGCAACTAACGGGATCGCGTGGTCAGGCTCTCTGACTTGGTTGATGCATGTCATCCATCCCAATTGAGTTGATCGATGCTCATGATATCAATCACTAGATTGTCTGGTCCAAACTTTATTATTTACAAACTGCCATCATATAGCTGGCATATTGCTGAGTGCAGATTAACAACAAACAAACCAACCAAATGTACTGTACCTAATTTGCGAATCCATTTGCTATGAGCCGCTCACTTGTATTCATTGAGGTCAATAATAAGATGAAGGTATTACGTTTCTTGCAGGAAATGGAGAAGAGACGGAGAAACCAAAGATCAACTGGGGAATCATTCGAGCAGCCAAAGAGGCTAATGAAGCAAAGAAATTTGAAGGTACAAACATGAAAGTGATAAGTTGTATTTTCCGAAAACCGTATCTAGCAATGTAAAAAGATAATAGTGAACCATTTGATACTGGTCTTCCATTGGGATTCTGGGGACTGAGGTGAAATTAATTATGTATATAGTAGTTGAGACATTTAAGAGAGTGAGATGGATTTAATGCTGCTTTGAGCAGTATACAAGTTATGTCACAGCATTGTGGTAAGAAAACCTGAAGTGATCAGGCCTCAGATGTTTATCACTTTCATGAAACCAATGAGCATGGGTATGGTGCTGACAAGCCTAGAAACATAACTGGGGCGAAGCGGGTTTAAGAGAGCGTTATGCTCATGCTATTGACCACTAGTGTTCGTGGCCAGGTCGTCATTCTTTACAGGCCGTCATGATATGGCTGTAATATTGCTGACTCCACATTGTGTCACAAGGTGAACCACCTTCTTCTTGTAGGTCTGCCGCCTTTGGAGAAGAATTTCTATTTTGAAGATCCTGATGTCGCTAACATGCATCCAGGAGAAGTGAAAGAAATCAGGTATGGTATGTGTTGTCACGTGGTAGTATGTGTAGTCCGCGGTTGTGATGGTAGAAAGGTAGTTGGTCCTCAGGAACCTGTGCTTGTTCTAGGAGGTGACTCGATTATGCATCTGCCTGTATTGGATTGACCTGCACCTGTCTGTATTGGCTTGACCAGCACCTGTCTGTATTGGCTTGACCAGCACCTGCCTGTATTGGCTTGACCAGCACCTGTCTGTATTGGCTTAACCTGCATCTGCCTGTATTGGCTTGACCTGCACCTGTCTGTATTTGCTTGACCTGCACCTGTCTGTATTTGCTTGACCTGACTGTATTGGCTTGACCTGCACCTGCCTGTATTGGCTTGGCTTGACCTGACTGTATTGGCTTGACCTGCACCTGCCTGTATTGGCTTGGCTTGACCTGACTGTATTGGCTTGACCTGCACCTGCCTGTATTGGCTTGACCTGATTGTATTGGCTTGACCTGATTGTATTGGCTTGACCTGACTGTATTGGCTTGAGCTGCACCTGCCTGTAATGGCTTGGCTTGACCTGACTGTATTGGCTTGACCTGCACCTGCCTGTATTGGCTTGGCTTGACCTGACTGTATTGGCTTGACCTGCACCTGCCTGTATTGGCTTGACCTGATTGTATTGGCTTGACCTGATTGTATTGGCTTGACCTGCCTGTATTGGCTTGAGCTGCACCTGCCTGTATTGGCTTGGCTTGATCTGACTGTATTGGCTTGATCTGTCTGTATCAGCTTGACCTGTCGGTATCGGCTTGACCTGATTGTATGGGCTTGACCTGATTGTATGGGCTTGACCTGATTGTATGGGCTTGAACTGACTGTATTGGCTTGACCTGACTGTATTGGCTTGACCTGATTGTATTGGCTTGACCTGATTGTATTTGCTTGACCTGATATTATCGGCTTGACCTTATTGTGTTGGCTTGACCTGTCTGTATCGGCTTGACCTGTCTGTGTACTATCTTGCCTCTGTTTGGGTCCTGGGTAATCTACTGATGTTATTGATGTGCGCCATCTTTAACAGGAAGAAGAACAACAACATTATTGTGGAAGGCGGGGAGAAACGTGTGCCAAACCCTGTGAGGACCTTTGAAGAAGCCTTCCAGCATTACCGTAAGAAATTGTTGTCCTTGTTGGTGTCCCTGGAATGTCATTTAGTAAAACAATGAAGACAGCAATTTATTTAGAGGGCTCAGCCTTATTTACAATCCCCTAGTATGTCAGTGGAAGTTTACACTCCTTGAGTAAAAGATGGTTTGAAATACAGAGCAGTTCCCCAGTACCTCATGCTTGTTGTAATAGCCTGGGAAGATGTCATCGTTACCCCAATGGCGTGTATCGTTGTTCAGACCTGTTTCATCATATAAACAGTGTGTTTGGTTATTATCTCAAATTAATACAAGGAGTTTCCTTACAGCTGAGATCCTACAACAGATCTATAATCAAAAGTTCGTTGAGCCATCACCAATACAGGTCAGTACTTGCACTCTGCTACATTGTTGTACATTCACTAAACATGTGTTCACCTTACAGCCAGACGGTGGGGTAGCCTGGTGGTTAAAGTGTTCGCTTGTCCTGCCGAAGACCCGAGTTCTATTCTCCACTTGTACCCTACTCTTCTGGTCGACAAATCAGTTTCTGACAAACCTTTTGTAAACTAATCAACATCTTACAATGAGTTCAGTCGTACGAGCTGATCTGCTCCTTGTGTATAGAAACACTAAACATAATCAACAGTTTGTTTCATGTAGAAAAAGTGGTTAGTTCATAGTTCGGTAAACATCTTGTGCCTTACATGGCGACAGTCACACTTTCCACATAGTAGGTTGTCAACACTGAAACAGGTATTGTCAAAGTGTGAGTTGTTCCAAATGATGTATTGTTTTGTAAACATGTTGTGTCAGAATGATGTTGGGTTTCATGTTCAGTTGAGAATCTCCCCGGATTGATGCTTCGAAATTCAAAATTTAGAATTATACAAGATATGGTTTTACATATCACAGCACAGGCATGGTTCCAATAACGTGTGTATTCAGCACATTTCAAACAGAATATAAATAAACTGTTTATTAAGTTTAATTTATGCTGAAATAGACAAGACAGACAACCCGTGGGAGTTCCAGGTTAGAATTGGTCCCTAGAAACCTATGGTGGTCGACATAATGGATCCAGTTGTCAGGCTCGGTGACTTGGTTGATATTTAGTGTCTGTGTCCATTAACCACCCTGTAGAAATTCTTCATCTAACCTGTTTTTGTTTTGTTTCTTCAGAAACAAGCATGGCCCATTCTGTTACAAGGACTCGACCTTATTGGAATAGCACAGGTAGGTGTCCTGCACCAAAATCCTAATCTCATCCATTTGTTGGAGTTTTCTGGAACGATGTCAAACAATATATGTGTGTGTTAAGACATGATAAACTTAATTATGATCCAATTTGTTGCAACATCAAGTGATTTAGAAACATAAACTGTCAATACTTGTTTGAGTTGATTTTCAGATCGAACTGTTTCTATTTAGACAGGTACCGGAAAGACCTTGGCCTTTCTCCTCCCAGCTTTAATCCACATTGACAACCAGCCCGTGTGAGTTGTGAACATGTAACATGGTAACCATAGTAGCTGGTTTTATTGCTTTGGAATAGCTAAGGCTAAAAAATATAATAGTCTTGGTTCTCAGGCACCGCCCGCATCATCATTAAGTCTGCCGCATGTATAATCTTCAGATATTCTGCGTCTCGAACACACGACCCCGGCAGTTTAATGCTTCAATCCTAAAGAACAACATGATTTCCCCAAAGTTATTGTAGACAATATTTACTAGCTCGAACAACCTAATAAAAAAATCACTGCCTGCACAATAATTTCAAAGCCATTGCCTGAGAAAAGTAGTTGGACGATACACTGATGCAATGTGGATGGCGATTTTTTTTACTTCTCGATACAAGAATCGATCACAATCGCACACTAAGTAATAAGTATTGATTTTTCCAAGGTAAACATCTAAGACCTTCATTATTTCATGCTTTTCTCCCATGTCAAGCTGACATGCAGTCATAAATCTGAAATAGTGTTGAAAACAGTGGACTGTCAAACACTGTCATCTTTGTGGGGCAGCCTAGTGGTTAAGGTGTTCATTCATCACGCCAAAGCCCTGGGTTCGATTCCCCACAGGGGTACAATGGGTGAAGCCCATTTCTTGTGTCCCTTGCCATGATATTGCTGGAATATTGCTAAAAGCGGCATAAAACCATACTCACTCACTCACCCACCGTCATCTTTGTCATACTTGACGATGCCATTTATATAGAAACTACTGTGTTGTCACACCTTGTGGGTGTCCGGGTGAGAACAAGTTCCCAACAATATAAGGTCATCAAAGCAGAGCCCCAGATAACTTTTTGAGCAATTTAGTTTTTACTCTAAGGTTTCTATTTTACTTGGGTTATTACATTTTTCAATCACCGACTAAATGTCTTCCTGTATGTTAATCGTGAAATGCTAAATACATACTTGATAAACAATGTTCTAAAAATGTTACAATTTTAATGTTATTAAATGAATGTTATGAAATGTCATTAATTGAATACTATGAAGTGATCACTGCTAATACAAGTCAATGCTGTAATTATGTGTATTGTGGTTAGTTTTATCCAAGATGACGGACTTTTCTGAGCGAAAACATAAAACAAACTGATTTCTCCGTTCCCTTGTAGTTGGAGTATTGCTGACTGCAGTGAAACATGATTCCCTTACTCCCCCCCTTGTATTGGGTAGCCCAGTGGTTAAAGCATTCGCTCGTCATGCCGAAGACCTGTGTTCGTTTCCCCACAGGTCCAATGTGTGAAGCCCATTTCTGGTGTCCCCCACCATGTTATTGCTGGAATAGTGCTAAAAGCGGCGTAAAACCACACTCACTCACTCACTCACTCACTCACTCACTCATGGAATGTTGCATACTCACTCCCTCACTCCCTCCCCTTGTATTGTCACAGCCCCAGAGAAAAGCGAGGCGGCCCCAATGTGCTGGTGTTGTCTCCGACCCGAGAACTGGCCCAGCAGATAGAGGTGGAGGTGAAGAAGATCAACTACAGGGGCATACGCAGGTACGTGTACGTGTTCGTGTGTTGTCTCCCACTGGCAGAGCTTCAGCCGTCCGTGACTGTAACCACTGGTCCTTGACCCCAGTTAATACTGTTCGGTCTAGTAAACTCAGCTAATAATCATCCATGTACTAAAGAAATAAAGGATTTGGAGTTGTTTATCGTGCAATAAAACACTGCAGGGAGAATAAACCATGAGGGAAGCAGCCTGAGTGGTTTACTCTCTCTCCAATGTTTTACTCTCTCTCCAATGTTTTACTCTCTCTCCAATGTTTTATTGTGCTCTTGCTACATACAGTATGAGTGATGCATGGTTTTGTGAGGACAGTGCCGTTCTTTTGCAGGTGTAGTTCCTGTGAGATATATCCCTGTTTGTGGTCAGTTGTCATCTTTCCTATTTTCAGTGTGGTCGTGTATGGTGGCGGCAACCGTAGAAGCCAGATCAATGTGGTCACAAGAGGTGTGGAGATCATTGTAGCCACACCAGGGCGACTCAACGATCTCATCATGAATGGCATCGTAGATGTGAAGTCTGTTACGTATCTGGTTAGTTGAAAACAGCTCAGGACTCGGGGCTAACCAGACACCTGCTGTTGTCTGTCTGAATGTACTGCTAGCATTATACACCTACAATACAAGTCATGAGAGGCTTAATTCTAATAGTCTTTCCTTATTGTTTTGATAAATAGAGATTATGAGTGTGTTTCTGTACCGTAAATACCATATATTTGGTGAGCATAATACATGTTTTTTATTCCTTATATAAGATATTTGTGATACGGAAAACACGCAAAGATAATTTCTTGGGATATAATGTAAAACTTAAAATGATCAAAGTAACTTTAGGAAAAGCATAGAAATACAATGACTGAGTGGACTCATTACCTTGTCCCACCTCCCGACCTGTGAAGATCCGGGGTAGAAAAGGTCTTCAGCAACCTATGCATGCTATAAAAGGCAATATAATTTACAGATCGCCGTCAAATAGCTAGAATATTGCAGAGTGCGGCGTTAAACAACAAACAAACAAATGTTCTGCGTCCAATGAAGTTTGTGTTTATTGCAGGTTCTTGATGAAGCAGATAGAATGCTGGACATGGGATTTGAACCTGAAATCCGAAAGATTTTGTTGGACATCAGACGAGACAGACAGACCGTAATGACAAGGTAATAATCTGCACAGAAACCGTCTCAGAAAATATTCAATGTGGAATCCCTTGACTGAGCAACTACAAATGCCCAATTTCTTTTCAGGAAGAACTGATCATGAAGAGGGTCGTGTGATTACAGCATGTGACTAGGCTATTCATGTTCCATCTTGCACCGATGATGTGTATTGCTATTTTGTCTTCGCCAAACTCAACTTAACGTCTGTACTTCCCAGGTTTGCCATACTCTATGTTCCTCCATCGGAGGCACGGGTGGCCCAGTCGTCTAAGGCGCCGCGATTCGCTGTGCAGAGTTGCGTCCCTTGGACACGGCAGAAACCTATGATTGTGGGTTCAAATCCCGATTCGCCCCCATTATGTTTCTAGGTTTGTCAGCACCATGCCCGTGCTCATGGGTTTCACCGAAGTGGTAAATGTCTGAGAACTGCATCACTTCGGGCTTTCCTCCCACATTAAGCTGACACACCGCGATATAACTGGAATACTGTTAAAAACGGCATTAAACCCTACTCACTCACTCACTCACTATGTTCCTCCATCACCTGTAAATAGGACCACCTACCTGGCTCATAGTTCTGTGTGTCTATTTATAGTAAGCTTATTACATGATGCTCTTTATAACTCAATGAAGCCAAATGACCCCTATTCCATACATGAACTTTGTGCAACCCAATATGTTGCCTGATATTGAAGCAATGTGTAGAGCAGAAGGTCGCAAGAAATATTACCTGTGTAATCTGAGCACTCATGGGTCAGAGTAGTCTCTGGTTACCCTCTCACTGAAACCAGGCTGTTAATAACACACCAATACTGAGAGAGGTGTTATTCAAATATTTATATTTGTGGAAACAAGTCGGTGAGAATGTCTGATGTTGGTTCTGTTGGCAGCGCCACCTGGCCTCAAGATGTCCAGCGGCTGGCAGACATGTACATGTCCAGCCCTATCAACATCTTTGTGGGAACACTCGATCTGGCTGTAAGTCTATTCATCATGCCGATGGTATTCTCCTCATGAAAATATTTCAAACAGGAACAGATGAACCTTATTCGTCTGTCAAGGGTTTGAAAAATACCATTACCCAACACTATTTGGTACATGTCTTGTCACTCACACTGTGGTCCAGGGGCTGGTGAATGAGTATAGTAATGTGCATGGGCTGAGTTTCTCAGAACAACAGGGCAGAAAAGAAGGATTGTGAAATATCAAAAAGCCAATATTCACCAGGTCAATCATGATTAACCAATACAAACATTGCATTGCCATAACGTGTAAATCACTCTAGGTGCTGACCATAAGCCAGACTCCTAAATGAATTTTTTTACCGTTAGCCAGACTGCTTCATGAGTTGTCCTATCTTTAAAGTTTGTAAACACTGATCAGCAAACGAAAACGTCAAGACTGTCGACTTCCATGATTTAGTGGGGCGGTCGGGTAGCCTAGTGGTTAAAGCGTTAGCTCGTCACGCCGAAGACCCGGGTTCGATTCCCGACATGGGTACAATGTGTGAAGCCCATTTCTGGTGTCCCCCGCCGTGATATTGCTGGAATATTGCTAAAAGCGGCGTAAAACCTCACTCACTCCATGATTTAGTATTAAATAGCAGTTCAATTTTATTATTTCATTTGCTTTCTTACAAAAAAACCTTCTCTTCTCTTGCTTCTCATGTGATCTAACTTGCATGAAATCAATATCAAGAAATTCCAAACAAGGCATATTCAAAAAATATATGAGGGAAGTGACATTTGACCCTATATGTCCGGATACTAAATAGGGGATATTGTAGAGTGTACATGTCATATAATGTTTACGACACAAGTGTCTAAATTCTGGTAACAATAAACTGTTATCTAGTGACATGATATGACCCTAGGGCACATATGATTTTTATGAACCCTGATATGTTTGTTTTCGTAGGTAATATTGCATCTTTTTATTATGTCGAGCAAGAGACACTCACATTTTTAGCTGATACGACTGAAAGTCTAGGGAGCTAATGTTGTGGTGTCATTCCTCCATGCAGTTGTCCGTTGTTCACATGACATAGCAGTAATATTGCCGAGTGTTGACACAAACAAACAAACATTACAGATACGTTAAGAAACCTTTGGAGATTTGCCTGAGGATTGTATGAATGCTTCAGGCAATTTTTGCAATGGGTTTTTAGTGACAGACATCTAAGATCTCTTTTGATCTTCTTCTGTGTCTGACGTTCTTCTGTGATCATGACAATATGACGGGTGTTCCTAACGACAGGTTGAAAACTTGACTCACTCCCCCTTTGTTGTAGGCTTGCCACAGTGTTACACAGCTGGTTGAAATGTTAGATGATGAAGAGAAGAAACCTCGGGTAAGGAAACTGTCACGTCTTATTTAATCAAACTTTGTATCGGACGTCTTTGTATGTATATGGAATATTGCTGAGTGTAGCATTAAACATCAATCCAGCAAACAAACTAGATGCTAAAATTAGTAAAAATGTTTTAATAACAAAACCCGAGCTTTCTATTGAGCTTTCTGAATTTGATAATGTTAAAATTTAGTGGTTGACAAGATGGTATTTGGTATAAAATCTGAATCTTTAGTTTCATTGTTTGTGTATCGTTTATGTACTATATCTCTTTATTGCCCTCTAACTCAGGGAACATTTTTATCTCAAGGACCATCAAAGATTATCTCCATTAATTATCCTAGAGTTATCCTCATTTTGGGGAATTCTATGCAACAGTTTAGAATGAGCATGTATGATATTGATGACGTTTTATTTCACTTTCAGCTGTTTGAATTCCTCCAGTATGAGCTTCAGCCCATAGACAAAGTGATTGTGTTTGTGGGGAAGAAAGTCTTGTGAGTATCATTTGTTGAAATCATCGGTTGTCATAGTAACAAAGGGTGTAAATATTTCTGTGCACAGTTACATGGTCCACCATGTTTAATATTACTTATCATATTATTGAATGTTCAAAAGTTTTGTTTACCCCCCCAAAAACAATTTACTATCCATTAGTGTCAAAGATATTATCGTCAGAACATCAAGTGAATTTGGATATTGGCTGAAAAATGACATCGATCAAGAAGAGGAAGATTATCATGTTCCAAGGCTGAAATGATGTTTGTAGCTAGATGTAGGAACATGTTTGTTGCTGTTTTCCCTGAATCAAAAGTTGAGGATAAATAAAATCAAATCTTACACAGTTATGCTTTCATTATCGTATCCGACAGCTCTCAGTTTGAGAGTATTTGCATCAGGCATCATCAGGAAGTACCGTGAAACCCTAGTAAATTGGATAGTACCGTTTCAATGAAATACTCCATATTTGCTTGTCAAATTTCTAAATCAATAGGTTGTGGGTACATGTTAACAGTACTTGTCACACTCACAAGGTTTCTGCCAGTTTGCCTGCCAGGGGCACTTAGTTCAGAATCCCCGATAAATCCCTGGATTGACACGCATGCTATGGTATTTCCAGAGCTGATGACCTGTCCAGTGACTTGGCTATGGAGGGTGTGGAGTGTCAGTGTATCCATGGCGACAGGTCAGTAATATATTTGATATAAAATAAACTGCAAGATAACCCCAAAATTCAATTTTGGAAGACTATTATGTTTGGGAAACTTATTTAGTTTTTCCCAAGTACCTGATGGACCCCAATGTTCTTGGGGGCGGTCGGGTAGCCTAGTGGTTAAAGCGTTCGCTCGTCATGCCGAAGACCCGGGTTCGATTCCCGACATGGGTACAATGTGTGAAGCCCATTTGTGGTGTCCCCTGCCGTGATATTGCTGGAATATTGCTAAAAGCGGCGTAAAAACATACTCACTCACTCACTCCCAATGTTCATGCCTCAGCCCCCTTAAAGTCTCCAGTACTTGAGAATATAGATAGACCCAGTCATACTCAAAACTTGGGAGGCTCTGTCGTCTAAGACTCTGCAAAACTCGATTCAGAGTTGTCCCTTAGGTGTGTCGGAATTCCATGGTCATGGGTTTGAATCCCTGACTATGATCATGGGTTTGTCAGCACCATACCCATGCTTGTAGGTTTCTAACCTGTGAAGATCCGGGTTGTCTTCAGCAACCCGTGCTTGTCGTAAGAGTGGACTAACGGGATCGGATGGTCAGGCTCGCTGACTTGGTTGATGCATGTCATCGTATCCCAATTGCGTGGATCGATGCTCATGATATCAATCTGTGGATTGTCTGGTCCAGACTCCATTTTTTTACAGACCACTGTCATATAGCTGATATATTGCTGAGTGCAGCAGTAAACAACAAACAAACAAAAACACTGTTGCCCCTCTGACTGTCACATGTTTCTTTTCCAGGGAGCAGTGTGACCGAGAAGCTGCACTGAGTGACTTTAAGTCCGGAGCCGTCCGAATTCTCATTGCAACGGATGTTGCTTCCAGGGGCCTTGACGTGAAGGACATCACGTATGTTGCTGACAACTCACTGAGATGAGGATGTCTATGAATTGTAACCATGTGAACAGTAAGGTGACTGTGTGGATGACATGTGAATGTTTTCTAGGGAAGGCCAGCACTTGGTGTTTGTCAGCATCATACCCATGCTCATGTGTGTCACCAAACTGCTTAACATCTAAGATGTGCTGTGATATAATAGAAATACTGTTCAAATCAGTTAAGCCAGACTCATTTACGACTTCAGTATTCACTACAAGCTATAGGCTGTCTCCTCCATGTTGTAGATGTTGAGAATGAACACCATACCCATGCTCATGTGTGTCACCAAACTGCTGTACATCTAAGATGTACTGTGATATAATAGAAATAGTGTTCAAATCAGTTAAGGCAGACGCATTCACGACTTCAATAGTATTCACTACAAGCTAAAGGCTGTCTCCTCCATGTTGTAGATGTTAAGAAAGAACACCATACCCATGCTCATGTGTGTCACCAAACTGCTTTACATCTAAGACGTACTGTGATATAATAGAAATAGTGTTCAAATCAGTTAAGGCAGACACATTCATGACTTCAATAATATTCACTACAAGCTACAAAAACGTTTGCTGATAGGCTGTCTCCTCCATGTTGTAGATGTTGAGATGCCTGAGTCAGCTGTGATTGGTTCTGTTTTTCAGGCATGTGTTGAACTATGACTTCCCCCGGAACATTGAAGAATATGTACATAGGATTGGCAGAACGGGCCGAGCAGGGTAGGTACCTCTGAGGGGTGTAAGTGAGGATTTCAACTTCATTACTCCTTCAGTACATGAAGACCACGTGCTTACTATAGGTACCACAACACCTATACCTAACATCATCTTGACAGAAGAAACAAGTTTACATCCACAAATCAGCTCATTCATTCTCAGTCTTCATTGATGCCATAGCTTCTAAGATGTCACTTAAGGCCATCACTGACTGTTGTATTCTCTATCCAGGAATACAGGTACTTCAATTACATTCATCACCAGGGGAGACTGGCGACAGGCCCAGAAACTCATCGACATCATGGCAGAAGCTGACCAGGTGAGACAAGGGATGTTTTTTGGAGTCCATGACCCTAACAAAAATTAATAGGGGAAACAAATATATCTTAAAAGCACCATATATGTATTTTTTTCACAACCTTCAAACTTTGTTTTACAGAAATAAGAAATTTTGTTATTTTTCCAACCCTTTTTATCCCCCCGGCATATAATGCGGACATTTCCGGAGTATAACCATGAAATATTTTTTATCCAAACTTGGTACATGTATTAACCAGGGGCTGAAGTGGTGCCTTTTGCTATTGTAGGGGCTGGGGGTTCAAAGCGGTGTTAAACCACCCTCCTGAGTCAGTCCTCTTGTGTGTGTAGAGTGGTTATATTATTATTATTATTATCGATATTATTATTATTAATAATTAAATATTATTATCGTTATATTATTATTATTATATTATTATTATTATTATTATTATTATTATCGGTAATAATAATAATAATATAACCACTCTACACACACAAGAGGACTGACTCAGGAGGGTGGTTTAACACCGCTTTGAACCCCCCTCCTGAGTCAGTCCTCTTGTGTGTGTAGAGTGGTTATATTATTATTATTATTATTACCCCTCACTCATTTTGTGTTTGTATTCCAGGAGATCCCAGACATCCTGATAAAAATGGCAGAACGGTATCAGGCCCACAGAGAGCGTGTGGCGCAGGAAGGCGGAGGATTCGGTGGCCGAGGAGGGCGTGGTGGACGGGGACGAGGAGGAGGTTTTGGTGGGGGTAGAAGAGGAGGCGGTGGCTTTGGGGGTGGGGGTGGCGGTGGGGAGGATGATGGGTTCATCAGTGGGGGTTTTGGGAGGGGGGCATTCCGAGGTGGGGGTGGCAGGGGGCGTCGTGACAAGGAATACGACATCCATATGGGCTGGTGATGCTCGATATCATTGACAGAGTGTGCTGCAGGTGTTGAACAAGTCTTCAGCAGCATTGTCAGACTGCCATAGTCTAATATAATCTCAAGCTGAGACACAAGTCTCTGTTATATTTCATTGCTTTGTCACAAGGAATAGTAAAGCACTTGTCACAGCTTTTGTTCCTGACATATTTTCAATTCATGACAGCAGACATGTATTCATTTAATTTGCAATAGTCATTTTGGTGGACAATGGACTGAATACGTTTTCATGGACAAAAAAAATACTTTGATATATTTTGAGATTAACTTTATCCTTGTGTGTGGGGGGGGACATGGTGAGGAACAAATGGTGCTAGTTATATGTTATGTGAAGAGAGACCTGTGGATAATCTCGTAAATATGAAGCTACTCCCTTGTTTATGAAAGGAGACTGAATGTGGCGGAGATGATCAATACAGTGAAGGAAGCCTGGTGGCCTGGTCTCTCTTCTATTAGTCATCTTGATGGAATGAATGCTTGGCGATAATGTAATTTCCAGCAAGGTGAAAACTTTCAATACTTATGGGTTTCTTGTCTACCATTGTTACACCCTTGAAGGCCTGGGTTAGAATTGATCTTCAGCAACCCATGCTTGTCGTAAGAGGTGACTTTGCTTGTCATAAGAGGCAACCAACCGGATCCTATGGCCAGGCTCGCTGACTTGGTTGATGTATATCATCATAGCCAAGTTGTGTAGATCGATGCTCATGATGTCGATCAATAGATTTTCTAGTCCAGACGTGATTCTTTACAGACAGCCGTCATATGGCTGGAATATTGCTAAGTGTGGGGTTAAACATCAAACAAACAAACCCTTGTTGAGTTTAGAGTTATCCTTGCTGTTTTGGCCAATGAAAACCATGACCTTTGCTGCACGGTGAGAAAGTTTGTAGGCTGAAGCAAGTAACAAGGAGATATGACTGTTTGGGTTGTACCAGGTGGCATATTCAGAGAAGACAGATTATTTTAAGGTCCTTTGAGTTTGTTCTCTTGATTTAACTGAATGTTACCTACTTAAAAATAGGTCTGTAAGGCCAGTCATTATGTGCCATTATTCATCCTAATGCATTAAAAAAATTGACATAAGACTGAATGTGTTTGTTGTTTTGCTGGGGATACGTCATTTATTACAGGGCTCAGAGGTTTTTGATGCACAAATGTAAAGTAATGACCCTCCCCTAATGCTTGTTCTATATTCGGAGGACCCTCCCATGTCCTTCTACAATTCATTCAAGACCCTCCCTGAAAAGATACGATGCAAAAGCACTTTATTTTTTATTATAAATTGTCTTTTTTTTTCATTACTCTCCTCAAATATGTGTATTAGTTTTTATGACCCTTCCGACAACGGCTGTCATATTGCACAACCCTCTTATGACCTTTTTTGAGTCATTGTTTTTGGTTAACATGCACTGATCTTTTGTTTGTTTGATTTTTTAATATTTTTATTTCAATTCAGTAGACATAAATGTAACATTGTTTCATGAAGTATTAAAGTGTAGCAATTCATCATATCTTAAAACATGATCAGATACGGGAATATACATTTATTGGATTGACTCATACATTATAATAAGTAGGCTGATAATTCCTTCCATTTTCTGCCGAATTTATTAATTCTACTATTTTTCATTGAGATAGATTATTTTATTTTACATACATCTTTCAACATTTTTATGAAGAAAGGAAAGTGTAATGGGTTTTTCTTAATGTTTGACTAGTGAAGGGGGTTTTTTGCAAGAAGAATTATGTGGTTGAAAATATGTTGTTTTTGTTCTTGGAAAATAATTTATCTAGAAAATTGGTATGTGTGTTGACAGTGGGGCTAAAAACGTTCCATGTTTCTCGATATTATATATTTTTCGTTTTGATCTTGCTCTTATATTCCTTCAAAATAATTCTTTACTCTATAAACATTTCTAAAAAACACAGATTAATGCTGCTGAAATACAGCAGCAGAGTAGGAGGTCCTTATAGCACATATCACAAGATGTAAAGAGCACCATAAATATCAATGAAAACACGTCAAATCACAACGCCCCGACGGCGCCTAATTATGTTGCAGTTGGGGGGTAAAACAAGGGCCAGTCGGTTTGGAGTCCGTTTTCTGTCTGAATGGGGTTTCCATGTTAAACTGCAGCACAGTATCTCATTGGGCTAGCACTAGTCCGAGCTAGTGAAAGCAGCCACATGCACATGCTATAGTAGTGCAATAATCTGCACATTGCACCCTATTCTACCTCACCTCACCTTACCTCACATCTAACCAAGTGATTGCTAGTATGGTGTGCTTTATACGAAATAGCAACAACAAATATCATCTAATAAAGGTTAGTTTCTGTACCTGTGGTGTGAAATGAAACATTTTCGAAGTTAACACGAATTATATAGTTTTTTCGTACAATCATATCTAATGAAATATCCACGGATATCATTGTCGTAAGAGGCGGACTAACGGGATCGGGTGGTCAGGGTCACTTGGTTGATACATGTTGTGTATACGATGCTCATGTCAATCACTGGATTGTCTGGTCCAAACTCGATATACAGACCGCCGTCCTAAAGGTGGAATATTGCAGAGTGCGGCGTTAAACAACAAACAAACCATCGTTTTCTCATGCGTTTTAATATCTCAAAGCGTTGGTGATCTGCTTCAAAGGATAACATGAAAATAAAGTATTCAGGACAGGCCACAACACTAAGAGCACATTGAACATTTAAAGACGCTTACCTCGATACACATATTTCAAAGTTCGAGTAATACTTATGATTCGAACATCCATTAAACAACCCTCAAAAAGTGATATCTCATCAGTGGTACATCATTTCGCAGATATAATAAAATCGAAACTGTTAAAGGAAATATTTCTGTATGGTTGATTGTGTTTAGTGGATCCGGCCATGCCCTTGCATCAATAGGGGGATGTGTGCAGGTGGTGGACTGTTAAACGAGGGTGATGGAAGTCAATGTGCTGTCGGTTTCGAACACACTGGTCATTTGAGGTACGCCTGTCTGTGAGTCAAGGCTGCACACAAACACCTCGCTGAAAGAAAAAAATAATTTCTTAAATCTTGACCACTACTGTGATAAAGGGGGATGAGGATGATTTAATGTTGCAGCCCCAGCAAGTTCTAGCACTTTCGTCGGCTGACCCACGGAATTCTCCGCTGCTTTTAGCAATACTCCAGTCATATAAAGGCGGGAGTTTCAAATATTCTACCTATGTGCGTATTAACCATTAGACTACACCAACACCCTTCCTTCTTTAAGGGCTGTAGGGTCGCCAATTGGTTAAAGCGTTCGTTGGGGACTCTAAAGACCCGAGTTCGATTCCTCACTCTGTGTGAAACCCATTTTGGTGTCCCCCCTCCCCCCGCAGTGATATTGTTTTGGGGTATACCCATCGGGTGTTCTTTAACTTTTTTTAAAGTAGTATACAAACATCGTACTTCGTGGAGGCAATTAGTGAATGAGTTGGATTTATCGCCGCTTTTAACAGTATTCCAGTCATATCACGGTGTGTCAGCTTAATGTGGGAGGAAAGCCCGAAGTGATGCAGGTCTCCGACGTTTACCACTTCGGCGAAACCGACGAGCACGGGTATGGTGCTGACAAACCTAGAAACATAATCGGGGCGAACCGGGATTCGAACCCACAATCATAGGTTTCTGGCGCGCCCAAGGGACGCAACTCTGCACAGCGAATCGCGGCGCCCTAGACTACTGGGCCATCCGTGCCCCCCCCCCCCCCCCCCCCTTTGGAGGCAATAATGGAAGCTAAAATAGCGATATATCACTTTGAGTCAGGTGACCCCGACTGTAACAAGAACCTGTTAAACAAATTATTACTACCTTTATTTACTATGTGATATATGATTAAGAAAGTCATCGAACCATACCCAAAGGCTGAAAGACTAAACAAAAACACGTGACATAATTGCGTAATAATGGAATTGTCATTCTACACAGGATGCAAGTGTTATGACGGGCTTCTGCATACGATGTTATACGGAGTCCCTGGATATAATCACCATTTAGGAATTATGTGTAGAAAAGCCCCGTATATTTGCATAATGTAAGCTACGTTCTGGGGTTTAAGCAGAGCTTGTAATGAGCGCTTGATGACTACCTTTAAACAGACATTGAAAGTTGACTTACTTTTTGTCATTTGCGGTGATGTAAACAAGGACGTTGCTAACTCCGGCAGTCTGAGCGGTGACGCTATTTGTTAACAGGTTGTTCACAGCGAGGTCCGAACAGCCATTTCCTTCATGTGATGTCGTATTTGATGTCTGAGCTGCCGGGTTGTAGGCGACGACGTCACCGCTGTCGCTGAAGCAGTACACGACCGTCTCATCTGCAACACGGGATGTGTAGTATGAGATTCAGTTAGGTCCAAGGGCCAAAATTAAATAGTAATGATATGGATCAATAGTTGCGTTGGGTCTAATTATGAATAATGGTTTGTCGGCTCCAAACTCGTGCTCCTTTGTTTTATCAAAGCGGTAAACGTCTAAAACATGCACAACTTCAGGTTTTCCTCCCACGTTAAGATGTTTGTTTGTTGTATAACGCCTCACTCAGCAATATTCCAGCTATATGATGGCGGTCTGTAAATAATCGAGTCTGGACCAGAAATTCCAGTGATTGACATCATGATACTAGTAATCGATCCACGCAGTTGGGATACGATGACATGCATCAACCACCACGTCAGCGAGCCTGACCACCCGATCCCGTTACCCGATCCCGATCGCCTCTTACGAAAAGCGGGGGCACGGGTGGCCCAGTCGTCTAAGGCGCCGTGATTCGCTGTGCAGAGTTACGTCCCTTGGGCACGCCAGAAACCTATGATTGTTTGTTCGAACCCCGGTTCGCCCCTATTATGTTTCTAGGTTTGTCAGCACCATACCCGTGCTCGTGGGTTTCACCGAAGTGGTAAACGTCTGAGGCTGCATCACTTCGGGCTTTCCTCCCACATTAAGCTGACACGCCGCGATATAACTGGAATAGTGTTAAAAACGGCGTTAAACCCAACTCACTCACTCTTACGACAAGCATAGTCGCCTTAAACGACAGGTATGGGTTGTTGAAGACCTATTCTACCCCGGATCTCAACGCGTCGTTACCACTCTATCAGAAAGTGCTCCACCTGTATGTATCATTACAACCCATAGAGAGATGTATGACTATTGTCCCTTCTTAAGACTTGGGCCTTGTACAGATCTATTCTACGGATATCTTACCTATCTAGAAACATCGAGACAAACATTCATTTAGCAATAACCCTCAACATACCTTCAGCTTCATATCCAATACCCACAGCACTTGTGGCGTCGCTGATCTTGGTGTGGGTGTTAGCGCTGATGTCGAATGCGCTGACGCCCGTAGAGGAGGTGTAATATATTATCCTTCAAAGAATGAGAAATAGATTTCATGTTTATGAGACCGCCTCCGTGGTCTAGTGGTAGAGCGTCCGCCCGGAGAGCGGAAGGTCCGGAGTTCGATCCCCGGCCGCGTCATACCAAAAGACGTTAAAAGATGGTACTTGTTGTTACCTGTCTGGCGCTCGGTATCAAGGGGCTAAAACAAGGACTGGTCGGCTCGGAGTCAGTAAACTGTGTCAGAGTGGGGTATTCATGTTAAACTGCGGCATGGTATCTCAGTGAGCTAGCACTATAAATCGGCATCAGTCCGTGCATGCACGTCGCTATATAAGTGCAATAATCTTGGACGCGACGTTAAACCCCATTTCACCTCACCTCACCTCATGTTTATGTACATACCTTTACCTTGATTGTTTTGCCTTTAATTGTATTGTTTCACACCTTCTTGTCTTTTTGTGTTATACCTCGATATAAAAGGAATACTGTTCATACTTCTTACTGTGTTTACCTTACTTACAAAATACATTTTCCACACCTTGAATACCACTAATCACCCCCGGCTGGGCAAATGGGCACAGACCACATTGCCACTCTCTCGCTTTATGATTTGTCTGGGGACGGTGGACAAGTGGTGTCAGGTGTCTCAATATACTGTGAAGATTTGCCTCCCTTAACATCGCGAGGATCCGCTGATCACGTTTGTTTTCCACAATCGCCCCGATTATGATTTTGATTTGTCAGCAACACTCACTCACTCACTCACTCACTCACGATATACCTCAGTGTTCATCATGCAGTCAGCATGGCCACGCGCTACTCACCTATTGGCTGAATCAATGGCGAGTCGTCTGCCATGACCAAGGGAAGCGCCCATGTTTGTGACGACGGGAGTGGTTGTGACATTTTCTATCTGCTCGATGTAATTGGAATTTCCCTCGGTTAGAAGGACGTACATCACACCACTGTTGTCAAACGTCAGATCAACTGGAGCGTGTTGAGCTAAAACACGCAGGATCAAGTTTCCATCAACAGCTACTTTAACAGCGTTTGCCTATCTGTTACAGACACCAGTCATCACATTTTGAAAATGATCAGTAGTAGTTTTCAGGCCTTGTTTCATTTTGTTTTCACTCTTGACAAAGTAAATAGACTCTTATTACCTTGTATAAGCTTACTTTTTTTGTCAGAAACATCATAAAAAAATTAAACATATTTATTAACAAAGATATATTCTTGGCCCACGTATTAATTTACAAGATGACCGCCGAAATTCATTGAAATTCTTATTCCTTTCTAGGAGTTGCGTCCCATTATATTGCATTTTTAGCGATTCGCTGTGCAGAGTTGCGTCCCTTGAACACGCCAGAAACCTATGATTGTGGGTTCGAATCCCGGTTCGCCCCGATTATGTTTCTAGGTTTGTTACCGAAGTGGTAAACGTCTGAGACCTGAATCTCTTCGGTCTTTCCTCCCACATTAAGCTGACACGCCGTGATATAACTGGAATATTGTTAAAAGCGGCGTTAAGCCAAACTCACTCACTGCATTTTTTAAAATATATGAGTATCTCAACCTGAAGGTTATTATTGTCAAACAAGGGCTTCCCTAGGCAAATGAACACTTTTGCAAAAACATTTTTTGTTAAAGATATGGAAATAATGTCAGCATTTTCCTTTTTTCCCTCGGACATTTTAAGTCACGGAATATCTGGCTTATGGAAATTATATTAAGTTGGAAACGCTAATAAACACATTTAATAAGAAAGAAACATCAATGAACAGACTAATAGGGTATCTAGTATTACAACACATGCACAATACCTATCTGGTTATATAACATTTGATATAGTTTTTCAAATGCATCAAAGGGTTATGCCGAAAATTTTGCACTTCGGGTTAAACGCACCAAAAATGACACACGTATACATTGAACCATTCCAAACATTTCTGGATATTGATCAGCTCGGCCACGTGCCCTGGAAGTGACCTAAAATCAAGATGGCCTGCATCATATGGCTGAAATCTCTTAAGATATCACTCAATACTCAATATATCGTAATTATCTGGTCAATTATATAAATTATCACATTAATTTATTTTAGGATTAATTACAACAATGCTGCATAAAATTCAAATCTAGTATGCGGCGCCCCCTTGTGGTGACGAAAATCCACAATGGCCGCCAAAATGACTTAATTTTCAGAAATTGTCCATTTGTACAGCAGCTATCGATATTATTGATATCTTTTGGCTTTGGATAAGTTGACAAGATTTAAATAAATCGAATATGATGACATTGTATGAATGTGTGATCTCCAGGAAAAGTAGAGGATTTTCGAAAATAACAGATTATTACAGAAATACAAAGAGATGATGATAATGGATGAAAAAAGGATGGACTAGGGATAAAATGACGATTACAGGACATGTTGGCGCTGTGTTGTGATTTTACTGATCTGATAACCATGTGTTACTTTCTGCTGCGTTTACAAATGCAGAGATTCTGCTGCTTAGAAGTAAAATATAATTGATAAATGCTACTGAGCTTGGATGAAACTCGGTCGACTGCATTCCATCATCAGGAACATGGACCCAGTTCAAGGAAATATAAAACGTCGCCAGGTAATAATCAGTCTAGATTATCTGCCGAAACAGATTCCATTATTGTGCTTTACCAAGCGTTGTCCACTTGGGTATCCACATATTACGACATGTCCTCGACCAGCCCCAGTCTGCAGGATTAGTAGAAGTGTGGGAAAGACATGTTTTTGTGCTGGTCCAATATCTTGATCAAATGCCAAGAAACGCTTCTGTGCCTTGATTGTGTCCTCCCAGATCTGGAAATTCTGACAAGATTCGAATGTTTTGTCTTCTTTCCGTGTACATATACTGAATTTAAATGTAATTTCGTGTAGCCTAAACGGGTCATAGATTCCGCAGATCTGCCGTATGGACTACAGACCTTGCTTCAAATCACCTTCTACCTATCACTTACAGACACAACATTGATGTCTTCCACCCCTCCCTCCTGATTGATAACACTCGTTACCTATCACTTACAGACACAACATTGATGTCTTCCACTCCTCCCTCCTGAGTGATAACATGCGTTACCTATCTCTTACAGACACAACATTGATGTCTTCCATCCCTCCCGCCTGATTGATAACACTCGTTACCTATCACTTACAGACACAACATTGATGTCTTCCACTCCTCCCTCCTGAGTGGTAACAATCGTTACCTATTACTTACAGACACAACATTGATGTCTTCCACTCCTCCCTCCTGAGTGGTAACAATCGTTACCTATTACTTACAGACACAACATTGATGTCTTCCGTCCCTCCCTTCTTAGTGATAACACTCGTTACCTATCACTTACAGACACAACATTGATGTCTTCCACTCCTCCCTCCTGAATGATAACACTCGTTACCTATCACTTACAGACACAACATTGATGTCTTCCATCCCTCCCTCCTGAATGATAACACTCGTTACCTATCACTTACAGACACAACATTGATGTCTTCCACTCCTCCCTCCTGAATGATAACACTCGTTACCTATCACTTACAGACACAACATTGATGTCTTCCACTCCTCCCTCCTGAATGATAACACTCGTTACCTATCACTTACAGACACAACATTGATGTCTTCCATCCCTCCCTCCTGAATGATAACACTCGTTACCTATCACTTACAGACACAACATTGATGTCTTCCGTCCCTCCCTTCTTAGTGATAACACTTGTTACCTATCACTTACAGACACAACATTGATGTCTTCCATCCCTCCCTCCTGAATGATAACACTCGTTACCTATCACTTACAGACACAACATTGATGTCTTCCACTCCTCCCTCCTGAGTGGTAACAATCGTTACCTATTACTTACAGACACAACATTGATGTCTTCCACTCCTCCCTCCTGAGTGGTAACAATCGTTACCTATTACTTACAGACACAACATTGATGTCTTCCGTCCCTCCCTTCTTAGTGATAACACTCGTTACCTATCACTTACAGACACAACATTGATGTCTTCCACTCCTCCCTCCTGAGTGATAACACTCGTTACCTATTACTTACAGACACAACATTGATCTCTTCCACTCCTCCCTCCTGAGTGGTAACAATCGTTACCTATTACTTACAGACACAACATTGATGTCTTCCGTCCCTCCCTTCTTAGTGATAACACTCGTTACCTATCACTTACAGACACAACATTGATGTCTTCCACCCCTCCCTCCTGAATGATAACACTCGTTACCTATCACTTACAGACACAACATTGATGTCTTCCACCCCTCCCTCCTGAATGATAACACTCGTTACCTATCACTTACAGACACAACATTGATGTCTTCCACTCCTCCCTCCTGAATGATAACACTCGTTACCTATCACTTACAGACACAACATTGATGTCTTCCACTCCTCCCTCCTGAATGATAACAATCGTTACCTATTACTTACAGATACAACATTGATGTCTTCCGTCCCTCCCTTCTTAGTGATAACACTCGTTACCTATCACTTACAGACACAACATTGATGTCTTCCACTCCTCCCTCCTGAGTGGTAACAATCGTTACCTATTACTTACAGACACAACATTGATGTCTTCCGTCCCTCCCTTCTTAGTGATAACACTCGTTACCTATCACTTACAGACACAACATTGATGTCTTCCGCTCCTCCCTCCTGAGTGGTAACAATCGTTACCTATTACTTACAGACACAACATTGATGTCTTCCGTCCCTCCCTTCTTAGTGATAACACGTGTTACCTATCACTTACAGACACAACATTGATGTCTTCCATCCCTCCCTCCTGAGTGGTAACAATCGTTACCTATTACTTACAGACACAACATTGATGTCTTCCACCCCTCCCTTCTTAGTGATAACACTTGTTACCTATCACTTACAGACACAACATTGATGTCTTCCGCTCCTCCCTTCTTAGTGATAACACTTGTTACCTATCACTTACAGACACAACATTGATGTCTTCCGCTCCTCCCTTCTTAGTGATAACACTTGTTACCTATCACTTACAGACACAACATTGATGTCTTCCGCTCCTCCCTTCTTAGTGATAACACTCGTTACCTATCACTTACAGACACAACATTGATGTCTTCCACTCCTCCCTCCTGAGTGGTAACAATCGTTACCTATTACTTACAGACACAACATTGATGTCTTCCACCCCTCCCTTCTTAGTGATAACACTTGTTACCTATCACTTACAGACACAACATTGATGTCTTCCGACCCTCCCTCCTGAATGATAACACTCGTTACCTATCTCTTACAGACACAACATTGATGTCTTCCGACCCTCCCTCCTGAGTGATAACACTCGTTACCTATCACTTACAGACACAACATTGATGTCTTCCATCCCTCCCGCCTGATTGATAACACTCGTTACCTATCTCTTACAGACACAACATTGATGTCTTCCACTCCTCCCTCCTGAGTGATAACACTTGTTACCTATCACTTACAGACACAACATTGATGTCTTCCATCCCTCCCTCCTGAGTGATAACACTCGTTACCTATCACTTACAGACACAACATTGATGTCTTCCATCCCTCCCGCCTGATTGATAACACTCGTTACCTATCACTTACAGACACAACATTGATGTCTTCCATCCCTCCCGCCTGATTGATAACACTCGTTACCTATCACTTACAGACACAACATTGATGTCTTCCATCCCTCCCGCCTGATTGATAACACTCGTTACCTATCACTTACAGACACAACATTGATGTCTTCCACTCCTCCCTCCTGAGTGGTAACACTCGTTACCTATCACTTACAGACACAACATTGATGTCTTCCATCCCTCCCGCCTGATTGATAACACTCGTTACCTATCACTTACAGACACAACATTGATGTCTTCCACTCCTCCCTCCTGAGTGATAACACTCGTTACCTATCACTTACAGACACAACATTGATGTCTTCCACTCCTCCCTCCTGAGTGATAACATGCGTTACCTATCACTTACAGACACAACATTGATGTCTTCCACCCCTCCCTCCTGAATGATAACACTTGTTACCTATCTCTTACAGACACAACATTGATGTCTTCCACCCCTCCCTCCTGAGTGATAACACTCGTTACCTATCACTTACAGACACAACATTGATGTCTTCCAACCCTCCCTTCTTAGTTATAACACTTGTTACCTATCACTTACAGACACAACATTGATGTCTTCCACTCCTCCCTTCTTAGTTATAACACTTGTTACCTATCACTTACAGATACAACATTGATGTCTTCCACTCCTCCCTCCTGAGTGGTAACACTCGTTACCTATTACTTACAGACACAACATTGATGTCTTCCATCCCTCCCGCCTGATTGATAACACTCGTTACCTATCACTTACAGACACAACATTGATGTCTTCCACTCCTCCCTCCTGAGTGATAACACTTGTTACCTATCACTTACAGACACAACATTGATGTCTTCCGACCCTCCCTCCTGAGTGGTAACACTCGTTACCTATCACTTACAGACACAACATTGATGTCTTCCGCCATTCCCTTCTTAGTGATAACACTTGTTACCTATCTCTTACAGACACAACATTGATGTCTTCCGACCCTCCCTCCTGAGTGGTAACACTCGTTACCTATCACTTACAGACACAACATTGATGTCTTCCACTCCTCCCTCCTGAGTGATAACACGCGTTACCAATCACTTACAGACACAACATTGATGTCTTCCACCCCTCCCTTCTTAGTGATAACACTTGTTACCTATCACTTACAGATACAACATTGATGTCTTCCACTCCTCCCTCCTGAGTGATAACACGCGTTACCAATCACTTACAGACACAACATTGATGTCTTCCACCCCTCCCTTCTTAGTGATAACACTTGTTACCTATCACTTACAGATACAACATTGATGTCTTCCACTCCTCCCTCCTGAGTGATAACACTCGTTACCAATCACTTACAGACACAACATTGATGTCTTCCACCCCTCCCTTCTTAGTGATAACACTTGTTACCTATCACTTACAGACACAACATTGATGTCTTCCACTCCTCCCTCCTGAGTGATAACACGCGTTACCTATCACTTACAGATACAACATTGATGTCTTCCATCCCTCCCTTCTTAGTGATAACACTTGTTACCTATCTCTTACAGACACAACATTGATGTCTTCCACCCCTCCCTTCTTAGTGATAACACTTGTTACCTATCACTTACAGATACAACATTGATGTCTTCCGACCCTCCCTCCTGAGTGATAACACTCGTTACCTATCACTTACAGACACAACATTGATGTCTTCCGCCCCTCCCTCCTGATTGATAACACTCGTTACCTATCTCTTACAGACACAACATTGATGTCTTCCGTCCCTCCCTTCTTAGTGATAACACTTGTTACCTATCACTTACAGACACAACATTGATGTCTTCCATCCCTCCCGCCTGATTGATAACACTCGTTACCTATCACTTACAGACACAACATTGATGTCTTCCATCCCTCCCGCCTGATTGATAACACTCGTTACCTATCACTTACAGACACAACATTGATGTCTTCCACTCCTCCCTCCTGAGTGGTAACACTCGTTACCTATCACTTACAGACACAACATTGATGTCTTCCATCCCTCCCGCCTGATTGATAACACTCGTTACCTATCACTTACAGACACAACATTGATGTCTTCCGACCCTCCCTCCTGAGTGGTAACACTCGTTACCTATCACTTACAGACACAACATTGATGTCTTCCACCCCTCCCTTCTTAGTGATAACACTTGTTACCTATCACTTACAGATACAACATTGATGTCTTCCACTCCTCCCTCCTGAGTGGTAACACTCGTTACCTATTACTTACAGACACAACATTGATGTCTTCCACTCCTCCCTCCTGAGTGGTAACACTCGTTACCTATCACTTACAGACACAACATTGATGTCTTCCATCCCTCCCGCCTGATTGATAACACTCGTTACCTATCACTTACAGACACAACATTGATGTCTTCCGACCCTCCCTCCTGAGTGGTAACACTCGTTACCTATCACTTACAGACACAACATTGATGTCTTCCACCCCTCCCTTCTTAGTGATAACACTTGTTACCTATCACTTACAGATACAACATTGATGTCTTCCACTCCTCCCTCCTGAGTGGTAACACTCGTTACCTATTACTTACAGACACAACATTGATGTCTTCCATCCCTCCCGCCTGATTGATAACACTCGTTACCTATCACTTACAGACACAACATTGATGTCTTCCACTCCTCCCTCCTGAGTGATAACACGCGTTACCTATCTCTTACAGACACAACATTGATGTCTTCCGACCCTCCCTCCCTCCTGATAACACTTGTTACCTATCACTTACAGACACAACATTGATGTCTTCCACTCCTCCCTCCTGAGTGGTAACAATCGTTACCTATTACTTACAGACACAACATTGATGTCTTCCGTCCCTCCCTTCTTAGTGATAACACTCGTTACCTATCACTTACAGACACAACATTGATGTCTTCCACTCCTCCCTCCTGAGTGGTAACACGCGTTACCTATTACTTACAGACACAACATTGATGTCTTCCGACCCTCCCTCCCTCCTGATAACACTCGTTACCTATCACTTACAGACACAACATTGATGTCTTCCACTCCTCCCTCCTGAGTGGTAACAATCGTTACCTATTACTTACAGACACAACATTGATGTCTTCCGTCCCTCCCTTCTTAGTGATAACACTCGTTACCTATCACTTACAGACACAACATTGATGTCTTCCATCCCTCCCTCCTGAATGATAACACTTGTTACCTATCACTTACAGACACAACATTGATGTCTTCCACCCCTCCCTTCTTAGTGATAACACTTGTTACCTATCACTTACAGATACAACATTGATGTCGTCCGCCCCTCCCTCCTGAGTGATAACACTCGTTACCTATCTCTTACAGACACAACATTGATGTCTTCCACCCCTCCCTTCTTAGTGATAACACTTGTTACCTATCACTTACAGATACAACATTGATGTCTTCCACCCCTCCCTTCTTAGTGATAACACTCGTTACCTATCACTTACAGACACAACATTGATGTCTTCCACCCCTCCCTTCTTAGTGATAACACTTGTTACCTATCACTTACAGATACAACATTGATGTCTTCCGCCCCTCCCTTCTTAGTGATAACACTTGTTACCTATCACTTACAGATACAACATTGATGTCTTCCGCCCCTCCCTTCTTAGTGATAACACTTGTTACCTATCACTTACAGATACAACATTGATGTCTTCCGCCCCTCCCACCTGTGTGATACTTACCAGTGTAGGTTCTGATATCTGCCTCGTTGCTACCATCAACATCTCTACGGACAATTGTAATGGAATCATCATCTGCCTCCTCAACAGAATAAAGGCTGTTGGACACACGGTCGTAGGAGATTGCAAGAATTGTCTTCCCGGCGCTGACGTCGACGGCGGGTGCGTCACGGTAGATGTGCTCATTGGTGGCAACCACGACAGATTTACGGCTGGTGAACGCATTGGACATGGCACTGACTCCTCCAAAATCAGTTAGACTGGGTGCTTGTGCAACAGGGGTTTCCCGCGGACGTAAGATACCTGGTCGAAAAAAGGGAATATGAAGAACCTACATCCATTTTCTGAAAATCAATTACAACAGAACTGAAAGACTAGCCACTATTGTTGCTCAATCAACTGCTGCGAGCTTCAGCAACTACAACTACTGCTGCTACTGCTACTACTACGCATGACTGCTACTACTATTACAACTACTACCACTGCTGCTTCTCTTGCCGTAAAAGGCGAATATGCTTGTCGTCAGAGGCGACTAACGCGATCGGGTGGTCAGGCTCGCTGACTTGGTTGGTGCATGTCATCGTAGCCCAATTGTGTGATGCGATGCTCATGATGTCAATTACTGGATTGTCTGGTCCAGACTCGATAATTTACAGACCGCCGTCATATAGCTGGAAACAGAACTGCTGCTTCTGCTGCTACTACTACTACTACTACTACTCCTACTTAATGCTACTACAAACAACAATACTGAGTTTGTTACTACTACTATTGCTGCTTCTATACTTCTGCTTATTCTACTTCAACTACTACTACTACTGCTAATCTTACTGCTACTACTACTACTACTACTACTACTACTACTGCTACTACTTCTACTACTGCTTTACTAATGACAATAGCGAATGAACGGTGAGTGTGTGGGTTGTGTTTAAAGCCACTTTGAACAGTATACATCATGGGCCTTTGTATTTCCCACTGATGCATGCTCACATCGCTATATTATTATTTCTCCTGTCACTCAATCAGTGCGCACTCAAATCTCAATCAGTCATCAATCATCATTTCTTTCTCAGAAAGAACTCCCCACGGTGGTACAGAAGAAAAGGTTTCATGATTATAATTGATATTTAACAAGATGACGGTTATACCGTACAAATATTTGGTGACATTTCAACATTTTTTTATTTTATTTTTTACGAACATTTAAACAGAAACACATCCATAAACACACATATATACACACCAAGGTACTTATCTGTTATACATATGAATTTTGCAAGGTTCTTGATTTCCTTTACATTTCTGGTACTTAACAATTATTTGTTTTGTTTTTTATTATATTCGGAAACTTAATTATTTATTTGAGACAACATTATTATTTATTTGAGACAAGTTTAAATCTAGATTCACGGAAAGCTTTACATTTAAACAGGTAGTGGAATTCATCGGCTATAGCTTGCGACAGTTTACATGTTCTAAATTCTCTATCAATACCAAGCCAACCGCCATCTTCGACAGGCAGAGTATGGTTACAGGTTCTATGTTCTATACCAGGAGTATGGTGTGTGTGTGTGTGTGTGTGTGTGTGTGCGTGCGTGCGTGCGTGCGTGCGTGCTTGCGCGCGGGCGTTTGTGTGTGTATGTACATGTTGTGTGTGTGTGTTTGTGTATGTGTGAGTTTGTGTGTGAGTGGTTGTATGGTGTGAGTGTGCGTGTGTGTGTGTGTGAGTGAGTTTGTGTGTGAGTGGTTGTATGGTGTGAGTGTGCGTGTGAGTAATTGTGCGTGTCTGCCTCTGTATATGTACGTGCGTGTACATGTGTGTTTGTGTGTACGTGTGCTTGCGTGTGTGGATGTGTTTGTGTGTGTTGTGCAGATGTGTCTTAGTGTATACGTCTGCTTGCGTGTGTGTCTGAGCATGTGCGTGTGTATCTCTGCGTGCGCGTGTGTATGTGTGCGTGAGTTTCTCTGTTTGCGTGCGTGCGTTTGTATGTCAGTGCTTGCCTATGTGTGTCTGCGTGTGAGTATAAATGCGTGTGTGTGTCTGCCTGTGTGTGTGTGTGGATGTGTCTATGTGTGCGTGTGTGGATGTGTCCGTGTGTGTGTCTGCGCGTATGCGTGCTAGTGTGTGTGTGTGTATGTGTATGTGCGTTGGTTTATATGTTGGTAAACGTACTATCGGGGGTGATAATTGCTGCATCAGTCCAGAATTCGCCAGGACACTCGTGACAAGCAAGCTTCTCCAGTTTACTGATGACCTCTTGCAGACGCTGAAGGCGCTCCTCGAACCTCCGTAGCAACTTGGTCAGGCAGTCATCTGCACATTCGTCTGAAAATTGAAATCAAGTCAAATTACCTGCCATTATTCTGTAAAAGAAACCTCCCCTTGGATTACGAGCACGAATAGGTGCCTCGTACCCAGTGATTGTAATAGCCAGCTACAAATAGGAGGGATATAAATGGTGTTTAACGTCGCGTTCAAGATGATTACATTTATATAGCGACGTGCGTGTGCATGCGCGTGCATGCGAGTGCATGCGCGTGTGGTTGGTTGCACTAACCCGGACTTATATAGCCCACTTAAATACCATGCCGCAGTTTCCATAGTTACCCAGACACAGCATACTATCTCTAAACCGACCGATCCTTGTCCTATTTCCTTATGCCAAGGAACAAAAAATAAAATCGGTTTATCGTCTTTTTTGTATGACGCTGTCAGGGGATGAGGGGTGGTCGCGTAGCCTAGGGGTTAAAGCATTCGCTCGTCACGCCGAAGACCCGGGCTCGATTCCCGACATGGGTACAATGTGTGAAGCCCATTTCTGGTGTCCCCCGCCCTGATATTGCTGGAATATTGCTAAAAGCGGTGTAAAACCATACTCACTCACTCACTCACCCAGGCAGACGCTCTGCCCACAAGACCATGGAGGAGGTCAGCAAAGGTATAGCTGGGAGGTGCCATTGTGTCTCGAAGGCGTTGATTGTTGTCGTTGCTGCCAAACACGAGTTTATGGCCCAAGATTCGGTTATTTGCAGGCCGTATCGAAACGCTGCTTTCTAAATTCCAGTATTACTCCAATAGGTATGCACGTGAAACAGAACAAGCTGATTCCACCATAGTTCCCCCCTGGTAGTGGTGCCCCGGAATACCAGCTCACCCTTTGACGTCTTTAGTTTAACGTTCTAATACACAACTATAATGGCCTCTCTCATACCTTATTCCTTATTTACCGCCACAGAAAATATACTGCTGGTCAAAAGAAAGTATACACCCATGTAAGATAGTGACTAAAAATAAAACAAACAAGAAATGGTTATTTGATGGTGATGTATTTGATACGGGTATCATAGATGACATTTTGGGGCCAAATCCAAATTTCTGGTGTATATATACTCTCTTTTGGCCGGACATATTTTCTTTGGCGGTAAATGTAGAATTGGTGGATATCCGTCTAGCTGACGGAGAATAAAGCTCAAAATTAATATCACTTATGTTTCTATAATGTGTTGTAATTAAACACAGATACGTAAAGGTTCAACAAGGGTCAGTCAGTTACAAACAACTAAATATTCTTTGAAAGAAACATTAAATTCTTCTTGGATTCCCTGACTGCTGCAAAGGCAATGTTAACATGCACTTCTAAAAAAGAGATAAATAACACCCGATTCTTTCATATTACTGAAGTTAATTTGCCATGGTATGTATGAAAGAATCGGATGTTCTTTAACTTATTTTGAGTTTTATATATACAATATCAGTAAAAGTTTATGTGATTAGTTCGACCCAAACCACCGCACCACCGCCTATGTCCTGACAAAGTTACTATAGTAATATGAAAGAATCGGGTGTTTTTGAGTTATTTGAGTTGCATACTTGGCAAAAGGAAAGATTTCCAAAAGATTCACTGAAAAATAAGCTTGAAATAGTCTCTTCATATCAATCAAAGTCATTGATATGTGATAAATTCTATTTAAATCTTATGCAAGTAGAGCATAATTGTCTTAATAAGCCTTATCAACGTATGCGTATAGAAGATATATATCATATGTAACGTCCACAGTTATGTCAAGTTCTAATTAAAGTTGTACCAAGGCACCCCTCATGTAGACTGGAACAGTCTCCATTCTATTATAAAATATCAAAGAAAAAAATTTAAAACAAAATTTGAAACTTTAGTTCTGAAAAAAATAATTAAATAAAGTCTATTTCCAGAGGTTCGTATGCATTCGGAAGACGAAAAAAAGTCATCTCGGATATTTTGTTGAGTGTTATTTTAAATTCATATTTGAAACAAGCACTACTTCAATTCTATCCTTCATACAGTGATCCAATAACTTTTCCAACAACATAATAAATACTACTATATGTATACCTGCGTATTCACACATTTCTTGGAGGACGACTATTTGCTTGAATGATTTAGTGCATGACTTCGACCACAAGAATCCAACATGTCATGTTTTGTATTTTATTTTCAAACACCCCTTGCTATAGAAAAAAACACTACACAGAGGGTGTTTGACATAAAAAAAAGAAGTCATTTTCTATATCACAACGTTGGATTCCTCTGCTCTGACCTCACAGACAACGGAAGATACTGGATGCGTAGCGTGATATCAACCGTTTCACGAATACATGACATCTGTACAGCCTGGCAGTGACTTAAATTGTGAGTGAAGATTTTCAAACTGTCGCTTCCATTTAGTTCAATAGTTTCTTCGTGATACGAGGATTGGCCCTGTTCTTAAAAACCTCTCCGGCGTTTTGACGGTCGTGATTCAACTGCTGACTTTGTACAATCTTGACTTTAAGACGCTTTGTGGAACAAGCCATGGGTGACTATGCTTGTCGTAAGAGGCGACTAACGGGATCGGGTGGTCAGGCTCGCTGACTTGGTTGATGCATGTCATCGTACCCAATTGCATGGATCGACTATCATGACGTCAATCACTGGATTGTCTGGTCCAGACTCGATTATTTACAGACCGCCGTCATATAGGTGGACTTTTGCTGAGTGCGGCGTTAAACAACAAACAAAAAAACAACAAAAACCTGAATAAATATTGCCAAATGTGCCTCTATCTTAATGGTTATGTTTCTGACACAAGTAACTTTCCTTACCTTCGCATGCAGGACAGAATTCTGCAACAGAAGTGTCGACTGTTCGCATCTGTTTTATGGCTGCCTCAAAGAGTTTCTTCAGTGACTTCAGTTCTATCTCCAGACTGGATTTTCTCAAACCCTGGACCACTGAAGATCCGGACAGAGCCACGAAAACCAACAAAACAGACAACGCCGCCTTCATGGTTTTACCTCCCAACGACGTCGACAATGTGACACATGTGCAGATTTTAGATACTTATATCCCCGTTTTGGGGTGTTTGGGCGATTGTCATATCGTTTTGTTCAAGTCACTCAACCAAACACGATTTTACTATAGCCAATGCTTATTAAGTCTTAAGCCTGAATAGATGGTGCTGAAAACGGAGAACCCGTTTTCGAACATTTGAGAGTGAAACATAGAAACACATTAACGTTAATGGCCACGAGAAAAAAAATCATATTATCACTGCTTGAGGGGGTAATTCTTTTGTCATTATCATACCACCTGATTATCATTCATCCGTTAAATTATAGAAAGATAAAGATATTGCAAATGCTATATATTGCTTCTGTCTGTTTTAACGACATATTATCAGCATGGATGAGTATTTACTTTGGTCAACAAGTATAGATCAGATGAATTAATATGACACTCCCATGGACGTTGTATTTACCCTCTTCTCTTTAATGATCATTGGTTACAGTTGGCCCTGAAAACGACGAATTTGCATAATTAATGAACTGACTGAAAACCTACCCCCTCCTTCGTCCCATGGGAGTGAGCATCCGTAATATCTTAAAGCTCGATTTTTTCTGAATTCTTTTTGGGGCACGGGTGGCCCAATTGTCTAAGGCGCCGCGATTCGCTGTGCAGAGTTGCGTCCCTTGGGCACTCCAGAAACCTATGATTGTGAGTTCGAATCCCGGTTCGCCCCGATTATGTTTCTAGGTTTGTCAGCACCATACCCGCGCTCGTGGGTTTCACCGAAGTGGTAAACGTCTGAGACCTGCATCACTTCGGGCTTTCCTCCCACATTAAGCTGACTCACAGTGATATAACTGGAATAATGTTAAAGCGGCGTTAAACCCCAACTCACTCACTCACTCTGAATACTTTTTGTCAAATGGGAAATATGCCTCCCAAAGAATGAAAAACATGTAGACGTATAAAAATTAATATGTTCTTCATAAAAAAATAAGTAGATTGAAGGTGGGGAAAGCACGCAATATTATGGTTTGTGACAACATACTGAATCTGTCGCGCCCATGCTGTGTTCCCATCAAAAAGAAATATAAATTAAACTTATAGCAAAAGAAATGACTTACAAAGATATTCTGAAAGGAGTTGTTCAAATATGTCAATGCACATTAAATTTCTAAAAAACAATCGTCATGTAGACAAAAAACATTCACATTAAATTCCTTTTTAGCTGAGTGAGTGAATGTTGTTGAGGCCCGCACTCAGCACGGTTCCATCTAAAACCATGGCGACCCGCGTACATATTCGAGTCTGCATGGAGACTTGGGTTATGACAATATACACTCATTGACGATACGACACACGGTACCGTTCATGTAACTCAACACATGTGGTAGTGATGAGGGACGTATTCAGTCATCATCGAGGATATTATTGACAAGAAGCCCCTTTGGGGATACCGGCTCAGAGTACGTTCTCAGCAAACCATACGCTGGTCGTGACCGGCGACCTAATGGATCGGGTGGTCAGTCTCGCTGATTTGGGTGAGTGAGTTAGGTTTAACGCCGCTTTTAACATTATTCCAGTTATATCGCGGCGTGTCAGCTTAATGTGGGAGGAAAGCCCGAAGTGATGCAGGTCTCAGACGTTTACCACTTCGGTGAAACCCACGAGCACGGGTATGGTGCTGACAAACCTAGAAACATAATCGGGGCGAACCGGGATTCGAACCCACAATCATAGGTTTCTGGAGTGCCCAAGGGACGCAACTCTGCACAGCGAATCGCGGCGCCTTAGACGACTGGGCCACCCGTGCCCCCCTCGCTGATTTGGTTGATGCATGTCATCGTAGATCGATGCTCATGATGTCAACCACTGTATCATCTGGTCTATCCTCGATTATTTACAGAACGCCGTCATATTGCTGAGTTTAAGCAACAAACAAACAAACATAAACGGACCGACATCATAATGCTCCATAGAATATTGCCAAGTGCGGCTTTGGGGTTAAACTCTAGGGTAGAGGTTTCAAAGTTCATTATACCATATCATGGCCAAGGGTCGTGTATTTTATTGCTTTGTTAATGCTGTAATGCGTCTAGTCATTAATCGGTTGATGGAATATTCGAGGTATTAAGAAGTTATGTCCACATATGACAGTGTGAGAACGGTTCGTCTGCAAAACTGGAGTCAGATCATGTGGGGTTTGCAAATGGTTGCTCGTGTTTCAGTCGTAGATCCGTTTAACACTGATTTTGCGTATTCATGAAGTGTGCCCCAGAATTCTCCTGTAATTCAAATATTCATTCTTGCCTGTTACGTATTACACGATCACCGACAGCAACACCTACACATGCACGTTGATTTAGGCGTCAGTGGGAGTTCTGGCATAAGCAATGAGTTTAAACAAAACTTTCTTCTCATATGAAGCCATCATCTCACAAATGTATATCAGCAGCTGAAACTATTCTTTGTTTCACTTTCAACACTTGGAACAGGGAACATGGAACATAGTATATATGTCTGGGTGAAGGCCCTGTCCCATGAGGTCGACCATGTTTACAATCAGTCTATCTTGAAGTGTGGGAGTCGAACGTCTTAACTCTAATTTGTAGAACGGAACCAGTGATTGGTGAATCAGAAGTTTCAAATAGCAATAATCAACTCTGACTGAAACAGCTGATTCTAAGACCGCATCACCGCGGAAGTCATAATTTATAGGAATGTACTTATTTAGGAGATAAGTAGACGAAATAAATAGAGGATATTTAATGTGTCGTGTGAAATATCATGTTTCCCTCATCGAGTGACGGGGTCATTTTCCCCCGTCACGAGATGACAGGAAACATGATATTTCACGCAACACATGGTATATCCTATTTATTATATACTTTTTGTGTAATTGTCTACCGGAAAATTAAATTATTTCATTGCAAATGTAAAACCTTGGAAGGTAAATCTTCCCCACCTAACACACAGGGACGGTTTCGTGTTTGCAAAATCTTTAAAAATATAAACAAAAGAATCCAAATATATTTTAGGGTCACGAAAATTCTTTATCATACATTTCGACATGATTACATACAGAATCAACTTTAACGAAAAATATTCTTGAAAACTAGGAGACCGCTGTTGGAGCGAAAAAATACACGCTGGTCAAGTCCTAGACTAGGATTAAGTCTATGAAATCTTATATTACACAATGCCCTTCTCGACTCTAAAATTAAACAAATAATTTCCCCCGATGTTGATTTCATAGAGCTAGCTAGAGCTGGCTTTTGTATACGTATATTTGAGGCCGCCAGATAAAATATAGAGGCATACAGTGAAAAAGGATCTCACCAGTGGAAGTATCTGGCGGCATATAGAGGCATACAGTCAATGTGGAACTAACGTTGAAAGGACGTCAACAGTTTGACACTTTCGATAAAGGGAGACAATGTAAGGGGAGGCAACTCTTGTATGACAATAGTTCCGTCAAAGTGTTCTGTTCACTGCCGTGAAATGTCAAGTGTTATTTTTACTGCAATGAAAATCTGACTTTTCTCTGGCGGCATATAGAGGCATACAGTCAATGTGGAACTAACGTTGAAAGGACGTCAACAGTTTGACACTTACGATAAAGGGAGACAATGTAAGGGGAGGCAACTCTTGTATGACAATAGTTCCATCAAAGTGTTCTGTTCACTGCAGTGAAATCTCCAGTGTTATGTTCACTGCAATGAAAATCTGACTTTTCTCAACTTCAGGAAACTCAGTCCTTCACGCTGAACTATTTAATAAAACGCAGTTGAGTCCAGTGTTTTGAGTGGCTTGTCGATCTGAATATATTACGGAATCACCGACAAACGCCTTTAACAAAATATGGCACTGTATATGCTCGAGCAGTTTGTTTACATCGCAATACTTCACTGGAAGATATGACAGGCATTGAAAACACCTTCCTACGCTAACATGAGGTGGACACCCCAAAACAAAACTCAGCAAGCCTTGTAAAGCTTTCGTTCTATATAAACAGCAAGTCACCATTATAAAGTCATATCATTGTGACGCAAAAGATATGACGGCACAGTCGTATAGAAATGCGCCAGACTTATAGGTCTCTGTTTCACATTTTTATGGTGTATACGAAATGTATTGCCACATATCCTTTGAAAAGTGCAGAAGCCGAAACGTGGCATTTTGTGACCTATTATTGCAGATATAATTATTTAAATATGCCTACCGACATGTTAATGACTGAAAAAGTACTATTCTATAAATAGCTTCCATGGTTATGCGACTGTCAGACCCGGTTGTTTCAGTCAGAGGGAGCATATTGTGATTTTACAACCTCTGATTGACCAATCAGAATCGAGTAATTTCCAAATTCATGGTAGAATTCGCAATCATTGTCGATAGTCATTATTAGCACGGCGCTATGCCGTCAGGCAGTTGCGTTATTGGCGGAACACCATGTTCAATGATGAATCGAAGGTTTCTTCTCGGCTCTACAGATGGCCGGATGTTTTGGAGACAAATATCAGAGAGGTTTATTTTTTAACGATAACTATTCAGATAACATAAATTTACATTTTGTTAACTCGAATTTGCATGATTGTAAATCCTTATTTGTTTTTATTCCCATGTGGAAATTCAAATAAATACATAAATATACATGATCTCAAACTTTCGGCCTTATCAGTTATGTTACGATTGTTACATGATGAAGGCCGGAGGGCTTTGGTTGGTTTGTTAGTTGGTTGGTTGGTTGTTTGGTTGGTTGTTTAACGCCGCACTCAGCAATATTCCAGCTATATATATGACGGCGGTCTGTAAATAATCGAGTCTGGACCAGACAATCCAGTGATTGATATCATAAGCATCGATCCACGCAATTGGGATCGATGACATGCATCAATCAAGTCAGCAAGCCTGACCACCCGATGCCGTTAGTCGGCTCTTACGACAAGCATAGTCGCCTTTTTCAAGCAAGCATGGGTTGCTGATGACCTGTTCTACCCCACAGATCTTCACGGGTCGCCGGGAGGGCTAGAGTTTGTGATTATGTATATTTATGTGTATAAGATGATAGTTTTTGTAATAGTTTGTGTTTGATAATTTGTTTGTTTGTTGTTTAACGCAATACCAAGCAATATAGCAATTTTCCAGCTATTTGACGGCGGTCTGTAAATAATCGAGTCTGGACCATACAATCCAGTGATTGATATCAGGAGCATCGATCCATGCAACTGGGATACGATGACATGCATCAACCAAGTCAACGAGCCTGATCCTGTCAGTCGCCTCTTAGGTATGGGTTGCAGAAGACCAATTCAAAACCTGATCTTCACGGGTCTTTTGTATTAGTAATGTATATAGATTATTAATATGATATAAAAGTTTAAACATGAGCACGTCTTTCGTTGATCTTAGTTTTCTTAGGAAATGTAGATAAAGACAATCCTGTAATGAAAACATCTTGGTCAGCTTAGGGGCTTAATTGCTCACAGTTAGAAAAATGAAGTTACGTAGTGGAATTATTAAAAAAAACAGCGAGTGTAAAAAAGCAAAAAGGTTTGTTTTGAACATGTCTGATGACTTTCACGTCATTATTACAATGTTTTAACAGGAAAATTAAAACAATTCCAGTGGACCCACAACGTCCCTAATATTCTTCCTCATCCTGTTTTCATGATGTTCAACGTGGGAGAACGGGTGGACGCCGGGATTCTCTATTCAGTGCTGCCACCTTCGTTGAAAGAATCCTACAATAATGACTTGGAATCCCAGGCTCGTTCTGATTATGTACGAATTTGACGTGAGGTTTCACCAAATTGGTTGCGTTATCTTGGACTTTGATCCGACATGATGTGATGTTACTGAAGTTTTGTTCAAAACGGCTTAAACCGAACTCACCAACTCACTGTATTTGTGGGACTATCGCCACAGAAACTGGGTTTACGTTTATAATTTACCTCTCCACGTGCGTTATGAAATTGTTTATTAGACGGACTCTAGTCTTTCAGCTACTCTGCGCATGCGTCCGACATTTTTGTTGTTAGGTAGTTGGGAGAGACGTAAACTGTGATTTGTAGGACGATTACGCTTATGTAACGTGAATAGGACAAGACAAAATGTGAAACAGGTGTAAAAGAAATGTGTTTGCCATCGTTATGTCATACTGACTACTTTACTTCTCCAGTAGGATTCGAGAAAACACGTCTTGCATATTTGTATACACCGTTGCTATTTTGTGATCCCGCGCTTGACGGGAACAAGTGCTTCATGTATTGATAACCGTTTCGACCCATTCGCCGAGGAAGTACACACAAAGAAACTATTTGTGGATGTTTAATATCAAATGACAACAACCAAGTCAACATTGACTACAGGTAATTTGCGTTATGAGTGTCTTATTTCACTTGTTGCATAAAAAAATGCCTCTTTTTACGACAAATGTCCAGTTTTCGTTACCCCCAAGTACATGACAATTTACAGCTTATGGACCAGATATTATTACACAAAGCCGCATCATATATATATATATATATATATATATATATATATATATATATATATATATATGTTCTTTATTTCCGTAGGTGTTCGACTATCAGTCTTATGTTAGAAATAAGAGAGTTTGGAGAGGGTACCATGACATGGTGTTGCCCATGTTATGCTTGTTGTGGTACATTGCTAATTTCCTATGCTAATCAACTGGCGAAGGGACAACTGGTCCTGTACACGCAAGTAACTGTGTCAGAGTGTGATCTTGTACCTTAATATTCAAGATATTTGCATAATCTGCACCTCGTCTAGTGGACAGTTCATATCTGCATTAAAAACTGAGTTACAAATCACACACAGTAACATATCAGGGTTGGTATTGACCCCCACTCCATGGAGAGGAATTGCAGAAATATATGTGCAGAAATTTTGTAATAAAAGGGACCATTATTGTTCTTCACTTGCCTTGAAAGAAATGAAAACATCCCCTATCAGAATGGTAAATTTCCTTTGGACATGTTGGAAAGTGTGGTGATGATCTGCACATCATACACATACAACAGTTCTTTTTGTATGTCGAATTTTGTGACACAAGCATTCTGTGTCTTCAGCCACAAGTTCGTAGAGTTTAGTAAAATATGTTTGAGTCTGGTAAAGTTAACTTATAATAGTAAATACTAATATTTGCTGAAGATGATGCTGAGAGACAAGTTCACTAGTAACACTCATCAGTCTTGCCTCAGGCTGTACAAGTTTGACTTTCATGTACCGATTGGGATGCAACAGAAACAAACTTCCACAGGGTTCATGACCTTTAGCATACGTTCTGCACGTCACTGCCAAACACACCTTACACTTATCAGTGGTTGTAATTGTCTCAGCTTAGTCACAATGGTGACAAGGGACTATAATTCTGAAAGATGTCTAGACATTACCTCACTCAACAGAAACAACGGCATATTAGCTCCCGAAGAAACTCTTAGAAAGAAGACTTTAGAAATTTAGAAACTTTTATCATGGAAGCATGATAATGAACATAACTAATGATTAAGGAAGTTGTGTCCTTATCGATGGATCTTGGAAATGACATTTTGTAATAATTTGAACATGTCCTACCGGCCTACCTCTGAAAATATTTTTGAAATTCAGGGTAAAATTGCATTTGTCAGTGTCATGTGTCCATGTTTCAGATAAGTAAACATTCAGTATCAAGGATGACTGCCGCTGTGTATGACAATGACATCGACAAATTCATTCAAGATCAGAAGTCTAAACTAGCTAATGAAAGGCAGCGTCTCAATGTAAGTATTCACAATAGTAGCTTTCCATTTTGCTGTCATTATTGCTTCAAGTTATACAGGGGAACATGGTAAATGGCAATATCATGATAATGATGTAGAACCAAGTGCATTAAGCATGAGACATGATTCTTGACTCAGATTTAGGGCTTAGGAGAAGAAACTACTGGTTTTCTTATGTCAAACTATGAATAATGATGGAGATGATTGTCGGATTACAGTCTGTCCTCAAAACTGTACAGATTTCGGAGATGTATTGATGAGACATGCATGGTTGAAAACTGTTTTCCCCAACACAATAAAAAAAGGTGTTTCCAGCATTCTACACCTTTCAAAGAGTCAGGACTGTATCACCTCGCCATTTTATGTCAAAACAATTATGGACACCATCCCCATCCGTACATGTAACACACACACCACACCCTTCCCCCCTTTTCATCCTGTGTAATAAGAGGTTTCCCCTAAATGAGGTATCCTCCCATCAGCACACAGGCCATTTGTCATACAGCTTATAACATGAATTTAACATTGTTGTAACAAGGACCTTTACTCAGAGTGTTGGGTCATACCATTACAGCTTAAGGTGAGTGCTCTAATTACCCCCCTACTCAACTGTATGATGATTGGCAATAACAAGGTGTATGACAAATGGCCTGTCTGACTGATGGGACGGAACCCCTAAATGATAGATCATGTTAATCAAATGTCTGATTTCAGTGTTAGAAATGAAAAAAACCCTGTTTTTTCGATCTCAGATTTTAAATAAATGCAGTTAATATACAAAATATATAAATATTCAAACAACTCAATTAGTACTAATTGGGCCTTGGCACAAATACAGTGTATCAAAGGTTTTTATGTCTTTTTACACGTAAAAGTGTGTAAAAATATGAACAAAACAGACTTGTGAAACTGAGCATAACCAGCTGTTAGTAGATCAAGGTGAATGTCCATGACCTATGACACCTTGACGACAGGTGAAAACAGGTGCTTGAAACCCATGTGCATGTGATTTATCAGTGGTTAGTGATTTGTGAGTGGCATTGTGGGATAGTGAATCATCGTCAAAATATCAGAACGTAAAAGTAACATATTCCCTTCTCAAACAACAACTTACATGTCCTTATTATTATGTACATAAACATAGCTGTTATTTTTATTGTTGTTTTGATAACTTTTTTCCAGACTAATTTGCATAATGCCTATAGCCTGTTTCTGCCATGTCAATTTGGACTTAGTTTTATTTTTGAATGTTGAACATGTTGAAAGTACCTACAAATTACCTCCTGTAAAGTACATTTTGTATTGAGCACTGAGATAAAACTAGCAAATCCAGACTAGTACTTTTCCAGTTGTTTTGTTATTTCATATTTACATCTACGTAATGCTTTGTGTCGATTATTAAATCCAGCAAAACAGTTTTTTTCCATTTCCATGAGTACTTTAGTCCTGTAGTCCTTGCAAAACTGCCCAATAGTTGACTAACAGAAATTTGCCCTTTGTAAAGGTTATGCTATATCTAATCATTATTAGGACTAGTGAACTAAAACTGTTAGCTTCTATCGCTGCTGATTGTTTGTAAAGCTGTCGTGAAGCACAGCTTGACACTGAACCCTGCTTTGACATGCACTGATTGTTCCTGGAACAGTCGTCATATAAATATTATGATTCAAGAACTACATGTCTCAGGACTGTCTACACATGTGCAGACATCCTGGCATATTGAACAATTTGGTTTGGGTGAATCAGAGAAAACATGGAGAAACATACAATCATTGACAAGTTGGTTGTTTGCAGGTAATATTAAGATCCAAAGTGTTACATGTATTCATAAAACACAACATGGTCTTTCCATGGTATCTTGAGATCAAGTTTATATAACTGAGTCTTTCATTCCATTAAAGCTCTCAGAACAAGGATTCTGACTTTTCACTGGCCCTGATTAATATTTGCAGATATTTGTTACTGTTTCTGGCACCAGCTTTGTGTTGAATTGTCAAGACACATGAACCTTAAAAGCTTACCAAGCACTATCATATTTTCCAGTTCTAAGTAGATCAAATTTGAAATAGATAGTTTTTGGTCTTGAAATTGGTAGAAATGCAATGGTTAATTATCATTTCTCCTTTAGATAGCATTATTATTCAGTTTCCTGATAAGATCCCCAGAATGGTGTTCCAGTATCCAGACCAACCCTTATATGATGCTCCCAACTTTTAACATTTTTTCTCTTTTTCATCGAGATGCACCATTGCTGGTACTGTCCATCTTATACGCCATTAGCGTAAATATGTGGCACTTCATAATGAATAAACTGGTCATTATGTGCATTTGAAAGCATGCTTACACTGACACAAATGTGACAGACTAAAACTTGCTGTTTCTTATGCCCCTGCATATGGTGTGTATGTGTGTGGTATATAGTCATCATCTGGTCTATCTGTCCATCTGTATTTCGTGTCCGCAGCGTAACTTGGAAACTGTCAGACTTTTCATTCAAACTTGGTACATGTATTAACCAGGGGTTGAAGTGGTGCCATTTGCTATTCTGGGATGGGAAGGGATTTGTCATCTTCTGATGACTCTTATTTTTCGAAGGAAACATGAACAAATCCCAGAATGTCTCCTTGTTGGATGACTCATTTACCCAGAAGTCAGGGTTTTCAAAAAGAAAGGAAACTGCAAAACATTTATCGCACTGTCATGTTTGTGCAGTCAGGTTTTGGATGGTCAACCCTAACAGCCTCAGGTTATTGAGATGCCAAAATAGGCAGTTATCTGGAATGTCTAGTATTCTGAGCTAAGTACTTGTATTTCCTAAAATGTTTTTTTTGTAGACTATTCCAGAGGCCTAGTGTAAACATTCTTTCTCTGGTCCTTAGAGTTGGTAGCTAGTCCTGCTTGAACAAGACAAAAATGTTTACTATGTTTACATTTTCTGTCAGTTGTATTTATTACCAGTTTGTAGCAAACTTGAAGCTTTGAGGACTGGTTTAGAATTATAGCCCTTGAATGTTACTTGTCAAGAATTACCATCATTGCATTTTTACTTCAGCACAATTGAGTAGTCTTGGTCCAGTAGGCTAGCATGCATGGTGAAAGCTGCCAGTGTGTAATCTGAATTGGGACATATTTTTCAATTTGGAGATTTTACCTCACATTTGCTGTAGATTTTCTATTTCCAATTAATTTCTATCCCTGCTGTTATGATAAGTGACTGGTGCCCCTTGTGATATCCCACAGGATGATGGGGAGAACAAACGCAGAACATGGGACAGAACTGGACATAATGACTACAAGCTAGCAGAGCAGGTACTACACAGATGTCTGTGACCATGATCAGTGTGTTCTGTTATGTGATAGATAGCCAGCTCTTGGTAGTGTGTAGTGGTGGCTGTCGTGACATTCAGCAATGCAATACAATAAAGTGTATTAGAAATAAAATGTATAAAATAAATCTGTCCTTTTACTATCATGTTTATGTCATGGGCATGAACAATGTGATCATTATCATAAATCCTAAGGATGTCATGTTGCATGTCAAATTGTGACAAAATTAAACTGATAGATTTGATAAAGAACACTGATCATTGTTGATAAGAATACATGTTGTTTACTTCTCATGCTTATATTTGCATAAGTTAAATGGTGTACGCAACCATTCTTTGTGACTTCGAACAGTCATGGTTGGGATCAAATGGGGTGAGGGAATAATCAGGGGTATTCATTGTATTCACAGGTCGTGCCTAGAGTAGAACCAAGGTTATATTTCCCACTAGTTCAATATGTCAATCTATTTCTCTGTGGCCCTGCTAGCAATGTAGGATATTACTGTGATTTACTGCTAAAAGGTTTCACTTCTTAACTTGAGTAGGATAGAATTGATGGATTAATACTGATATGTATTATCACTGATTATGAACACGATGAATCCCCAGCATGCATAATAAGATGATTTGAATGCCTCTTACCTTTTGTCAAGGAAGCCATGTTTACAGGTAATGCTGACAGGGGATTTATCTTGACCTGCTCAGAGGCCAGAGCTCCAGATAATTTTTTAGCAATTGAGTTTTTACTCGAAGGTTTCTATTTTAATGGGTTATTACATCTTTCATTGGGCAACCAATATTTTTTTCACTCATCTATTCATCACTCTATTGTTGTTGTTTTTTCCCCAAATGAGTAAGCATTTTGAGATTTAAAAAAGAAATAAATGAAATGTGTATAACGGTTCTTATATAGGCTGAGGGGCAGTCGGGTAGCCTAGTGGTTAAAGCGTTCGCTCGTCACGCCGAAGACCCGGGTTCGATTCCCGGCATGGGTACAATGTGTGAAGCCCATTTCTGGTGTCCCCCTCCGTGATATTGCTGGAATATTGCTAAAAGCGGCGTAAAACCATACTCACTCACTCTTATATAGGCTTGGCTCGGAAAGTAAATTGGCTAGTAATTGTGTTTCGGATATTAGCTCTGTTGTACGCATGCTGAAAAAGCTTCATTGGGTATGTATGCGTGCTGTTTTCAAATGATTGCATTTTCCATTAATGCATGCATATCTGTATGCAAGTTAATTGAAAGTAATTGGGTTTTGAATAGTTTTGGGAGGTATTTTACGCAAATACACAACTTAACTGAAGCTCTGAGAGGCCGATAATCGAACCCATGTCTGCAGCAAATATCAGTAAAATAAAGACGAAGAGGCTTTAATGCGTAGTTTTACATAATAGCATTTAATGCATTATTAAAATGTAGAAAAGAATTTGAACTAACTAATGATGTTTTTCCAATTTAGTTTTTCCCAATTTGTTTTGGAATCCCAGATAAATCCCTGGCTGACAGCTGTGTCTATATCATGGTATTGTGATTGCTGGCCACAATGACACATGCGTAACTGTCTGTGCAACAAGCATGACAAGTGCTACGACCTTCTTGTTGATGGCGTCTTTATGCTTGTATTTCTCTGTGTGTGCAGCTTATTCATGTGATAATGTCCATTATTTTCATAATAATAATGGCCATGTGCCAAGTACTTAGCTCTGTTAATGTATCTCCGTTGCAAATCTTGCTGTCCTGAGGTTAGAGGTCTATATTTACTTTGATCATTGACCCATTTACAAGATGTATGGGTATTGTCACTTTAGAAGTATTTGCAACTTGTTGAAGATATATCACATAGCCTATTACTTAGTACTTTTATCATTCTACCAATGTATTTAGTTTGTCATATTCAGTTAAATTGTTGAGAGAATTATGTACAAATTGCGTCATTTGTTATTTGGGTGTTGTTAAGGATCATATTGAATGTATTCTACTTGAAACATGATGAACTAGGTAGCTTTGTGTTTTCTATTGTCTAAACTAGACAACAGAAAACTAAACTTTTTTATTGCCGATTAATATTATTTGTTTACGTAGTATGGCACTCGCACAATATCCATCCGTGCAAAAAATTCTCAATTATTTAGTTTGTATCATGTACATGTATATGTTTTTGTGATATATTATCTGTTTTGTGATTTGAATAATTTTAAGTGTATTTTGATTGTTTTAGTTATTTAATGTTTATGCTCTATATCATGATACATTCTTGAATCCATCGATCACTATCTTTATGACAGATAACATGGATAACCTATGCGTTTACCACCAATGTCACCATGACCCAAGTAGATATACCCTGTGTCCGAAATAACTGCCTGCCCGTGGCAGATAATTTTCGGTCAGGCCGCATGAAATTTTCTCCACCTGCCTGACTCTCGGGCAGCTAATTTTAAGCCAACTTACATTCTCAGTTTTATTATAACTCCTCGTAGATTCTCAAGTAATTGTTTGCATTATTTCAACTGAATCAAGATGGGATTTGTCTCTTATTTTTTGTGATTTTTCAATATATATAATGTCTGAATGCAGGCAGGAACTTTGAAGATGGTCAAGCAACATTAATGGGTCACCTGCCCGACTCTCTTGTTGGGGAGTAAAATTATTTCAAACACTGCACTCAGTGCATTACACTATTTATTAACAATGTTCAACATGTTCATTTTATATTCATAATATTCATTCTTACACATTCATAGTATTTTGTTTTCTTATTTCTCAAAACAATTCAGTGTTCACAATTAATGGGTTGTCTTGGAATCCTTGAGGCATTTTATATGATACTTAGAATATAGGGACCTCTTATATTTTAAACTTTTAACATATTACATTATAAGTTGTAGCAGGTTCACGAGGGGTACGTGGGGTTTTATGCATCCTGTGTAATGTTTTGTACCCCAAGTACCGCTGAGAAATTTATTTACCTCATAGGCGGGATACATAGTATTTTATCAAGATCACATGGACCAATCAGATCTCATCATTCTGACATATAGGTATGACAGTAGGCAATATTAGATTTGAGACAAGGGCACCTTTAATTTTGAACACTGCTGTTTCAGTCTCGTTTCTCAGACTTAATGTCATTATTTCCCAATTGATTTCCCTTTTTCTTAATGGTATTCCTGTGTGGTCCCTTCATTTGCATGTTGATTGCATGATGATCTCCTGCCTGTAGACACAACGTAGACCCATGTCTGGGGGCCGCACTGGGCTGCCGATTGGAGGGGATGATGCGGATCTCAAGAAGCGCCAAATGCAGGCCGAAAGAAATCGAGAATATAATGAAATGATTCAGAAGGTATTTTCTGGTGGATGTCTGTCTTCCTCGCTCATCTTGGTTGTGTGTCATCTTGAAACCAAACCTTTCCTCAACTGACCTTCTATCCGTCTCCATGACTAAAATGTGTTCTACATGTTCTGTGATGTCCATTCTAACAGCTGATGTATACCTGTTGTTTCTCCTCCACTGCATTTACCAGCAATACTCATGTTTCCACAGATCATTCTTGGTTAAGCTGTTCTGGATCTTAAGTTTTCAGATTGCGCACATTAACATTACTGACGTCATGGGCTGTGGTGGCATTCGGTCTGTCACTCACAAAATGGCCAGTTCTAATGATAACCACTCATTCAACAGACATTGCACAAAAATATGAGTGTAGGTTTGTTTTCTACGAAAAAAAATTGGAAATTTATACTCATCCACATAACGATTTTATCTACTCTGCAAAATACCTTTACATTATATAGGTGCAATTTAATGAATACTGTTAAGGTTTATTGGATGGAAAAGTAAAATACATCAGGTTGATTCAAACATATTTAAATATCGCAATGACAAATAGATTAATCAGGTTTTTTTATCATTGATGACTGATCAGAATCCTGGAATGAGCCCACAATGAAGAGAATGAACACTGCATGTAAATATCCCTGACTGGCTTGTGACCACTCCAGGCAGTGTCCCAGCCTATCACTAGCATCAGAGCTGATGTGGCATCCAGGCTAGCCTGGGGATTGGCCTTGTAGGCTGTTTTCTAATGTTAATAATTTATTCTCTACTTAACCGGTACATTTCTAAATTACAAGAACAGTAGTGCTGCATTAACTATTTATGAAGTAGGAGATCTTTTAGATTTCCAGGGTTTGAAATTTGCACTAGGCTGTTACAGGGAGTCATTTCTCTCATGTTAAAAGTTTGCTGAGGGCTAGTGGAGTTTTCGTACCATTAGTCGTTTTCGTCATATCACTATTCTGTCAAGTAAATGTTTTGGGTTATTTCTACCTCTGAATTTGCCTCCCCAGTCAATTCTACATCTGTTTGCTCCAGTGTTGATCCACATTACTTCACCATGTTAAAGGGACATCAGGTCTTTGATATTTGAATACAAGAAAAGAAATATCACATATAACTGGCAAAAGAATCAGAGTGCATGGATCCCGATTAATACTATACCCCACTAAGGCTGATTGTAATAACCTTTAATAATAATTGCTTCTTTATATAGAAGTATTCAATGGGACAGACATATTGTTAATCTTGGTCAGAGCCAGGGTTTCAGTCAGTGTGTATATGTAGGATAATAGTAAGAGCCTTAATGTAATTGAAAACCTTCTTGCACCTATCCTGTTCACACTTATGTTCCAATGAGAAAAGTGTGGATATGTCTCAGAGCTCCAGATAACTTTTTGAGCAATTGAGTTTTTACTCTAGGGTTTCTATCTTAATTGGGTTATTACATTTTTCATTGGGTAACCAAAGTTTTTTCACTCATCTATTCATCACTCTATTGGGTTTTTTCGCCAAATTAGTGAACATTTTAAGATTTAAAAAAAATGAAATAATGTTTTAGATGTATATACCGTATTCAACGTAATAAGCGCTCAGGGCGCTCACAAAATTAGAAATAGGGGGTGCTTATTAGAATATTATTTTTAGTTGAAAGATCGTAAATTTTGTGGTTTATGCTAACAGCCTGAAATGTTTACATACGACAGATATATTTTTCAAGAATTTAATTGCCCATAATTAATGGTGATATAACACACAAGTGAGTATTATTCACGAATAAATATGTCTTGCGTACATTGATCAATCGGAAGGGGTGCGGATTGGGATTGTTCACTAGCCAATATATTAGCAAATATCGCCGTGGGCGCTTATTAGAGCGGGGCGCTTATTACGTCGAATACGGTAACTGTTCTAAATATATAGGCTTGACTAGGAAAGTAAATTAGCTCGTAATTGTGTTTCGGAAATTAGCTCCTTTGTATGCATGCTGAAAAAGCTTCGTTGGGTATTTACGCGAGCTGTTTTATATATTTGAGTTTTTCATTTAATGCATGCGTTTCTGTACGCAAGTTAATTGAAAGTAATTGGGTTTTGAATATTTTTTTAGGGGTATTTTACGCAAATAAGCTGCTTATCTGTAGCTCTGAGAGTCATAATATAATTGAAAACCTTCTTGCACTTGTCCTGTTCACACATTCCAATGAGAGAAATATGGATATGTCTTCAGTGTGGGTGCTATACATTAACAAGTTTGCTGACTTGTCTTTTATTACAACTGTATAAGGAGATTGTTATCTTTATTTGGGGGATTGTTATAATTAATTGCTGACCTTCCTTGACCAAGCGATATGTGACCAAAGTTGCACATTGTTACTGTCTTTAATCACAATTTGCAAAAAACATTTGCTGCTAATCATGGTGACAGTAGCGTAACATCAGGTTTCAGATGTTTTTCTTCGGCATTGACAATATTGACTGATTATCATCCAGCATGTCATATAGATGTATTTCAAATTTGGTAATGTAATGTCAATGACTACCTTTGCACTGATTAAACTGTAATGTTGGTAGCACTCCAGTGTGGAATAAGTTGATAAAGCGAATTGTACTTACTTTTGGAAACAATGATCAGATTATCATGGTTGTGTCACAAGTGATATCATAAATGCACATAAATGACACAAATTGCGCCACATGCAATTAACCGTGAATCAATTACTTGGCAATACCCACCACCTTATCTGAGCTAATAGCAACCATTGTCATCCCTATCATTGCCATGCAGTTGTGCCCCTGTATGACAGCCCAGCCTAGAAACATGTCTGGTGTATTGCTGTTGTGGAAGGCATTTGCATGGAAACCTCATTGATTCCATCAATCAATCATCCCTCATCATTGTCATCAATGTCAGACAGAAACGTCACGTCACTCGGCTTGTACCTTTGTACTGGGACACTCCAGTCAGTGTTGACATTGCTCTGTTGCCTGAAATGCAGTATTCTCCTTTATTGACATGAAGGTGTTGATTTGTTTAGTGCTTTGAAATGTATCGTGGTGACATTAACATAAAATGACGTGATGAGTATTTCATAGGACAGCCATTTACTGTTATGCTCTGAGATTATGTGCTGTTTGTTACATAACTGTTTGCTTGGACGAAGCTACGAGCTGCGTGTTGGTGATGCTGTGAACTAATTCATCTTGTGGATGTGTGTTTTGTGTTCGTGACATTCTCCCTTAACCGTTTTGACCTTTATAAACGATTCATATCGGTAGAGTTTACCTGATTCACATTTAAATGTGTAAGATACTGTTTGTAAGAAATACGAATATGAAGCAAGACGTTTTGGATTAAACATTCAGTCTATGGATTTTCAAATGGAAGTGATTACCCTACCATCACCTGCGTGACTGCACATTATTTGTGTGACACAACAGATTTAGATTGCTGCACATTGTGACGCACAGTGCTCTCACTCTCACCCATAGAAACCACGCCCACAACAGCGCATCCCTGTAACACCCTTTACCCCCATGACGCGTCAGCATGCCCGGGAATCGGACACTGAGGCCCCAGCCCCTGCACCTGTACGTGAACATGCTCCCCCGAGGCAGGCGGAGCATCAAGAGCCTCCTCCCCAGGTACAATGTTTGTTCATGTGTCTGTCTCATTGGTTTGGAGTTCTTATATTTTGGTATTTTGTGCCATATGTCATGCATACATTGTCATCGTTCTGCACCCTAAATTGTTCTTCTGCACTCGCTGAATTTACTGCTTGCGTTGTAAACTGGTGTTGCTGTATAGATGAACAGGCAAGATGTTTCGACATGAAACTGAATCTCTGGGAAAAAGAGCTTTCTTGTATCTAAACCTACTTTGTCCATATGCAGGATTAATTTATTGATAAGATGGTGATGCACATGTGATTTTGAAACCACATGTCATTTTCTCTATGATGCCGGGAGTACAAGTGGCCCAGTCGGAAAAGGCTTAGCAATTCACTGTGAGTCCCTTGTTCACACCAGAAACCTATGATTCTGGTTTTGAATCTTGGTTAGCCCCAGTTGTTTCTAGGTTTGTCAGCACCATGCTCTTGCTGATGGGTTTCGCCAAAGTAGTAAGACCTGCATCACTTCGGTCTGACATCCATCAATGTAGTAAGGGTGATATTCCTCTGTCACATACACACATGTAGTATTGCAGTCTGGCAGGTTGTGATCACCAGCACTGCACATGGTGAGGCGTGCTGAGCACGCTGTGTTGAAGATGTGCCGTACAAGTGTAATTATTATTCCTATTAATTATGACCATGTTTCAGGTCTAGGTAGTCTTCTTGACGTTCCTTAGAGAGGCAAGAAGTAACTTTGAAAAGAGATTACAAAACTGTCCTCATTAACCATTGTTAACATGATTAAGAAATACTCCTGTGTGCTTGTTTTACCAATTTCTGCATGTCTATGAAAGACCTTATATGTTTTAATCGCTTGTTTCCAGATTGTTTTACAAAAAAAGTAAGGTCAATGGTCGAAATGAGAAGGATGAAATTTTATGAATGTTTTTTCAGCAATTTCTGAAAAGATTTGTTCAGGAGGATAAGGGTTATAAGGCTCTCGTTGGCAGACCTTGAAGTTTTTACACCTGTATATTATTAATATACTCAACAGGGAGAAAAATACCAAAGTCATTAAATAACCTTCTGTTTGGTTTTTGTTTCTAAATATATAAGCAAGTCAATCTTGTAACCTATCTACCCCATGTACGAATCAGCTTGTCTTGATGTCTTAATGATCATCATGATGGGAATATTCTACTTTAGAATCAGGGGGCTTCATGAGAATCATGGCACCTCACTTTGTCCTGCTGAATATGATAATCTATAGCAGCACATCATCAAGGGAACAAAACAATCCATCACGAGCTGATTTACACAGTCCTGATCAATAAACAGTTTGATTATGAACAACCTGGTTTTACAGGGACAGTGCAGTCTACAGGCTTACAATGAACCACTGGCCAAGGTAAATGGTCTGGATGGAACAGAAATAGCTTAAGTACTGAACCTTGCTTGATATACCGTCAGTTTATTGAAGTACATGTAATCTTAATATATTTTCTTCACAAAGGTAACATGGATATGAATCAGAACCTAAGTATGAATTAATTCACACTAGAAAAGTAATTTGTGTGAATAATCAATAAATCATGAATGATTGACCGGGCAGATTTGTTGTGTTGCTTTGAAATCAGTGAGTTGATGACAAGTGAACCTTATACTACCTTTCAGCCTTCCTTTCCTTTGACTGAAATCTTAGAAATGTGTTTCGTTTTTGTATCTTTGTTTTTTTAGGAATAAAGGATTATGATGCTGCTATTAAGTTATTTTCATTGAATTCTGCCATGTCTAGCAGTGTTATACAATGTGTGAAGCTCATTTCTGGTGTCCCCCGCCATGATATTGCTGGTATATTGCTAAAAGCAGTGTAAAACCATACTCACTCACTCACTCTAGCAGTGTTGATTCTTGACACTGACTACTGATAATTGACCTGTAAAATTAACATGTCTCATAATGATTAACAACAACTAAGATAATGTATATTTTGAAAGTAGTATATATATGTTATTACTACTAATACATTTAATATATTGATACAATGTAAATTTACACCTTGACAGCAAGTGTTACCATTGGGAGTAGGACGGGAAAAGACCTTCTCGAACCCTAAGATATATCCCTTTGACCATGAAAAGAAAAACTGGCAACGAAAGAAAAGATTAAGGATGGAGTTACAGAGAGATTATAGAGAATATTTAGCCAAGGTCAGCTGTGTCTGGTCTGTGTCCTGTCTGTGTCCCCCTGTACCATAGGCCATTGTTGGAAAAGGGATTCCTTTGAAATATTGCTGTTGTCATGGTTGTAACGATTTCATAATTATAATTTTTTGACGATAGTTATGTTTTCATACTTTTTGGCTGCATATATTTATGAACATTTAATTGCAATATCAAATGATTTTGTTCATCATGGAACATTGTATTAAAAAATGTGTACATTTTTTTATCAGTTTGAGTAATTTATGTTAAGTTAGCTTTTATCTTGATTATGAAACACTTTATTTGATCTTTAAAATAAGTATTTGTGAAGCTTTTTAACATGTTCCAAGATACATGTGCTGTATAAAACATTTGTTGTCATCAAAGTCTGTGGCACATTATCTCTGGTCTAGGTCGGTAGTAAATCCTTGTGTTCTAGTGAACCGTTGAAGGACCTTAAACATGCATGTATTGACTTGTGTACAACAGCAAGAGTTGTCTCCCCGGAGGAAACCGTTAACACCAGTGGATGGCATGGGTTTGCCTGTAGGCCAGTACGAGAGCACTAAACGTAAACTACAGCATGACATCCAGCGCCAGTACAGGGAAATGTTAACACAGGTACATGCCTGACTATTGACTAGACTCACAAGATATAATCAAAATATTAAATGACTATCTTGTAATCATTTCATAAGGATTTAATTATGAATATCCACACTATTAGAACTGTTGTGTAGTGCAGTATGAAAAATAAGTTCCTTTTATACAATACTGAAAGTGTTATTGAAAAAGAAAATGTTTTGGTTAAGAAACTTGTGTTAGTTTTTCCTGTTTATATTTTTTTCACTTTATTTTAACTAAATTAGTTAGATTGGCAATATATATAGCTAAGTTTACCCTTAAGATAAGGCAATCTGGTCATGCTCTTGATTAGAGTGCTTGCTCATCACACTGCAGGACTGAGTTTTATTCCTTGCAGAACTACATTTTGGGTAGCCCATTCTTTGTGTGCCCCATGATATCAGTGCGCAGGTAACTTGAAATAAATGACACGTGGTCGTTGTTTATCATACAATAAAACACTGCACATTGCTGCAAGGAGAATACACCATGAGGGTTGCAGTGTTTTAGTGTACGATAAACAACGACCACGAGTTGTTTGTTTCTTATATGAGATATCAACATTATGTGCAGCCTCTTTATTGATGTTCATAACATGTACAAGCTTTAAAAATATTTACCCAAATTTTAATAATGATGACACCCTGAATAGAATCTAACCTCGGAAATGTCAGACAAGTCTATTTCCCGCATATTCTCACAAACCTCATGTCAATTATCTGTAACTTTCTCTGAATACCAAGTGTCATATCTCTCCCACTTTTGGATGCGATCGTTCGGCCTCCGCGTTTATCTGTGTAGTCCAGCGACAACCATGGGGACCAACTTACTAAACACTTCGCTCTAAAAAAACGTTGTCCAATATATGACGTCAGAACCTCCAGAAATGACATCACGATAGAACAATGTTTTATCATGAAGTAAACCACGCTTTGTTCTTCATCATTCTTTGCTATTTATCATGTAGCTATGTTATATTTGAGTATATATGCCTGTGTACAGAAAACAGCCATGTTTTAGTGTAGTTGTTTCCTGTTTATGATCTAGCAAAAAGAAGAAAATGACAGATTAACCCTTCTACAGCTGGGACTTGCTGGAAAAGTTGCTCTCCCTTCCGACTTATCAGATCAAAAGGAAACTGTTTTCCCTGAGAGCATTTTTGGGCCAGAATATGATTCCTCCAATCACATTGATCTCAGTATGCAATATGAAGATTATGATCACGGCATACAGGTAGTACAAGCATTTGGCACTCTGTTCTTTCACATGGGTGGAGGTAGCAGAATGTTCACCTAAATCATTGTAATAACAGGCCGTGGACATTGTCTGCGGGTTTTCAATGTTAGATGTTGCTTTAACCATGTTAACGTTTCTTGACCATTGTTATGTTAATATTTATTCTTGTATGTTAACTCTTTATGTTGTAACTTCTAATGTTTGTTGGAATTTGTAGCCATTGCACATCACATATTGGAGACTTAAATGAGGGTCCTGATGGGGGGGGTGTTACAAGTCAGCAGTCAGTAAAATGTGGGGCCTTTTAATATCCCCCGTGTTTGAAATATGGGGGATATAACAATCAGCATATCCATCCATCCATCCCTTCATTTTCCTGTTTCCTCTGGAGAACTCTTAAACCGTTGAATATTTCTTGTCGAAACATGTTATACTGATCAGTCTAGTGGTGAACTGGTTCTGATGATTTGGAATTTTTATTTTTTAAATTTTTTTGTTTTCATGATGACAAGTTGAAAATACTGAAAATGGGGGTATTGTTCGTTTCCGGAGCAGAACTCCCAAACTGTTGAATATTTGTCAATGAAATTTGCTATACAGATCAGTCTAGTGGTGATCTGGTGCTTTTCAATGATTTGGGATATTGAAAAATACTGAAAAACATTATTGTTTTCGTCACTGAACTGAAGGTATCCAATTGCAATGAACCAAAAGTGGCTATAAGTAGTCAAACTCCATTTCTGAATTGCACCAGACTGGGGGATATGTCATCTCCTGATGACTCTTGTAATGATAGCCAGTAGTCATTACTTTTTCAGCTTAGTTCTAAAAAAAAGGGAAAAAAGAAGACAAGCTGTCAAGTTGAATCTAGCCTGGGAAATCATCTCTATGCGAATGTGGATCGTCAGTCTGTCTGTAGGGAAACATGGGGACAGCTGGTTCTGCTATCGTTTCATTACTGTAATTCCAAATTCCAAACACTGACTGGTTTTGTTGTGTCGTTAGATCTAGATTTTTATTTTAGCACGATTGTGATAAACAGTAACATTTCTTATGCTGAGCAGTTTATTTATGGAAGTTTAACATTAATCTTTTATGATAAATAAGATTGATGTTTACCACTGTTTCTTTAGTTGTTTTACACACAACAGTATACCCCATCAGGACCTGATTGAATTCATACCAGATGCAACTTCATTATTCTATCTTTTCAAACATATGTAATTAAGAAGATGTGCACCATTGTAAACATTAACTGGCATCTGATCTGATTCTTCAATACCCTGTGAAGATCCGGGCTACAATTGATCTTCAGCGACGCATGCTTGTAAGAGGTGACTAACTGGATTGGCTAGTCAGGCATGCTGACTTGGTTGTGTCATTGTATCCCAATTATGTAGATCGATGCTCATGATGTCAGTCACTGGATTGCCTGGTCCATTTACACACCGCTGTCTTATCACTGGAATTTTGCTAAGTGTGGCGTTAAACAAAAAAACCCCGATATTGTTGTTTCTTTTTATTTGATAACAAATTCCATCCATTTTAGCTATAATAACAGTAACGCTATTTTTCAGGGCATTATCATTTGCAGAAGCCCTCAGTCTTTTCAACTGCCCTTCTTCATCGGGCAGTTAATGGAAGACCTCAGGCTTCTGCAAATAATAATGCTCTGAAAAATAGCGTTACCCTTATATCATCACACATGAGCATATTGTCATGATTGTAATAATTGCATCATGTAAACAAACAACACGACATACTTAGTGATTTTCTTTGTAGTTCCTTCAGGACAATATGATCAGATAATGTGCAACGTCTTGTTTGGTAGTGTTCGCTCCGGGAAGAAAATCTAATAATTAATTAGAAATTAATTAGAAAATCTAATAATGATTAATTAACGTTCTAATATCTCTGGATTGTGGTCACCATTTGTGTAAGGTCATGGTCATAGGGTCATTCAATATTTTTCACTGATAGAAATGTTAACATCACGTATCACGTATTGGCTTCATGTTTGTAACACGATTTTCACATGTTGCAGTTAGAATGTTTCTGATTGGCTGACCTTTGAGGTCAAGTTCACTGTTTTCTTGTGACCACTATACAGTGATACTTTATGACAGGATGTTTGGTGAAAAGAATGATGTGCCTGTTTTTATGATGTGGTGCACTGAGAGTTCAGGAGGTAAGCTCTGAAAAGAGCAGATCCCTACAAGGTTCAAATTTATTATGTAATCACAAATACCGAGACCTAGTTGCAGGGACATATTTGTGTGACAGTATCAAATCTACCTTATGACCGCCACTGGGTTCAGTATTTAACACAATATGTGAACAGGCCAATAATGACGGGACATGCAGATGATCTCATCACACTATAATGGCACGATGTCATACAGCCCCGGCCAGCCGACCTACTTGTATGGGTTAATACAAGACGGTGACTGGTGACAAATAGCTTGACTGTATTACAAGTAATGATATAGATTTTTACAGGATATTCACATTTGTTTCTTGAAGTTTTACTAATAATGTTGCTACTTTATTGTTATACATGTTTTATTTACATGTCACATTGATGTTGTTTTGTTTGTGTATTTTTTAACCATTTTGTATTTTCTTATGACTAATTAATGCAAACATTAGTTATACCAAGAAACTGTGTCTCCATGTTGGGCAGGGACCCTGTACATGCTGTCACAGCTATAGGCGCAGATGGAACTTGTTCAGTTAACAAAACAATAATCTCATTGTTGGTTGTGTTTACAAATATTTTGTTTGTTTGTAAATTATGTTGAGTTGAGCATTTTCATATCTTCATCATTTTACCATAGTTACTGTCATTTTAGAAAATATTCATCAGTCATGTAGATATTTTAGAAAATGGATACGCCTGTTTGAATCCCACATATGCACAGATTATGATCCTTGGTTCCTTAGCACCGGACCAAGGCTTGTGGGTTTCATCAAAGTGGCAAATAATCTGTTCCTCTTTGTGTTTTTCTCCCACATTCTGTGCCATGCAGTGATCAAACTGAAAAACTGTTCAAAGTTGCAGTGAACGCAGCTGGAACTGAAATGTTTCAAAATAGAAACCCATTTGTGCACGACATTTGTCTACCAAGCAAGGCCTTATTCCACAAGTGATTTTAGCACTATTACCATTGATTACTGTTATAAATGTTTTAACAGCTATGAATTGACAAACCTGACTATATAATATTCATGGCACTTTGATCACTTTGGTGATGGTACAGATGTTTCATCAGTGTACACTATTCAGGATGAAAGTACCACATAGCCAGTGATGGCAGGGAGCTTCTCTTTATCAGATGTTATTATAGAGTCGATAGTGCAGAGGGTCAATATACATGTGTAGATTAGAATACCATAGCTTTCAGAAACCGGAGATGACGTTTTCCTGGGCATGTTGTTGCCTTGGTCAGTTGGTGTGAAATTTTCCGTGAAACTTTCCAAAATAGGTTCTGTTGTTAACTCAAAGAGTTGAAATTCTTAGAAGGGAAACGGAAACTGTCAACACAATTCTTATTATCAGCATGAATCTCTTCTAGAAAGTTAAAGCCTCACAGTTGGAAGTTCTTGAGGATATTGGGCGTCGTGAAGAGCAGTTACGTAGGAAGTTAGATGTGGAGACAATACGAGAAGCAGATCAAGAGAAAACACTACAGGAAGAGGTGTGGAGACGACATCAGGGAAATCCACCCGAGGTATATGATCCACCCACATGCTGCTCCCTGCTTCACACCAACTAACACCATCATGGGTAGTTGTCTAACATGTAGACTGTTGGCGCTTACGGGGTGCACGCCTGGCAGAAAGGGCTGATATGGTCGTTATGCTTTCTTGTTTATCATTTATGGGGTGATGGTAGAAATGGGTGTGGTGTGTCCTCATAGTTGCTCTCACATGGGGATTTGTCGGTTTCGGTGCATGCTTGGTTCACTTGGTATTTGTTTTTAATGACAATTTCATGCTATTGTCACTGATGATTGACTACAGTCACTTGTTAATGATAATTTAGTATTAGTATTATTGATGGTTTTAGGTCATGTAAGATCATTACAAACATTTCCTGTTTGTTGTTCTGTCTCTGCGAAAAACACTGTCAACTTTGAAATATTGACAATAGGAATTACGAAGCTTTATAGTTTTACTGAACCCTTAGTAGCTTTATGCCTCTGTAGTTGATAATAGTTCGAGAGAAAATTGAATATTATCACATCTGAAAGTCTCTGAATCAGTGAATGGGTTGAAGCAGACCAATTTAGCTACTTGTTTTCAGATTTTCGGTAATTGTGTAATGCCTAAAGATAGACCTGGTAGTGGTGTGTGGAGCAAATGACCAACAATGTCAACAGTTCAGAGATCGGTAATCTACATATCTGACCACTGCTGACAATTCTAAGATTCTTTGTACTTATTTCACTTCAAAGTTTCAAGTCTGTTTCCAGATGTTATTGTGGAAACCTCTAAGTAGAATTACATGTTGAAGACATGTCCGGTTATAATGAGGACTAGTGTACTTTGTAAGATGCCTTCGGATTGTTTGGCATGATTGGTTAACGTGATGAAGTCAACAAAAGTGATACCAAAGTTGCTGTGTTAAATGTTTGATTGGAGTAGTCTCCCTTGGACACTTGTTAACAACCCCAGCCAGGAAATATTGACTGTTGTTGCTGGTGCAATGATTATTGCAATTTGAAAAAAACAAATCTTTCAAACAAGTAGTTAAATTGGTGTAGCTTTATTATCATATGCTACCGATTCTTTACTATTCCACTGCTATGTTATAATCATATACCCTGCTGTGCTTTATGCATGATATGGTAAACCCCCTGTAGGGGCATGCATGGCTCTGTCATCTTAGGTGCTGGAACTCCCTGTAGAGAGTTGTGTCTTGGCACTCAAGAACATGATTATTGTGTGTTGGAATCCCCAATTTGCCTGACTATGGTTCTTGGTTTGTTGGCACCATACCCGTGATGTATGTCCTCCTGGGTTTCACCATTTTAATATCTGCTTCACAATACCCTGACACGTCATGAATTAACTGAAATGCTGTACTAACTAGTATCATTTTTGCAGATCAGCAAGTCCTTTCAATTGCATTGTGTAATCTTAGTTTTCGCTTGAGAAAAAGTATTATCAGTACTAATAGCCAGATTGAGATCTTTGATTATCAGCTTTAAACTATATTGTAAGAAAGGGGGTGGTCGGGTAGCCTAGTGGTTAAAGCGTTCGCTCGTCACGCCGAAGACCCGGGTTCGATTCCAGACATGGGTACAATGTGTGAAGCCCATTTCTGGTGTCCCCCACCGTGATATTGCTGGAATATTCATCATCTTACCAGGTTATATGTATATGGTAATATGTTATGAAATTATCTCTGAATGAATTAACCAATTCTCAGCATTTACACAATATTTCAAGTAAAGGAAACCTTTGTCTTTGTATGTATGTTGTTGATTTATTGTGTGTTATCAGTGCTTAAATTGTCATGATTTTGTTGTATGTCTAATAATAATTGCCCTGGTTTTCATAATTTGATGTTTGAGTCCTTGTGGTTGTGTTATTGCCTTGTTGATCATTGTGAATGTTAACAGATTAACATATTTTTCTGTATCTGCTTGCAAAAGGTCCAGATACTGCATTGATGAACGAATGTTTTGAGTACTAATTCTGGATGGAATTTTTAATTTTTGTTTGGACATTTGTCACTAGTTGTTCCACCAGATTGAAGTGTTCAGGTTCTCTCTATGTTATACTTGTATCCTTACAAACTCATTTTGCTGCTAAATTCTTCATTTAGAACACAGCAGAATTTCGACCAGCTTACTTCAAAATTGGTGACTATGAGAAGTACCGCCAGGCTCTAAATGACCAGCGTAGAGAGGAGTACAATGAATTGTTAGCCAAGGTAAACTGGGGTAGAGGATGATAGTGGCTCTTGGATGTAGGTGTAGATGTACTAACTACGTAGCTCTGTAGAGGGGAAATATGCCTGTAATAACGACATAGAGGTGGTCTGTTGACTAGGAATTGGTTCATCATGTTCATAGACTATGTAGAGAGTTGAAAGTTTTTATACAGGTATTTCTTATACCAGCTTGATAGTCCTGTAGATACAGTTAGTGTTAGAATGGTCGAGATATGGCATTGATGATGTAGACGGATAATGATTCTTACAATGTGGATATCATCTTGAGGCATAAGGCAAATGTTGTACTTCTAATTCTCAAATCAAACCTGATAACTATTTCCAGATCTGCATACAAAATTTTGTATGTAAAAAGCAATTTTGTGCTCTTTCTTTTGACATTTTTAGAGTCCATAATTTTAATATTATTTTGCAAAAAGAAAAGCCCTCATCTTGGGATTTAGAAAGCAACAGTTAGCCTTTGTGTATTAGTTTGAGTAGCTTTGGAGGGTACATGGCCTGTATTCTAACCATGCTTTGACCAATGCCATAAGTATTAATATCATGGCCTTGCATACCATCACCTAACCTGTCATGGCCGACTAACCACAGTATCACTAGAAGTGTTGATACAATAACCGAGTGTAATTAGTACAACCACTGATCAATTACTGTGACACCAGCTGAAGGAAGTGCGACCCAGGCGGAGGTACTTCAAGACCGAGGCCCAGCATGAGGCAAGTACAAGAAGGCCCCCTGAGCCTGGTCACCCCTTCCCTCATTATAATGAACTGCGCAGAGAGTACATTCCTCTCAAAGAGAAGGTACACGGTTGTTTGCAGTGTTAAGACTGACTAGTACTTTGTTGCTGTTGACATTGGGAGACAGTTGGCTTCTTTTATTCATTGTGAAACTGTTGTTTTTTATTGCATTTTATGCTATTTACAGCATACTTTTCAATGTGTCTTACCCATGTTTAGGCAGTTTGTTTTGAGTCTTTGACCATTACTGACATGATACTTGTTTGCAGTGATGAAAGTGGGTGTCTACTAAAAGTGGAACTGTGTTAATCCGGACAGCCTGTTAAACAATGTTAAACAAAATGGATGCATGGGCGAAAAAGGAATTACAGTACATACTTCCTTTTTCTTTTTCTAATAATTTTGAAAATAAGGTTTCAAAAATGATCAGAGTCAGCAATATTTTATTGTGTTTTTATCAGGATATATTGGTTTTCCTGCTGTTGGTGATTTTCAGAGTATGATTCTCCTTATGTTGTATGTGATGTGTATCAGATTGAAGCCAGCTTACATTCAAATAGTTGTGTTATTCCAGACAGAATTTCTGCATATTTGTCTGTTTTCAGGGAGGTACTGAACATGCTCAATATATGTAAAATGTATCTGTACACAATCAGAACTGTTGTGTGGAACATGACACTTCCGTTTTGTTGTGTGAAGAATATCGTCTGTGCTCCATCTAAAGTGTGCTTCCTTTGCAGCTTGTTTAGTTTAAGCAAATATTTCAAGTCAAATGCTACATGATAATAATTCAGAGGCCATCTTTATTGTGATGTTTCCTCCAAATACCAGCAGGTAAAAGATTCATTAACCTGGCTGAAGTATAGATAACAGTTAGTACTGAATTTGCAATGAGCAACCTCTCGTTACAGTCAGAATTTTTTAGCTTAGTCAGTAAAATACATGCGTATTATGGACAAGCTGTCAAGTTGACTCTAAAATGGGAAATCCTCTCTATGCGAATGTGGATTGTCAGTCTGTCTGTAGAGAAACATGGGGACAGCTGGTTCTGCTATCGTTTCATTACTGTAATTCATGTTGTGTCATTAGGACCGCCTCCGTGGTCTAGTGGTAGAGCGTTCGCCCGGAGTGCGGAAGGTCCGGGGTTTGATCCCCTCCGCGTCATACCAAAAGACTTTAAAAGATGGTACTTGTTGTTACCCTGTCTGGCGCTCGGCATTAAGGGGCTAAAACAAGGACTGGTCGGCTCGGAGTCAGTATACTGTGTCTTAGTGGGATATTCATGTTAAACTGCAGCATGGTATCTCAGTGAGCTAGCACTATAAATCGGCATCGGTCCAGACTAGTAAAAGCAGCCACACAAACACACATAAGTACGTGCACGTCACTATATAAGTGCAATAATCTTGGACGTGACATTAAACCCCATTTCACCACCTGTTGTGTCATTACATCTCGGTATGTTTGACTTTTGCAAGATTTTAGGATAATTACTATAAACAGTAAAGTTTTGATTTCTACTAAGCATTTTTTTATGGACATTTCATGTTAAACTTTTACGATAAAATAATTGACTCATCTCATGTTTACGACAGTTATGTTAGTTGTTTTACACTGAACTGTATACCCAATCAGGACCCAAAGGTCTGATTTATGAGCAGTGAGATTTGTTGCCTTCAGCCAACAGCACACAACCGCCGCCTATGGCGGGAACCGTCGGAAGAGCTTGGTCTGCCCATCGGGGAGTATGAGAATAAGAAGAAGAAGCTAGCAGATCAGAGGAGGAGGGACATGCAGGCCAACCTCAGCAAGGTGCTTACACTGTGTGGTTTGCTGTGCCTGATACTGGTTGCTCACGAATAGTTGTCGCTTCATGAGAAACTCTGGAGATTGTTGTCATTGAGCATGTTAAGTGGGAATGGGATGGTTATTGCTACAGTTGTTTAACTGCATCTTAAAACAAAATTCACCCACTGTTCTGTAATGAACAATGCAATTTTTCTGCTTCTTTGCAATTTCAGTGATATTTTGAAAAATATTAAGTGTTTTTCCCTTGTGGTTATTCTACATGATACTTAAGTATGGCTATGGGCAGAGAGTTGTGGTAGTACTAGAGCTGGAGTTATCTCTGACTGTCTGCACATCATCGTCACCAGCAACAGCAGCAGCAGCAACCCTCCTCCAGGAGACAGTGGCAGGACTCGGACCAGTCGGGGCTCAAATTTGCAACACAGGATCAAGCTGCTAGGTTTAATGCCGAGAAGAGGCAAGAGTACAATGAAGTCATCAGTAAAAAGGTCATTGTTACATCAGTCATTCAAGACATTCAAAGACATAAGACATAAATGTTCTGATATCAGTAAGAAATGAAAATAGTTATTAATTGTTTCTGTCATATCATTAGGTAGAGAGGAAAAACAAATGAAGATGTATCAGAAATAAGGAATGTGTAAGCATGTTGAGACCAATAGATCAGGGCCCCCTTCCACAAGGTGACCTTAGCACTGTGGCTATCGTTAGTCTGTGTATGGGAGTTATAATAGCTGTATGCTAACATCAATTTGTGAAATGGAGCCCAAGAGAAATTGGTTGGTCATTCTAAATTAATGTTCAGGGTTTAGTACATATTGTTAGAAAATGAGCAAATGGGGGATTTTTTGGATAATTTAAGTAGCAGTTTATTTTTTTATTTTTTTCAATAAAAGCCACGTCAAAACCGTGAATGGCGCGAGCCCTCAGCTACCGGGGGTGTTCTCTTTGTTGGTGAGCTGGAAAAGAAACACCTAGCTCAGCAAAAGTTAGCTGAAGAAAAAAGACAAGCCTATTTAAAGAAGGTGTGAAGTTAAATAGATGTGCAGTCAGATTGATTTGTGCTGTACGTTCTATATGGCTTGATTCTGTCAGGACATGGGCTATAGTGTGACTGCTTTGGGTCGAACTAATCACGAGCTTTTTCTGATATACATGTAACCCTGTTAACTGAGTGGTCTCTCTCAATAGCTGGATTGGCGTGAGATTTGTATGGTGTTCTCTCTCGCTAATTTAATGGAGCAAATAAAAGTGTGTGTGTTTTTGTTAATTTACATCAATCCTATGTGCATCATTAGATTGACACAGATATTTTGGGGTCACAATAAAAAATGAAAGACTGTTGAAACTAAAAAGAACCCTGCATCAAGAAAGAGTACTTTTTGGAAATGGCAGGAGAAAAACTATGTTAATTTTAACTTATCATGCTTTGGGTAGGGGAAGTGTCAAGATCTGTATTATGGGTGTTATATTGAGAAGTCTTGCAGTGAGAAGTAGGTCAGTGAACCACATCTCTTGTAATATGAACTGATAAGGTTTGAGGATATGTTGTTCATATTGGCATTAAACCATACTCACTCCAGCACTGTAGATGTTAACTTGCTATGACTTAAACCCAGACTGTGGACACTTCCCGTCGGATGTGGCGTGAGCCGTCTTCGGAGGAAGGGTTAAAGGTCGGAGAGTATGAGGACAAAAAGAAGATACTAGCGGCAGAGAGACGCAGAGATTTTGAGAGATCTATGGCTGGAAAGGTTTTAGTTATTACATTTTCTCCATGATAATCCCTCCAAGCTCCTGCCTCTCTTCTTACACTGACAGTTATTAGTTCATGTAGTCAAAGGGTTTCTGGTTTCATATACATGATTTAGTATGGGAATTGTTTTTTTTTATCTGTATTCATGGTAATTATGAATGTTTTCTCTGGCCAATGAATGCATCTTTTATTAATTTTGGTAAAAATAAATTTCAAATGTTAGAATTTGAATTAATGTGTAATTTCTCCTGTGAGTCGTGTAGTTTAATGTCAAAACAATCACTGTATTCCCATTTCGATGTTTCTTATAAACATTGATGGTTATCCCTGGTTAGTTGGTTTTACATCGGCTACAGTGTTAATTGTGAACAAATTAGGTGTATTATTTTTTATTTGTTAGGAAAGTTGATGTTAACAGTGAATTAAGTAATGTGTTCAGTTAAGCTTGCACATCTGTTTGCACGTTTGTCTATCTGCTCAGAGAGATGATGGACCACACACGTGGAGGGAACCCTCATATGAGAGGGGTTTACCTCTAGGCCAGTATGAGACCACTAAGCTTAAGTACCAAGCTGAAAGGCACAGGGACTACAATGAACGGCTAGCTCAACAGGTTAGGATGACAGATGCTTAAGGAATTAAAAAATTAAAATCGTGATTATTCTTGAAAAAACAGAAAAAAAGCTTTTTCTCTGATTGGCTGTTATTTTGCTGTTGAGATGTTAGGTGTTATTGAGGAGTCAACTGGACAATATTATGATTAAGATTCCATCAACTCTTTGTACATGTACATTCACTGCATCACTTACTAGCTTTACCATGTCACCAGTCTTTCTATGATGAAGACCAGATTCTCTACATGCACAGTGTCAGTATATATAGCACTTGCATTATCCTTCATTCCTTATCACAAATTCTTTGTATCACATTTATTTAAAGCACATTGTCTCCACAATGTATGTTGTGTGATGTAGATAGTGTACGATGCAGGGTCTCACTGCTTGTTGTAGCCGCCCCGCTCTAACCGTAGACTCTGGCGCGAACCGTCTGACTCCTCTGTGGGACTTGATCTTAACAAATACAAGTGGAGCAGCAAGTACCTGCAAAAGTTTAATGAAATTGAAAATCTCAAGACCCAGAACAAGCAGGTTAATAATCCCTTCTGTGAACTACGTCTCAACATGTAAAGGCTGAAGCTGTGATAATGATGATACAGATGGAAATAGGTATAATACTAAATATGTTGCAGAAGAACATTCATTAACTCCCTTTGGATTATTATTGAAATTGAGTTCAGCATCATATCAGTAACCAAATGCAGTTTTTCAGTGTTTACCAGTTTGACATGAACTCAAGATACACAGATAATTTCTAAACCCAGCAAGTATTTAAGTGTTCAAAAAACAGCCTAAAGTTTTGAAATACAGCTCTTAATGACTTATCATTTTCAAAAGTGCTTAGAATGAACATTGACTGTTGTTTGTCTTGTCCCTGACAGTCTAGCAGTCCCCGGGGTAGCCAGACATGGCGGGGGCCGGCAACAGTACCCCCGCTGTACTTCGGTAGTAGGGAGGAGGAGGTAGAACGTCTTGCTCAAACTGAGCGAGAGTATTACGACTTGTTGGCTAAGGTAGACATATAGACGCCAGTGTAGCCCTTGCTGTGGCTTTGGTTCTGGGATGCTGCATGACGCCTGCATGGCATATAGCATGACATGAGCATGGCTGGAGGATTGTATCCATGTGTTTAGTACAGGTGCCCTAGTCAATGGCTGTATGTTTGTTGCATCGTCAGGATTGACAGGTCATGTAGCATGTGTAGTGAAAGACATCTTCAGTTTCAGTCCTATGTTCATGTAGGCAAGTTATGACCACTTAATTTACACTTTTTCAAAAGAATATTCTACGTACATTTTTGTGTTATTTATTTGAACTGTTTGTCCAGTTTGCGCAGATATCTGAATTCATGGCAATGTTAGCATGGTTAGGGTTAATTACTCGTGTAGGGACAATAACATGACTATCAAGTCAGACATGGTGGAAGTGACTGACACAGACTGACTTCTAGTTTATTGTGAAATCTGTCATGAGGATCTTTGTACGCCATCTCTATCAAATCCCTATTTTTACCCTACCCTTATTGTAATTGTAAGTCACCACAGAGTGGGTTTGAATTTCTAATAAGCGCCCACGGCGATATTTGCTAATATATTGGCTAGTGAACAATCCCAATTAGCACCCCTTCCGATTGATTAATGAACACAAGACTTATTTATTCGCGTATAATACACCCTCGTGCGTTATATGCACCCTTAATTATGGGCAATTACATTCTGGAAAATTCTGTCGTACATAAACATTTCAGGCTGTCAGCATAAACCACAAAATGTATCTTTCAACTCAACTTTTTTTTTTCACCAAAATAATATTCTAATTTTGAGAGCGCCCTGGGCGCTTATAACGTCGAATACGGTATGTCAAAAAGAAAATACGCAGCTGATCAGCCCCAAGTCTGTTCCATGGATGTGAATTTAATGTGAGGTATATGACTGCATGTATTTGTACACAAGTTCTCAACAGTGTGTATGTATTGTACTGAGGGTTCCCTCGCATGTCAACAACAGAAGGAGTATGTATCTGTCTTATAGGCATGATAGGAGTGGCTGAAATATATGCTTGAAATAAACATGTGCATTAACCATGTGTGGTGTGCTTATTTAACTCTGTACATCCTGTATTGGAAGTGTCAAACAAATTTTGTGTATTTTTCATTGTATGTGCTCTATTCATATTTGTATTGCTGTTAACTGTTAACTTCTCAGCGTGTGCCATGTTTCAGTTTCAGGATGTAACGGTTGATGTACTTTCAGTGAGACAAATGTTGCACTGTATGATATCTGCTAGTGCTCAGTTCTGTTTGTTGTTGCATACAGTATATAGTGAAAACATGGTGATATTAATTATACTCTCAATTGTTTTCCTAATGTTTGAATTATTTTATGTTGCCAAAATTACAAGTGTTAACACGCATGTATTGTTACAATATTTTCCTTTTCAGCATTTATGGAAGATAAAGGTTTATTTAGTAGTCTAATAGATTCTAACACTGTTGATGGCTTATTTTAAATATCTAACATCATTGTTTAATATCATGTTGTGACAGTGAAACAATGTTTTCTTAAAGATATTGATAAGTATAGTTTACCAAGAGTATAAATAATGGTATGTTTTATGAGCTCTTGGGCGTAATTATAGTCTTAATCATATGAAAAATATAGATATGATGAAAACTAGTGAATCCTTATCATGATTATTCTGAATGACAATATGCATACAATGCTTATCACAGATTTTTGTCCATTTTTTTCTAAAAAAACTAAGGTGTTATTTTGTAAAACCTAAGCGTAACCATGGTAACAAAAATAAAGTTCTGTAAGTTATTTTCAAGTTTATTTCTATCAGCACACACTAGTCATACATGTACAGCTTCAAGTCTGTTCAGTGCTGAATGTGAGAAACTCTATTTCAGCTGGGCCCCAAGGATCCACGGTCAGATCTGCCCCCAAAACCTGCCACCCCAGGGGGGTTTCTGAACCGACTAGGGAGGGATGAGGGGCGTCGCCAACAGCTCAGCGAGGAGAGGAGGCAGGAGTATAACCGGTTAATGTCAGAGGTAGGTCGTGTGTTATTCCATAACACTTGGGGTCAGAGGGACCCAGTTATCTACTGATGTAAGCTGCTTGTATTCCTTAAATTTTGGTGGACTGGACGCCAGTTGTCTTTGAGACTATGAAGTTGCCTCCTGTGGTCGAAAAAAACTAAATGAGACAAGCTGAACTGCTATTTGTCTACAAGATTGAAGATCAGCAGGTGGACAAGAATGTAAAACTTCCTGCACATCCCACTGCAATGCTCTAGTGGCACAAGCAACACATTTATTGTTGTCATTTTACATGTTACAACCAACTGCGTGGATCAATGCTCATGATGTCAATCACTGGGTTGTCTGGTCCATTTACAGACCTCTGTCATATAGCTGGAATATGGCTGAGTGCGGCGTTAAAGAACACACAAACAAACAAACATGTTACGAAGAATTAGTTCATGACATATTTGTGAGCACACACACGTACATGCACGTTGCTATATAAGTGCAATAATCTTGGACGTGACGTTAAACCCAATTTCACCTCACCTCACATATTTGTGTGTTAAAATTAGATCTAACTTGGGACTGCCATAAAACTCAGTGTTGTATTAAATTTGAAGTGTAAACAGGATCAGTTGTGATGCGAAGCAACTCACATAGCTAGATTTTGTAACAAGTGATGATACCGGGGTAGAATAGGTCTTCAGCAACCCATGCTTGCCGTAAAAGGCGACTATGCTTGTCGTAAAAGGCGATCGGGTGGTCAGGCTCGCTGAGTTGGTTGATACATGTCATCGATCCCAATCGCGTGGATTGATACTCAAGATGTCAATCACTGGATTGTCTGGTAAAGATTTGATTATTGTACAGACCGCCGTCATATAGCTGGAATATTGCTGATTGCGGTGTTAAACAACAAACAAACAAAGCAAAACAATGTAACAAGTGATAAAGGTACATTTGCATGTGTATTGCACACTTTTGAAAATATATGATTTTGTCATGCCAAAGACGCAAGTTTGATTCCTGACAAGAAAACAATGTACAGCCAATTTGTATTTTGCCCACAAAGAAATGTTAAGAATAAAGCTAAATGCAGCTGAAAGCCAAACTGACGTACCCCCAATATAGTGAGACTCTGTTTTACCCTGCATACATGATACAGGCAAGGGGGTAACAACATCCACTCTGCTTCAGAAACAGCAGCGAGGTGGGGGGCGTCGCCCTGACGGGGACTACGGTGCCACTATACCAGGTCTTAGAGGTGCAGATTCTGCCAAGGTGAGTTCAACATAATCTGGAGAGTTTCTATGAACATTGGCTAGGTGGAGTGAATTGTGTAATGACCCCAGCATTCCAACTGTCACGTTAAAGAGTTGGCATGTCCAATAGATCCACATGTCCAATAGATCCACAAGTCCAATAGATCCACATGTCCAGTAGATCCACATGTCCAATAGATCCACAAGTCCAATAGATCCACATGTCCAATAGATCCTCATGTCCAATAGATCCACATGTCCAGTAGATCCACATGTCCAATAGATCCACATGTCCAATAGATCCACATGTCCAAGTCTTTGCACTGATGATCAGATTCAGTTGATCTGAACCAGATTGTTAATCTTGATAGTAACATGAAATCATCTATAAAAACAAATCAGGTTATTACCACGTTTATAGAATTGTAGATGGCAATTCCAAAATGTGGATGGAGGGAGTTAGGATGAAGGAATCCTTAATAAAATTGTTTTAGATCAACAGCTGAGTCAATCTTGGTGATTTTGATGTGTCTATTATATACCACTCAAAAAAAAGAAGAGGGAAATCCCGATTTATTCATATTACTGTTGTTAATCTGTCTTGCCTTGACAGATTAACCACAGTAATATGAAAGAATTAGGTGGTCCTTAACTTTTTTTGAGTAGTATATAAGATTCTACTTGTTTGAGGCCATGTTTAGACTTTGTTCTTGATACTATGTATGACATTTTCTCCCATGAAGTGTCGTGAACTAATACACGCTACCCTGTACACAGTATTATTACCCTGAGAGGCCCAAGTCTGATAGTGATGTTCGAGGCAGCTGGTCTAAACCTTGGTTTGAGCGTAACCGTAGTTACGTGGATTTCAAACCGTTTTCTGTGAGTTATAACCAACCGGTCAGCTGACTTCCCAGTTGGCCCATCATCCTAGCATGGCATTCTAGTGTCCAGCAGTTCACACGGATCACATGCAAAAACAAACAGAATAATATAATGCACCATGAATTGTTATATTTGTTATAAGAAATTAAGTGATTTTTCATTATGAGTTGAAATAATTGGATGTAAACTGATGATTTCTTTTCATAAGGAAAATTGTTTTTCTTTGATAGTGAATAACGAAAATATATCTTTTAGACATTTTACCGGATTGATTTAAAAAATATACAACATTTTGTTGTTGTGATTATCTGTTTGTGTTTGCTGGTGGTTGTTGTGTTTATTCACAGAATCATACCCGACTGTAGGCATGTCGCTCAGACCCACCACATAACTATTTCATGATTAGACTAACAGACTTGTACATTTGTAAAGATCACTATTCGTATCAGGCATAAATATGATCTCAATTTCCAGTTAGATTAGCTTTGCAATTTTGTCATCCTTAGACCAGAAGCATTATCAGTATTTGAAAATCATTATTTAGTTGTGCTTACCTTTGCCATATTCTGTCCTCAAGTGTTCATAATGTGCATCATGCTTTAAGTGTATACTGAGATGGATCAAGCAAGGGTAGTGTTCTGTACTGATGTTCTCGAAATCCACTTTGTTGCTGCAGTAAGAGATGCACTGATATCTCACATTGGATGTAGAATATTGCTGCAGAGCTGTAGTTTAACATGAACAAACATATGTTTCAACTGATAATACAAATGTTTCTTACTGATACTGTTACAAGTTATAAACATTCATATTTCAGCCATGAGAATAGTTTCCTTAAGAAATTATTAATAACATTTAAGCAGCCCTTACAGTTTTTCGGAAGAATGATTTTAGTGTAAATTTATGAATTTATGTGATAATGGTTTAATGTTATATGACCTACCCATTTCATCATGTTGCCATCAGTAGCCATTCCTCCTTTGCTTGTTGCCCAACTAGTCCCAGTAGCCTGCCCAGCCTAGCCTCAGGTGCTAGTCAATGCCTCGCTGTATACTAACACCAGCTACTAACACTAGTCAGAGACTGTATCATGTCCTAAGTCATTTATGTCATCCTTGATTGACAGATAATGAATGTAATGTAATGTCTACTTTTCTTTATATGATAATGAGCGCTGTTTACAAGTTTGTTACGGAGATTTCTTATGAACATGATAAAAGATTAGAATATGGTGCTGACATTTTAACATGCTCAATATGTTCATGTTATTGGTGATGGTTTATGAAGGGTAAGTTTTGTGCTATCATGCATATGGCTACATTAAGTTGACCTGCCCTGATATATGTGGCTTTAATTCAAACTCACTCACCTAAGGCCATTATGTTTTTATTTGTTGGATCTGGCAACCCTATTTTCTTCTAAATTGGAGAAAAAAAACCATAATCCAAATTTACATATCTCAGTGTTTTAAAAAACAACAACTCGATAAAACTTATGATGCTCGATTTGATATTAATATTTCGCCAAAAACATTCAGTCCTCTACAAAAGTTCTGGCAAATAAATCTATTTGTTGTCCTTGATACACAAACTCCCTTTGTCATCAGAGAGAAAAAAAAGAAAAAAAAGATATCGCACAAGATGGTGAATTTATTCATTTTCTCTTCTTATCTTTCTTCCCTTCTACAGGCAAAGTTTGTAAGAAACATTCTGTGATCAGGTTTAAAAAAAGAGCTGATATCAACTTTAAAAAAATAAATTATTCCCTCCTCTGACTTATAACTTTGACTGAAAAATCTGTGATCCAACAAAGCAGAAAATAATGGCCTAATGATGAGGCTAAAGAATTGGGAAAAGTCTGTTGTTCTATCCAGGACTTAGTAGATGCTAACTGAGGCCAGACCAATGTACTTCTTGTTTCAAGGAACCCCAGATAGAATTAAGAAAATATCAGGGTTTATTTTTGGATACCTTCCTCAAAAATACTTTTAAAATTGATGTTATTACGGAATACAATCAAAATTGTGAAAAAAACATTCATTGTAATCAAACAGCATGTTTTGAAAACTTCAAAATTTTAGGGTAGCTTTTCAATAAAACAAAAGATTACATTGGTCTTGCATAAAGGTCTTGTCATTGGTTTGTGTTATTGGATTAATTAACCATAAGGTAGATAGTGAGACTTCCTTTCAGATGAGGTGAAAGAAGTAAGCAACAGTCGGTGCTTCATTGGCAAACTAAATTCAAAATGAGGTGTGACTTCCTCTCTTATAGCTGGAGAAAGTGAAACGGCGCAACGAGGAGTACAATCAGTTTTTGAGAGAGAAAGAGGGTCAGAAAAGACCCCGAGGTCAAGTTGTAAGTACCACTGTAAACACCGGGCACACTCTCTGCTGTTTGTCACTGTTGGTCCTCTCTGCTTCTGGTGTTGTCACTAGACGTTGCTGTGTCCTATGTGTGTTTTGGATTCCATAGAAACCCTTTTGTTACTGATCTGTGTGCATTTTTTGTTATTTCAGTCACCAACCATAGCATGTATGTACGAGGCTCCAAGCTTATAGAAGATGTAACCTATGCAGATATATTTTGACATTGCAAAAAATTTGTTCTTTGTCATGAAAGAGATCAGTATTCTAAATTAACAGGGTGGTTTTGTGCAAGTGGACCTAGAGCTTTTTATTTATAGTCATTTAAGCTTTGATGTCTGCAAATACCCATACTTATGGCATTTACAGGTTGAACATGTAACTAATGACAAGTTAGTATAGATGATCAACTCCCAACAGTAAATATTCCCTTGTTAGAAACACAAATTCAATCTTACTTTCTACTTTGCTGAGATACATTTAGAGATTTATTTTGGTGAATATATTTGGATTTGTTTCAGTCATCAAAGAGAAGTTATGATTTATGTATATATATTTTGGGTTGAGGAAAATGAGAATCTGAATTTATCTTCTTCCTTGCACTCTTGGTTTGTTGTTTCAAATTCTTAGAAGAAGTATTGCTTGATATGTTTCCATGTAGGTAGTGGTATTCCTTTGAGGGGAGCTGCTATGTCTGTATGTATCTTGTGACACACAGCAGAGAGGCTCAACTGTTGAATCTCACAGTTTTCATTGATTGCACAATGTTCTGGTTTGGGTTTTTGTTCAAGTTTGATACACGTTGCTTTATTCTTTTCACTCTTCTGTGTGGGAGCAATTATCCTTACAGCACACTATTTATTATTTTTTTTCAAATTTAATATGTCTTCAGTGCATGCATTGAGTTTTGAAGTTTTGACAGCCTTCATTACGACATACTTAAACATTATACTTCCCTCCATTATGTTTTGCTGTAATAACAAATGATAACTTGAGATTTTTAATTGTTCATATAGGACGAGAAGATCATGAGCTTATTTACCCACTTTTGTTTCCCAGTCGAGAATGAAATCTGCAGATTACCACAATGTCCTGATTTCCAGTAAACTGCTTTGATGTCTGAATTGGTTAATTGAATGGACATATTTTGTATATTTGTAAAAGCTGGGAAAGCTGAATGAGTGCACTGATATATTTGTTTTAGTTTCATAACTGCATCCCTGGTATATGGTATTATAGACATACTGTGATTTTAAACATGTGAGATGTTTTCTCGCCTGCAGAAGCACGGGTATCATAAGAAACCCCCCTACTGGACCGAGCCAGAGTCAGCCATTGTGACTGCACTGGTACGCCATACACCCTATAACCATACATATCCTGCGTAGTCGTAGTAGGCCCGAGCTGTACATAATCAGAAAGTTGGCGATGCCGGAGCAAAACAGGGCCCAATTCCACAATGGGGCCTTAGCGCTTATACACTGTAACATGGATTTATGACAATCTTAGCACTTGGGCGCTTTGTGGAATGTGACCCTTGTCTACAAGACACCATGCTCGATACAAGAAGCATCTGGATGACCACCAGCTGCTGTGTGACCTGATTGAGCGTGCGTCACTCCACCCAGATTGTTGCTGATGCTGTCAGCCACTGGGTGTCTGGCCCAGGATTTGATTTTTTACAGGCTGTCATGACCAAGCTCTCATAGTGCTGATTGCAATATAAAACACTATTTATCATCTTACTTTTTATATACAGTCATCTTCATCTCCCCTTGAACCTGCCTTGAACTGATGTCTTTTACCAGGGATTTATTAGAATAGTTATAAAAAATCCTGCAGGTCTTGAAGTTATTATCAGTTCCAGAAAAGGGTTTGATTTTCATAAATAATTTTCATAGTACAAGTTTATTTTATATTTTAATTCTAAGAATATATTCATCAAATTATTTGAGGAAATTAAATGACAGCAGAGATCTCCTCCTGGCTTCCCTGTAATGAGTGGTCCCAGGACATGGTCTGTGTGTAGCATGTAAAATGGAAGCTTTAGGAAGGACTGTTTGATATATCATAGTCATTGTACGTTGCTTATAAACCACTACATGCTTTTTATATCCGTTTGAATTAGTTTGATATGGAATAGGAAATCATTATGACTTTTTAACATGTTTAAGGTTGAGTATATATATTAGTCATGCTTTATCTTATGTCTTCTTCACAGATTCTCTGCTTTTTACACAACCTGTCAAAGTACTTTTTTGAGTTACCTGAGATTTCTTCAACATAGAATCAATAATTATATTAACAATAATTATGATTAACGACAATTATATGGATATGGTATAGAGCAGATATTTTAAGATTGGAAGATAAACTTTTCTATGTAAGTTTTTGCGATGACATAAGATATAACATACATACTGTCCCCATAGCTTTCTTTCTTCTCCACTAATTAATAGTTTGACATGTTTTGGTGTAATTCTCAACAAAAATGTTATGTGGAATATCTCTGTAGGCATGGTACATAGTAAAACACATTTGATTGGTCTGATGTATTTGGGAAAAAAAATGCGCTGTTTCAGATGTTTTGAGATGTTTCATATATTTCATATATTTAACAAACTAAGTGTAAAAGTGTTAATCAGCATGGGTTCTTTGTTCCTAATTTCCATCTTTTCTGGATGGAAGACTCTGGCTACGTGAACATTAGGAAGTCATGACAGTCGGCAGCAGGAGCTCAGACATAGGCTAGATCAGACTCATTAATACCAGGTACATCACGCTTGATTGTCATGGTTACAGGGGGAACAGGAGCAGGGGGACACATATGCAACATTACCGGGCCTCCGATATGAGGACACGGCCAAAGCTGTAAGTTGGTCAGATGTTGCTCTTGCATTTGGTGTTGAGCAATTCAGCCTGTTCTAGATCTTTTTCTTTCATTTTGCTGTCACTGTTAAGTTAATTTCAAGTTTCATGGCAAATTAAATACATATCCAAACTCTACATTGACTGGATGTAAGGTGAAAAACGATGTGACAGGATTATAACAGAGATACATTTGTACAATAGCTAAGTAAAAAAGCCACAAAGAAAGTAAGATGTATTAGTTGGTTTACCATCCTCCCGAGGCAAGGGAGTTAACTGGCTATAAAAGTCCAGTTTCCACCCTTGATAAACTGGACTGGAATTATGGAGTTTCATTTTGGCTGGACTAACGAGTCTGTCCAATCAAAATCATGTGACGAACTAGACATCCAGTTGATAAACAACATGGATTTCAACGTGCAGATTTCGATCGACTGCAGGACTTGCAAAGCATGTGTACCGTCAACTGGGCGTCGGCAGATATTTTCAAAATCTTTCCATATTTTAAATCATGGACCTCAAATGATTTGATGTGCATTGCGAAGTAAGACCCGATTTACTACAATACAAATTTTGATTATCGAAGCAAATGCAAGAGATATGAGAGTTGGCATCTGATTGGCCAATAGGAGGGATCTAGAAGGGACATAACACGTAATAGCCACTGGTGGCGCTGCGATTGAGCCCAGAAATTCCAACGTAGTTTGGCAAGGTTTGGTGAACTAGATTTTTTTAGTCAGTGAACTCCCTTGTCTCGGGAAAATGTTGGTTTACAGACGTTTCCTGGATTTGCTTGTGAAAATGAAATGGAAGTATATGTCCATTTTGCATGAAATATATTTTAAAAGGACATGACGTCGACCGTTCTGACGCTTTGTAAACAATAGCCGATATCACCCGAGCTTTTCAGTGAGTTTTTCTTCTCCAGTGACCACGCACCAGGTGTAGGCTTACAGTATAATGGGACTTTTCACTTGTTTGTAAACAAACACACTTATTCTGAAATAAGAACAGAAGTGCAAGTGCGCTTTACATATTGTTTTGCAAAATTATGGATATACCACTACAACTGCGACACTGAGGTACATGACAATATAGCTTTAAACATCAAAGGGACCATATTTCCAGTTCGCCTAAGGGCTTTGATGACAGCATGTGGGGGATAGATACGCAAATGAAAATAGTTTTCACATTTTAGAATATTTTCTCAATGAAAGTTTTGTGTATCTAAATGTGTAGACTTGACAGATGAAAAACACATGAATCGACAGTGTAAAATTTGATGATGTGACAGAGGAACTTAGCTGGCCGCAAGGAACTCTGGGTAGGAGAGTGATTGGCTTCATGCGACTGAGGCATATTTATTATTTGGTTTTCTAGGCTTTGATAAGTAAAGTACTCTAATTTTTATCTAAGTTGTCAATTAGTATTTTCTAACTCAGACTTAAAAAAACCCACAAACTTTCTCTTCATTTTGCCTCTTTTAAAATTAAATCATGACCGAAGCCAGTTTACTATGCACAGCATTGCGTTGTCAGCTTCACTGTGTGGAGCTCTATTTTTTTGGTTTGAGAATTAAATCAGGCATGTGACGCCACCCTCGGACATTATTTCATGCATGATTTGAAAACCTACAGAACCGTCGACGTACTGTCCCTTTGAGGAGTGTTTGACATTTATTGATTAAAAGTAATGACATATGCCATCTGAAAAATTAATAACATCGATGTGGCTTCTACTCATTCTTCATATTTGAGATTTTAAGATTTGTGTTAGCATATACATGTAACCATCATTCTAAGAACATCTGTGAGCATGGTAAACCAACTGAACAGGGTTCGACAAATACAGTAGTGCACTGGTCCGATTAGAAAATGCTTCTAATCATTACGTAGGATCCGTAGTTTTGAAAATGGAGATCGTCAGACTTGTTAGCGAAAATATATGTATAAAGATAACAGTACTTTGTTACTTTGTTACGAAATAATAGGACAGAAACTGATGGAATATTTGCTTTATAAAGATGAGAAAATGTACTCTGATGTTTTGCCGTCTCACACAATGTCTGTTTTGGACCATTCTCTGTAGCACTGGTCCAATTGGCTGCCTGAATATATTCTGTTTGTCGAGCCCTGCTGGTAGAAAGGTGTTAAGTTGGAAGTTAGGTCAGAAGTTATCCCTACAAATGTGGCCACCTTGTCTAACCTGCTGTTCCTGTATGATACAGAAATATAGTGAGTTAGAGAGAAATAAGGAGTACAATGACTTCTTAAGACAGAAGGATGCCCTGGACCGGTTGGCTGTAAGTACAGGGACACCCCTTGACCTGGGTAGTCCTCCACTTGTAGTTTACTGTAAATCATCAAATTAATGCGAGTGTTGAACCCAGGCCTAAGTTGCAACAATGTAGTAATGCGAATAGCCCTACATTTGAACTTTAAAAACTGATCAGATAACGATAACAAGACTGTAGGCTAAAAATTCCATGACATGGAATGGGGTCAGATAGTTCAATTGCATAATATCATCTCAAACCTTAACTTCAACTGCTTGGCACGTGATCTGACTTCCATGAAATCAAAAGCAGGAAATTCCAAATAAAGCATGTTCAAATAAGACCAGGTGACCAATGAAAATTATACAGGTTACATTGTTTATTGTGACTGTGTTATATCATGTCATTGTTTCCACCATGTGGGGGCGGTGGGGTGGCCTAGAAGTTAAAGCATTAGCTCGTCACGCCGATTCCGGTCATGGGTACAATGTGTGAAGCCCATTTGTGGTGTTCCTCACGTGATATTGGTTGAATATTGCTAAAAGCAGCGTAAAACCAAACTCACTCACTCACCCTCTCCACCCATGGGCAGTGAACCTGACATGACAATAAACTCGAATATGCTCGCATTAATTTGATGATTTCTGGTATAGTTCTGTTTTAGTTCTTTCTCCAATGCTTCCTTAGTTTCTGTTTTAGATTATAGTTTAGCTGCATACTGGTTTGTTGAGCTTATGAATTTGTCAGTTTTAATTTGTGAAGTTGCTGGTTGAATTGAATTGAGGTTTTATTCCAGTGTTTTTGATCCAGCCTTGTCGATGAGTAGCTTGCCCTGACATTTTCATACTAACTTTCCAAGCCAACCAGTAGAAGTCTGACCTGTTTACCTGGTGACTAGGCTACAAGATGGGGAGGGGTCACTAGTCAGTAGTCAGTAAAAGTAAGGGCCTTTTGTGGCCTGTGATTAATTCAATACATGATCATGCTGAGTAGAATGTGAAGTTAGACATTTGAGTTTGCCGGATACCTGTCATCCATATTTGTTTCATGCTTCTGATAAAGTGACACACAACGGCATAGATATTATAGGGGTATAAAGCTAAAATAAAAAGGAGAAAAAATGACCCCGCTTGCATTTCGATGGATTGATATGATTAAGTCATGAAATTATATGTCAAGGCAATTGAAAAACATTGAAAATCTAAGGAAAGCATCGGATAAGTACTCAAAAAGAGAAGTTCCCTAAATGCATATTAATTTTATGAAATGGCTGGAGAACGCATGTAAACAACTTAGAAACGGTTCAGGAAGGAGCTTGAGCACATCCCTTACCAACATGACAGAAGAAGGTATCTGATATCTTGCAATCGAGCCTATTATCTCAGCGGTAGAAACTAACATTTTTAGTCCACTAGTCCTTATAATGAGAGCATATAGCAGAACCCTTAAAAATGGCACATTTCAACTGGTCCTTACTAGCCCAACTATTGGGCAATTTGGCAAGGACTACTGTTCTAGTGACAGTTTCTAATGCTGTATCTTACAAGGAAAACATACATGATCCTTACCCTGCCTGAATTTATGACTAACCAGTGCATGGTATAATGTTTCAGCAGTACTAACCAGCCGGGCTAGCTAGATAATGTTTTACTAGCCAATATTAGAATTGAGTAGCCAGTCTATTGTACACTGTTGTATACAAGGTGAAAATGTATTCCAAGTTTCAACCGTGTTAGAACTTCAATCTGAGTCAATGTAAAACAGGATTCATTGAGTGACAAGGGACCAGAACAAGCATGTCAAATGTTACAGTACATCCAGGAAATCACAAATCAGCCATTTAACATCTACTGACAATTTTATCAGGTGATTCATTTCCTGTTTCGGAATTTCATATTTGACAGCTGAAAAAACAACAAAATGGCTCACTGGATAGAAAATTAAACTAGCCATGCGGGCTACCTTGATTTTATTTTCATGAACAAGAAAGTAAAGAAAGAGCCATGGGTCACCGTGCAGGCACTTATTTCTCACACTGTGCCTAACCCTCTCCATTGCTAAACCATTCCCCACCTCACCATGACTCAGCCACACACAGGTGACCCAATACCTCCATCCCTGTCAGGTTGCTCGGAAGATTTGATTGTGGTTGAGTGTGTATGGTTGGAACTACCAGTGTTTGCCTGTTAGCTTATGTTCCCATACTAACCTGTTAGTTGGTTCTATATCTTGGTGAATGATATTGAGAAATGGTATGTTAACATGGTTAAGGAGCTTTCAAACATTAAATGTGAAACAAAGATAATATAAAGTTCTAGCATTACTTGAATCTTATTTAATAGATATCATGGGCGGATACAGCTTTTTTGAAAAGGGGGGGTGCACAATTAAGATCTATTTATTGTCTTTGGTGGTAATTTATACAGAAATAAAGATTTTGTTCGAAATAAAAGGGGGGGTGCGCACCCCCGCACCCCCCCTCTGTATCCGCCCATGGATATACATTCTGATAAGTAACACAGAGCTGTTGCGAATATATGTGGAACAAAGGAGTTTAAGATACAGATATTTTGACACTCAATAGAAAAAGATCCAATTTTATAAATATTATGTACTTTTATGATGTCATCAACATCTAAATGAATTGTACATCCCCAACTATTTCTTTCATTATCCCAGTATTACAAAGTTTGTTGAATTGATGTGTACATATTTTGCTTAGTCTAGCTATTTTCCTACAGAAGGTGTTTAAATCTAGACAGCTATAAATATTTTTTCAGGGCTGCATAATACATAGAAATTATATTGTGACTTATACTATGGGCCTCATGGCCTTTCTACAACTAGACTGTCTGTCTGAGGAACTTTCATTGTGAATGTATCAACACAGCTATTCATGGACATCGTCTCACATGTGTTTGCGAGCATCAGCTGTTTGTTTATATGTCTTCATTTACATCAGGCTAATGGATGAGCTAGTATTCAGAACAAACATTAGAGAAGGATTATGATAAAAGTCCACAGTTGTAGAGAGTGTCTATTAACAGTAAAAAATGAATAATTATCACAACTTTTGGATCATAAAGTGACATCTTTTTGTACACTCGTGGATGACACATATTGACAGCAAGGAGCTAAGTCGGACGAAAAAGTTGAGAGCAAACTTGTAAGACTTATCCCTCTGTCTAGATGCTGATGTTGATACAGTTTTGTTCAAGGTGGATGGTGCTAGTAGAGGATGCATAATCCTGTTTGACAAATAGTATGGATCCATATCATATCTGACTAATACCTACTGTAGACAGTAGCACACACACTAATACCACAGCTTTCTTCTGTATTTGTAGCTGTATGTTAATTATGTACTCACATCCTGACAAGGAAGGAGAATGCTCTTGATATTTTGGGGAGTATTGACTAAATGAATAACAAGTGGAAGACAAATGTTTGTCATGTTTCAAACCATGCCCAGAAAAGTTACTATTACATCTCTGATTATTTTGAGAAGTTTGTGAATTACACTCTGGAGTATATTTCAGTAGATGCATTGTTATTGAAAGTGTGAGTCCAGACTCAATTGAAGAATAGTTCTGAAATACATGAGGGATTTCTGAAAGTCTGCAGACAAAATACTCGAGGCATGGAGCATTCTGGGAACATCCTTCACCCAGTTGTTAAGGTCAGGCATGGTTTCTCAGGATTTGCTTTCATATACCTTTTCCTGTTTCTTCAGCGCACCCAAGGACAGGAAGGGCCCCCTGGTGCCCCACGGAAGGGCTGGGCCACGCCCACCTATGAAGAGATGCTGGACAAGAAGAGGCAGGAGGAGGCCAGATACAGGTCAGTCTTATCGGAAGTTATTACCTGATTATCTAGAGCAAAGTGCTGTATAAATGATATTAATATGGAAGGTTACCGTACAATTCTGATGGTTACAGTTGATATTGCTTTTATGGGGTCTTCATGATCACTGTGAACAAGTCATGTGGGGTGAGGTGAAATGGGGTTTAACGTCGCATCCAAGATTATTGCACTTATATAGCGACGTACATGCACTTGTGTGTATGTGGCTGCTTGTACTAGTCACAGTTGAACATGCCACATGCCACAGTTGAACATGAATACCCCACTCAGACACAGTATACTGACTCCGAGCCGACCAGTCCTTGTTTTAGCCCCTTAATGCCGAGTGCCAGACAGGGTAACAACAAGTACCATCTTTTAACGTCTTTTGGTATGATGCGGCAGGGGATAGAACCCCGGATCCTTCCGCTCTCCGGGCGGACGCTCTACCGCGAGACCACGGAGGCGGTCTTAACAAGTTATTGAGCCACATAAAGCAACAGATTTGGTGACACAACCACAATAATGGTCTTTCCAACTGTCACTTTTACCTTCTGTCACATGGTGATCTGGTATGCCTTAAAGCTTCACTACGCATTGGTCAGTTGTTGGATCATATAACACTTAAATTTGCCTATGCTTCAGTTTTGGCTATGAGTACATGTTGATGTTAAACAATCAACTTAACATGCTTAAGGAATGAAGTAAGATGAGTTCTATGGATGAACATCTTCTTTATTACATCCATATATCCGTCTATGTTCATCCATAGAACTCGTCTTACTTCATCACACCAACTTCTAAATGCCACTGAAAGAAGTTAACTTAAGGAATGACAAAAATGTCTCCCTTGTGTCAAAAGTGTTACAAGGGCATGTGGTAAAATGTTGTGTCAGTGTTCAAAGTTAGATGAGCCCTTACGGTCCTTGAAGATTGCTCCTATAGTATTTGAATCTAGGTACCTGCCTTACTTTCAAATTTTGACATTAAACATTGGGGTTATGATAAGGTCACTTAAACTTTCATGCTTGTTGTTGAACAATGGTGGGAAACTTGTTGTGGCAGTTATCATAATCGACTCACGAGATAGATACAGTGAAAGTGTGTTTGCTTACCACTCACATAATGTTGGGTGATCAGTAGTAGGAGACGAGCTTAGTGCCATTGAACACAATAAGTGAATAACCGGAGCCATAAGGTTAGTGATATACCCCTGAAGATCCGGGTTAGAATAGGTCTTCAGCAACCCATGCTTGTTGTAAGAGGCGACTATGCTTGTCGTAAGAGGTGACTAACGGGATCAGGTGGTCAGGATTCCTTACTTGGTTGAGGCATGTCATTGTATCCCAATCGTGTAGATTGATGCTCAAGTTATCAATCTCTGGAGTGTCTTGACTCAGTTATTTACAGACTACCGTCTTGTGGTGGAATATTGCTGAGTGTGGTGTGAAACAAACAAACAAACAAACAAATTTTGGTAATATTTGAGTTAAAGGAGTTTTATTAAGTTTTACGTATGAGTTAATTGTATTGACAAATCATTTCAGACGCTATGATGACCCGGAGTACAGTCGTCCTGGTATGAAGTCCTATGGCAGTGAAGGAGCCCTGAATGGTATCGATGTAAGTGCTGCCACCATGCATCAGATTGTACTATGTTGACCTGACTGTGAGCTATATGTGACCTTGCTGTCGTATTGTATGGGGTACCGCTGGTGTGTGGGATGGACCTGTCACTGGTGGACAGTGGGGTCCGACCGTGTTGGTGACGTCAGTAGTTCTTTTGCACTAGAAGTTAACATTACACCAGTAACAGTAGCATTGTAGACTATTCTCATTCTATATAATAACTTGACATATGTATGAGTCTTGTGTATTGGCTATGTCTTAATGATCCATGTATTTCCATATATCCAGTGTTATAGGCAATAATTAATAGCCACAAAATACTATCACGTTTTCATGAAATTCTTTAGGAATGAAATTCAAACAAAAACAAATTGAATTAAAACAAAAACTCCACATTAACTCAATATTCGTACGGCCTGTGTTGATTCCACACAAAAAAGTAAGTAAAAAGTTCAAAATTTGTGGCTCATTCTGAAAATATTATCTACAAACTTGATATTAAGATGGCTTATTCTGCTTCTTGATTGAAGTAACAAAGTTGTACAGTAGGGCTGCAACGAATACTCTATGAGGCGAATACAATTCGTATCACGAATATTGGGAAACGAATACGAATATTAATTCATGAATACAATAACAAGTCAGCAGTTGATGTATTGTTTGTGATGTTCAGTGAAGCAATAACAACAAAATATTTGACATGGTTTGTTAATTATTAATATATTATAAATTTCTATACTGCACTTATCCAGGTGCTAGTATCTGCTCAAATGCGACAATGCACAGTGACCACAATACTGTCAAATCAAATAGTATAAGAGTGTTGTCTTTTGAAGAAATCTATGCATATAATATGTTCTTATGGATATTTTTATGTAAATGCACATGATTGCATGTTCATAAATATTCGATTCTAGTGGTCCTGAATAACGACTTCAATTCATGAATGGATACAGTTTGATTCACCGAATGCGCGAGTAAATCGTAACAGCCCTATCTTACAGACATTGTATCAGTCTCTATTAATGTATTGGCCAACATGTACACACTGGTAATCACTGCGTGCCCACAGAAACACCACTGCTTCTTTGCTGTGTGGACAACACTTGACCCCAGCTTGGCTCACCATATTGAAATTGACAGAAAGAACATCAATGTTTTGAATATTTTTGTGAACACACCTTTTGCCTTTCAAATTGATACATGATTACATAAAATGTAAATTACTGAATTCAGTCAGTCCTTATATTTGTTTCATTATTCTGAACAGGGACAATTTGCACAAAGAGATCTTAGCATTACAACTGTCGTAAGTCTATGTAAAGTAGGGGTGTTCCAATCATTGTAGTGCTAAGATTGCTTTGTGCAAGTGAACCCTTTCTTGTCTAGTGGGGGTTTGTGTCTGTAGGGTAACTTGATTTGCAATATTCTAGTTTATTTCTTGTACTCCATTTGTGAACAACTCATGTTATTCCGGGACAAGCCAAATAGCGACTCGTGCCCCTTTCGTGGCCATTTTTGCAACTGGATTCCATCTGAGCACCAACGGGAATAGCTAAAAGAATTGTCAACTCATTGCGCAATGATTCACATATATTTTTCCCATGTCATATATATTCCAGATGCCATTGAAAACACATTGGGACATAGTATTATACAGTGTGAATGAACACATTTAACTGTCTCTTGGGTATATTTTTAAATGCAAGACATATTTTAAGTAAAAAATTATTCCTGCGGGATTCTTTGAAGTCATACGCATTCTGAATGGTTTGTCATATTTTCACACATAACATTCATCGATAGGGGGATGAGTCTTCTTGCAGGTTACGGAAAGGGGCGAGCTTTGATGAATGCTTGTACTCAAGTGAAAAGACTGTTGTCCTTAGAACTATTTGTTGACCTGCTGAGTAGGCTACAGTAGTGCTGCAGCTTCCTAACCCAGCAGTATGTCTCTAACACTTGTCTATATCTTAGGGTGAGAGGCGAGGAAAAGGTCTAGATACAGACTTAGACAAGTAAGTTCTTGTTTATTGCATGTTCATTTCAAACTGGTAACCAGAAATTATCTTTCGACATTTTAAAGTAAAAGTAGATATGGTTTAACTGGCTTAAGTGTAAACTAATGTAAATGAATTGCTTGACAAGCATATTCGTGTTGTTGATAAAGTGTATGTATTTACTGAACGCTAACAAGGACAACACGAACACCGCGGAGAAACCCTGAGGACGATGAAGTCGCCAGGGAATATATTGAAGTGGTAAATGTTTACCCGAACTATCATATTTATCACAGACTTTCAGTTTAATTTTGTCATACCACTTCTGTAATCTCTTCCAAATTATGTCTTATTTGCATGTTTGGTTCATTGTCTCTCCTATCGTGTATATCTGTAAAAGTACATAATTAACATTCTTGTCTGAAACGTCTCACCAAAAATCAGATGAGTAACAGACTTAGGGTGCAGTGATTATCATGTTAAAAACTTGAATTTAAATTACGTTCAATTGGACAAATTTTTATCATATTATAACTGTTATACTAAACTAGTTTATATAAATGTGAAATCAGATTCTTCTGGTGTTTTTGGTGAGACACCTTGAAATGTGAGGACAGTGTACTGGATGTTGGTTACATGTTACTGATGACATCCCCACTTCCAGACATTTTGGTTTCCGACACTTGAGTCCAGTAAGTCTTGAAGCAGGTATTGTACCTAGGCAGAAGTCATAATGTGCCAACAGAAATATCCGCAGTGTAGCCTGCGAACCCTTATGTTACTCAGGGTAAAATTTTAGTGTGTGTGTATTGAAATAGGGGTGACAGTGAAGCCTAGTGGTTGAAGCTGCACTTGTCATGCTTAGGAACTGGATACACATTTTTATGCCACCTGCTAGGCTATTCATGGAATATTTATTTATCACTCACTCACTCGCTTGTATCAAAAAGGCGACCAACGGGATTGAGCGGTCAGGCTCGTTGACTTGGTTGATGCATCAGCCATGTCATCATATCCCAATTACGTGGATCGATGCTCATGTCAATCACTGGATTGTCTGGTTCAGGCTCAATTTTTACTTACAGACCACTGTCATATAGTTGGAATATTGCTGTGCGGTGTTAAACAACAAACAAACAAAACTTGTATGAATTAAGTTATAAAAAAAGCAACATAGACTAAATAAACAAACGTATATCTCTCCACTGACCTGTTCATGTCTAACATGGGGCATTAAAAAATGACAAGAAATTATGTCAGTTCCTTTTAGATATTGTTACTGTCAAATCTATTTTGAGTGGTTTTACATCAACTGTTACAAAAAGACTGCACCTACTGTCAATCCACTTCACCTGCATTAAGTAATGTGTTACAGCATAGGATTAGATCAGTTTGTGCACATGGTCCCAGACCTCAATGCTTTTGTTGACTGCTCATCCATCACGGATACATCTGCAACAACACGTGCTCATCCATCACGGATACATCTGTAACAAAACGTGCACTGTCTTCACATTTGCTGCTTACTAACACTCTCTCTTCATCCTGAGTTGCGTCACTGGCACGGTGTTCATGTCCTCTCACTATCTAGGCGGTTGCGCATCTCCGACGGGCACAGAAGCATCCTGGATGACCCGTTATGGCTGAGTCCGCGCAGGGGGGAGAACTATGACAGAGAGGCTCCGGTAATAATGTCCTTCTGCATGGAATGATGGTGTTCAGTTCGTACTGCCGTGTTTGGCATTACTGGACTTTGTTTGGTGTTACGGTTCAGTGATGCTATTGAAGGCAGTCAGTTGGTAGATGTTTCGTGGTAACCTGGAGATATGGTTAGTTAGCATGCAGCTGGAAGGTAACATATAGAGGTGATGTAGGTAGTTAGCTGTAGGTAACAGGGTTATGTAGAAGTGATGTAGTTTGTTGAAAGGCAACATGTAGAAGACGTAGATGTTTAGGTAGTAGGTACTACATACTAGAGGTATAGTTAGCTTCAGGAGTAGCTGCTGATGGGTGCAGTGTCGAAGTGGTCAGATCTGACCGGAGTAAACCTTTGTGTGGACAGTACTGTCATACAGAGTCTGGGACCGAGGGATGGACAATGGTAAGGGATTTATTTAGACTTGCTTAGAGGTCAATATTTGGCCACAACAGCAGAAATGGCAGTAAATTCCATTTTGGGGTTAAGCATTTCCAAGTCCTGCTCTTATAACTGATGTTATGGCTTTGTAGAGGTGAGTTGTCACTGATAACAGAACCAATATAGAGGGAGAGGCTTTAATGTTTAGTTTAATGTTATAGTATTGAATGAAGTGTAAGAATCAAAGATAAAATACCTCTGAATTCAGGAAAATAAGAACTTTTAAACAAATCCCAATTTTAAAGAAAATAATGATTTCCCCCGACTTGCCTCCCAAGGGCACTTAGTTTGGAATCCTATATATATCCCCATAGTAACCTATAAGGATGCTTGTCCTCTGGATTGTAGACAGAGAGGTAACAAAGGGTTGATGATGGTGTTTTGGTGAAGTTTATTTATTATTGATGTTACAATCTGATACAGTGGCTGGTGATATTGAGGGGCACTGGCTCTCTGAGATGATGTCAGCCGTATGTGCATCTATGTCTCAAAACACTTTCATTTGTCACTTTCAGCTTCTGATTTTGTTTCTGTTTATATCTGTAAATGTGTGCAGCATCACAAGGCATATGTGGCACTTGTACTTAAAAAACAGCTACCATGATCATTGAGATCTGTGCACAGCTGAATTGATATAATTCTGCATAGCAATGTAATCACTTGTTCCGACAATATACTGAAGGCACTCTATTACATCCAGTAATTTTGTATAATTAATCACTCAATACATTCTATACGATGTATTAAACTGTTAGACAAAATGATCGTAAATTTGTTGACAATTCTAATATTGTTGAGCTTGTTAAAAACTAATATTCAGACATGGCTATGCAGATTTGTTATTTAATTTGACAATTAATTGTATAAAGTCAATGCTACATGATGGCCTAAAAATCTAAACTCGCTGTACAAATGTTTGTTATTCTTTAAGATATCCCGTCTGAGAGACTATAACTTTAAGGTAAGGGGCTCTGCATCTGTTTCCAGACTTAGATAGTTAGTAGCTAGTACCAGCCTAGTTAAGAGGCTAGCTAGAATTAAAGTAGCATGCAAAATGATTAAGGGAGCATTAATAGATATATATGATATTTGGTTATTATGTTGTTTATGAATGTAAATAAAAAAACTTTTTTTTTTAAAAGCAACAACGGTTTCTTATGTAGTACAAGGTATTTTCATAGAGCTCAAAATTATGTAGACTATGTCAAATGTAGACTATTTACATATCAGACTTCTTATGATACAAGAATTACATATTTCTAAGTAAATATGTGTTACTTGTCATGCATGTGTTACACTCTAAGGAGTGGTTGATATATCCTCAGGTAATCTACGTACCAAGTAGGGTTAAGAATCTCATGTCAGTAGTCCAGCTTCTAGAAAGATGTGTAACAGTAGGCATTGATCAGCTAGAGGTAGACTAGTGTCAGCTAACTGATGGTGTTTCGTGACATGCTGCGTAGGAGGCCGAACTCTCCAGCCGTCCCACCTCGCCAAAACAACCGGCTGAGGGTGGCAACAAGAAGGTAGGTCAAGGTCATTCTCGTACCTGGGGTCATCGTTGCTGCAGCATGTACAAGATGCTTCTATGTCAGTGTCAGTGTATATGAGCATGCCTATAGCTCATTACATTCATGTGGGTAACTTTTTTGTGTCTGTTGAAGACACAAACTTGAAATGAGTGACCCGTGATGATTTGTCAGTTTACAATGCTTTTTAGTTATCTTACCCCATGTTGTTGCTCATGCTTTTCAGTATCTGTTTGGTCTTATAAAATCAGCTAATAAAATACCATGTGATAACACTAAAATGTACTAAAAGTGATGCTAAATGCCAAGTTTGGGCTGGTCGACTCAAAAGTTTTTGGCACGACTGGTAATGGTTGACTTGATATGGAATATTTTAGTGAAATTGACTTCTCAAAAGTGGTTGTACAAAAATATAATGAAGGAGAGTTTTCTTCCATACTATTTTGTCATCGTATACATATCCAACCACACAATGCCACCAAGAGATACTTGTTATTACCCTGTCTGGAGCTCGGCATAAAGGGGCTAAAACAAGTCGACTCGGAGTCAGTATGCTGTGTCTGAGTAGGGTATTCATGTTAAACTGCGGCATGGTATCTCGGTGGGCTAGCACTATAAAATCAGCATTAGTCCAGACAAGTACAAGCAGACACACACACATTTGCATGCATGCCGCTATATACCGGTACCTCACCACACAAAGATCTTTGAAAGAGTAATATGACAGTTCAGCGATGTATCCATGTTCAAGTACCTGTTTTGCCTCCACAGAGATACCAGGAAACGGCCCCTCCCCGAGACCACGGCCCCCCGCCACGCAATACCGAGCCTGGCTACTATGCCACCCTGCCAGTTGGTAAGTGTCCCCCCCCCCACACACACACACTACTGGTGTGACTGACTCTCTGCTGTGCAACCCCACCCCCTAAATACCCTCTTGATTATACCCTAATACATCACATGTATCCACCCTTATATCCTCCTTGATAACCATGTGTATTTTGTCATCAGAATAACCTGCTTCCCTCATACTGGAATGAATATGAAAGAGCATTCCTTTGGCTGAGAATAGAAAGTAGATCAGTAATTTAATAAATGGGTGACAGTAATGAAGAATAATGACATATTTTATTGATAATGTCATAAGAATAGATGTTTCATAGTTCTGAATTTATAGCTTATAAATTTATGAATCTTTATTGAATGATAAACATTGAAGAGCCACTCATTTTTTGCAATATTGTATTTTCCAATTTGTGTGGCTGTTTCATAATTTGCAAATTCCTGTGAATAACTGAATATGTATGTTTAAAATTATGTCATGTGACTATTCCAGTCTTGTATACTCCTGATAAAAAGTTAAGGACCACCCCTTTCTTTCATGTTACTATAATTAATCTGTCATGGCAAGACACGGGGGGCATGGGTGGCCCAGTCGTCTATGGCGCCGCGATTCGCTGTGCAGAGTTGCGTCCCTTGGGCACGCCAGAAACCTATGATTGTGGGTTCGAAACCCCGGTTCGCCCCGATTATGTTTCTAGGTTTGTCAGCACCATACCCGTGCTTGTGGGTTTTACCGAAGTGGTAAACGACCTGCATCACTTCAGGCTTTCCTCCCACATTAAGCTGACACGCCACGATATAAGTGGAATACTGTTAAAAGTGGTGTTAAACCCAACTCACTCACTCACTCATGGCAAGACAGATGAACTTAAGTATAATGAAAGAATAGGTGATGGCGTGACAGATTAACTATAGTAAAGTTAAAGAATCGGATGGTCCTTAACTTTTTTTAGCAGTATATTATGAAATATGAATGCTCTTTATTGGTTGTTGCTACATTCCATCCCAAATATCGGCCATTAACCTGTAATCCACACCTGTAAACTCCATGCACATTGCCAACGAATGCTGTGGTTATTGACTGCTGTGACATACACATGCTAATGGCGCTTACAGGTGATCAGCGGGAGAAACGAAGCCGCTCCACGGATGATGGCAAGTGGTTTCTATCATTTTCATATCTAATTTTCACTCTTCATACTCACAAACTGTTGCAAAATTACATGACAAACTGAATTATTAATTTATCCACTGGGTGGGTATGTCACACATTTCTTTTCTGACTCCCAATTGTAATTTGGTTTTAGAGTTTTGAAAAATACATGTATTTAGAAGTATGATGGGTGTTGTTTGATGGTCAAAGGGAGATAACTTGCTAAGACTATGTTGATTGTGTCCCCTGGACATATCTTAAACGCAATGACAGATACTCATCCTTTAGTCACTGTGGGGATTCTAGGTTAGAAGTGGTCCCCAGCAACCTATGCTGGTTGTATGAGGTGACTTAATGGTAACAGATAGGGTGGCCAGGCTTGGTGTCTTGGTTGATTGTGGGGATAGTTGTTCACAATATCAATCACTGGATGATCTGGTCAGACTTGATTATTTACAGGCTATCGTCATATAGCTGGAGTATTCCTGAATGTGGCGTTAAGCAACAAACAAACAATAATTTTGCTTCTTCTATATTTATTGTAGGGACATGCCAATAAATGGCCTTTTATCAGAAATATATCATGAATATGAGAATACAGTATTGAAACCCTTCAGCTATCTAAATCCAAAATGCATAAATGTGTGACATTGATTCAGTTTGGAATGTACTTGTGACACCTAGTTCACTCATCACACAGTGTCTCCGATCTACTTCAGTGGTATGCATGGTTTGTGTGTGAAGATGACTATTATGTAGTTTGTGTGCAGCCTGTCAGATATCTCTCCATGCTATGTCTATGTATATATACATCAATGCCATCCAAGTCTGTGTGATCCTTACTGTGCTCAGTTCTTCAGTGGTTGGGGGGCCACGGGTGGCCCAGTCGTCTAAGGCGCCGCGATTCGCTGTGCAGAGTTGTGTCCCTTGGGCACGCCAGAAACCTATGATTGTGGGTTCGAATCCCGGTTCACCCGGGTTTGTCAGCACCATACCCGTGCTCGTGGGTTTCAACAAAGTGGTAAACGTCTGAGACCTGCATCACTTCGGGCTTTCCTCCCACATTAAGCTGACAAGCCGCGATATAACTGGAATACTGTTAAAAGCGGCGTTAAACCCAACTCACTCACTCACTCACTCTTCAATGGTTGATTTCTCTGGTGTATAAGAATCTTTCCATGAGGCAGTAACTTGATTCACACATTCTAAATTTCACAAACATTTTATATTAGATACTGATGAAGCTGATCAAGGAGTTTCTAAAGTTTGATTTGAATTGATTGCCATAACACTTGGCTTGTCCTTGATACATGACGTTTAAACACAGTATAGTATTCAGTTCGTTGAAGGTTTACCATGTTATTTTTTGTTCTCTTAGAAATAACAAGAAGTCTAGTTTAGCTAAGATGATTAATATTGAAAGTGATATAGATATAATGATACTAACCATCTTAGATTGATGTGGTAGCACAGAAGTGTACTGGAAATAATGTCAAATGACAAATTTGGACATGGTAAATTCGAAATTTTTGGCACAGTGTGTTAATCCAGTGAACGATGTGCTACTGTTTCTCACGACGTCAGAACTGACTGGGGAGGGAGGAATTTTGTTTTTTCTCTGGTAGGTAACATGTCTATTAAAGTATACTGCAGGAATTGATCTAGGATTCCAGACCAATTGCCCTTGACAGGCAAAATTGAGGGATTTTGTTCAAAATTGGATTTTTCATTGTTCACATTTTTTTAAATTCTGAGAAAATAAGATTTTTTTTAATTCAAATTTGAAATTGTCTTGCTCTGAGCAGGTCTAGATAACTCCCTGGCAAGATTCCTGGTTTGGTCCCTGTGACCACTAGAGCTGTTACGATTCACTCGTGTATTCAGTGAATCAAACCGTATCATGAATCGAATTTGTTCACGCCGTTCACATTTAGCATGGTCACTAGAATCGAATATTTAAAACAAAAAATTTAAAAGAGTGTTATTTACTTGAAGTTGTCTGTTATTTATCAAAGCAAGATATGCTAAAAGGAATATGTACAAGCCATGCAGTAGTCTGTTGTGTGGGTCATCTACAACGCCACCTCGGTAAAATGGCTGATTGTCCAGAACGCTCATCAATTATCTGGACCTCAAAGGTAGCATTGTAGCAATCACTGTATTTTTCATTGAATATAATAAATGATACATCAAGTGCTGACTTGTTGTATTTGTGAATAAATGATCGTTTTCTATACCCTATATAATTGTGATAGGTATTGTATTCACCTCACAGTGTATTCGTTGCAGCCCTAGTGACCACAGCTTGGTTCCCCTGTGTATCTGTCACACTATAAATAGCATAGTGTGTACCAAATATTGGAAACCAGTGCAAAAACTGACTTTAAATTTGAGTTTGAAAAAGTCATAACAGTGCTGAAAAAAAAATGATTGAGGGGCTTGATCAATATCAGGGATAGGCAGGTCATGGGATGCGTGACATTTGTTATAACAAAGTTTGTTGTCAAGATGAGACAACAGTACAAGCTGTTTGTGTATTGCACTGTCACAGGTCACTGTGTTGTAGTTGTGTTTGTTTCAGGTGGATTTCATATGAAACCATTCTCACTTGTTTGTCTCACTTCATCTATACACCCTCTCACAACACACTGTACTTAGATATTACAAGGTTGAATTCTTGATGATTTGTACTTGTCTTCTCTTTCAGGCCGAATAGTTATTGCCTAACAATACTTCTAACCGCTTATTGAGTGTTGACTGAAATTATTTCTAATAAATGTTGTTTGAAATGACCAAAAAGTAATACTAATAGCTCCAACTTGACTAAAACATGTGTTTCACTTAGCACTATTTTTTAGTACTATTTCAATAAGAGTGTCTGACTATCATTTGTGTTCATGGTGTATGGTTTTAGTAATCTTTACAATATTTATATTTGACATGTTATTTGTGTCCATTATTCATGACAATTCATATATGAAATGACAAATTATTGAATCAATGTAGTCTGTGCCACATGCTGTAAAAGTCCTCATGGCTCAGGGAGCACACACTCATCCACTGACCGGGTCATACTATCTAAGTGCTTAGAGCATGCTTATGCATGGAGTACAGCGCAATATAAATGGAGTGTTATATTATTATAGCCTATTAATGTTTTTGTAAGAGGGAGTGTAGGTATTTTAACCATATTACCCTCTTGACTCCAGTTGGGTACATTGACCACGGACATGATCACTTGGGGTATGCTCAGGGAAGGTGGGACCCGTGAAGATCCGGGGTAGAATAGGTCTTCAGCAACCCATGCTTGCCATGACCCGTGAAGATCCAGGGTAGAATAGGTCTTCAGCAACCCATGCTTGCCATGACCCGTGAAGATCCGGGGTAGAATAGGTCTTCAGCAACCCATGCTTGCCATGACCCGTGAAGATCCGGGGTAGAATAGGTCTTCAGCAACCCATGCTTGCCGTGACCCGTGAAGATCCGGGGTAGAATAGGTCTTCAGCAACCCATGCTTGCCATGACCCGTGAAGATCCGGGGTAGAATAGGTCTTCAGCAACCCATGCTTGCCGTGACCCGTGAAGATCCGGGGTAGAATAGGTCTTCAGCAACCCATGCTTGCCATAAAAGGTGGCTAACGCGAGTGGTTTGCCAGGCTTGCTGACTTGGTTGATGCATATCTTATCCCAATTATGTGGATCAATGCTCATGATATCAATCACTGAATTGTCTAGGCCAGACTAGATTATTTACAGACTGTTGTCATGTAGCTAGAATATTAGTGAGTGTGGCGTTAAACAACAAAAAAACAAAGGGATGATGATGTATGATAGAAGTGAACTGCAGTTGACACAAAGACATTGATAACAACTGACTGTGCTGGTCAGAGATTCTTTTGTGGTCCTTGGTTTGTGGATATATCTTTCAAAACCATTGATGGTCAAAGTGTTGATTATGGTGGAAATGCATGAACATTTTTTGTTTGGAAATGACAAAACATGCTAGTTTTAATTGATTTCTTTGAAGGATATCAGAATATCAACTTCACAGATCAGTGTACACGTTAATATAAATTTATTTCACACCTCCCAAATTATGGAGCAGCAGATTTGCAAACCATGGAATAAAACATAAAATACTTCATGTACCAATCATTGTCAATACACTAAGGTCATTGTGAAAGGTCCTTTGCTTTGATTTCACTAAAGCCTACAAATATTCTTCCTTTGCTTTGAATGGCATTTGTTTTGATGTGAAGATATAATAGCCAGCAATACCATTTACTAAATTAATACTGTGCCGACATTCAAATAATGGCTTGTGGTTATACTAAAATCCTGGGTCAGTGAAATCACATCAATGGACCTTCATCAGTAATGATGTATTGGTAAGTACAATATATACCTTGGAATAAACAAAGATTTACTATGAAAATGTATTTTAAAGGTCCTGTTACCCGTGAAGATCCGGGGTAGAATAGGTCTTCAGCAACCCATGCTTGCCGTAAAAGGTGACTATGCTTGTCGTAAGAGTCGACTAAAGGGATCGAGTGGTCAGGCTTGCTGACTTGGTTGATGCATGTCATCCATCCCAATTGCATGGATCGATGCTCATAATGTCAATCACTGGATTTTCTTGTCCAGACTCGATTATTTACAGGCCGCCATCATATAGCTGGAATATTGCTGAGTGCGGAGTTAAACAACAAACAAACAAACAAACAAACAATATTATGTTCTAGGCATGTGGCACCAACTCTTAAGTACGGATAAAGTGCAACTGGAATAGAGTTAAAAATGGTTATGAAGTTGTCAGTCTTTGCAAAAGTTATTTGAAAAACAAAATTACATCATTTTTCCCTGTGGCGTATGTTAAGGATGATGCCCGTTCTTTCGGTTGCAAGAGCCTAGTGTGCTGACATGTGCCTCAAGTCCAAGGTGTTTATATGTTGTGTGTCGTGTGTTGCAGGGAGTCAGGAGAGAATGAGTGCACAGCAGCGCAAGAAGGAGCAGTACCGGAAGGAGCTGCAACAACAGATGATGGAGGCCAGTGAGGCTAAACGCAGGTAGGCGTTCAGAGAATCGCGATTGATGGGATGAGAGCCTGCTGATTGTTTGTTTGTTGCTCAACAGCACACTCAGTGATATACCCAACAATCCAGTAATTGATATTGTGAGCAACGACCCATGATGTTTGGGGACGATGTCGTGCAATCAACCAAGTCACTGAATCTGACCACCTGTTCGATTTTGGTCGCATCTTCAGAGCTCCAGATAACTTTTTGAGCAATTGAGTTTTTACTTGAAGGTTTTTATTTCAATTGGGTTATCACATTTTTCATTTGGTAACCAATATTTTTTCACTCATCTATTCATCCCTTTATTAGGTTTTTCCCAACATGAGTAAGCATTTTGAGATTTAAAAAAGAAATGAAATAATGTTTTAGATGTATATAATGGTTCTAAATATAGGCTTGACTCGGAAAGTAAATTAGCTGGTAATTGTGTTTTGGAATAAGCTCTGTTGTACACATGCTGTAAATGCTTCATTGGGTATTTACGCGTGCTGTTTTCAAACAGTTGAGTTTTTTATTTAATGCATGCGTTTCTGTATGCAAGTTAATTGAAAGTAATTGGGTTTTGAATAGTTTTGGGGGATATTTCACGCAAATACACGGCCTTTCTGTAGCTCTGCCTCTTACAACCAGTATAGGTTGTAATTCTAACCTGGAATCCCTGAGTGGACTGTAGATTATGACTAATCCTCGATTGACCGAGCACTGGGAATGACATCTCCCAGCTGTCACCTTGTTTTGGAGTCCTTGTCCCAGTCAGGGTTGTTGTCCACAATATCCACTGCTGGCTTGACTAACTCGTGAAGATCCGGGTTAGAATAGGTCTTCAGCAAACGATGCTTGCTGTAAAAGCGACTATCGTTGCAGGAAGAGGCGACTAACAGGATTGGCTGGTCCGGCTTGCTGACTTGGTTGATGCAAGTCATTGTATCCCAATTGCATTGATCGATGCTCATGATGTCATTCACTCGATTGTTTGTTCCAGACTCGATTATTTACAGGCCACCATCATATAGCTGGAATATTGCTGAGTGCGGTGTTAAACAACAAACAAACAAACAATATTATGTTCTAGGCATGTGGCACCAACTCTGAAGTACTGATAAAGTACAACTGGAATAGAGTTAAAAATGATCATGAAGCTGTCAGTCTTTGCAAAAGTTGTTTGAAAAACAAACTTACATCATTTTTCCCTGTAACGTCATATAGCTGGAATATTGCTGAGTGCGGCGTTAAACAACAAACAAACAAACAAAACTGGCTTGACTGGTCCAGGCTTTTGATTGCCATCATGACAGTTACATCAGCACAATTACTCATGTTTCCTCAGGGGGCTGGCAGTCTTTGGGATGAAACTTCCTTTCATTGTACCGTAATAGTAATATCAGAAATATTTCAAACCCAAGCTTTACAGAAATACATTTTTACTTTTGTAGAGAGAAGCAAGATGGGATGAAAGTGTCTGCAACTGGAGCCAATGACCCCGAGAAGAGGCAGGACAGACTCCGAGGCTTCGGAGCATCATCAGTCCCCCCACCCCTTCCACCCCAGCAGGCTCCTATAGTCATCGCACCTCCAGTCTACAACATAGCTGACCCAGTACCTGTTCTATCAGCCTCACTTGCAGACTATGACAAACTCAGGTGAGAGTCAGACTACTGTCTCAGTTGACCTCGTGATGGTGGGGTAGTCCAGAGGTTAGACCATTGAGCCAAGGTCCATCGTTAAATTACCCATGTGGGTACAATGTGTGAAGCCAATTTATGGTGTCCCCTCCTTTGATATTACTGAAATATTTTAAAAAGCTGTCTAAAACTGACCAGTATGTTTATATTCAAGGTTTGTGTCTTGTCTCCATTTCTCAGGGATGAGAATGGATATTTTCCTTTTCAGCTGAAACTTCTTGGCAATGGAGCGTGGTCCATAATTTGGGGGTGTTATGGGTGTTATCAGATCTTAACAAATTTATGGTCACTAAAATTTGCTGAAATTCGCGGATCCGCAGAAGATTCTCATGCCTGATTTCCTGAGTTGCATCCTAGATAACTTTGTTGTTATCCCTTGATTCCCTGGTCGTACAGAACAACCAATGTTATATTTCCTTAACTGGTGAAAGTGAGGCATCAGCAATATGTCGGCCATTTAGCAACACCAAGATAAGATGGTAGCAAATACAAATAAGCACAAGGCAACGAAGTTGATGAGTATGAGACACAATAATAATAATAATAATGATAATAATAGTAATGCAGTCTGTGACTTTAGCCACATGTCCGTAGCCCGAGTCAGATTCTGTATTAACTGAACTATTCTAATAAAACTCCATTTGATAACACTTAAATGTATGCTAAGATCTAAGTTCTGGCTAGTAGACTCAAAACTTCTTGGCACAGACTGAAATGCTCAGAGGTTTCATCTAAATTGTTCAATGATATGTGTCGATATGCAGTCCGCGGTCGGAGCTGGTCTTGGGGCGGAAGAGTCTATTCAAGGGAGACCACCAGTGGGAGCAGATACAGCAGCTGGACAGGATCAACTTCGACTTGGACCGTAAACGGTACACAGCACCTGCAAGCAACAACTCAACGGGCATCCTAGAGAGGGGCTTCGATTCGTTGCTGGAGCCTCCCCGAGTCACCAGCATCAAGGCCCCTCCAGGACTGGAGTACCAGCCATCGTAAGTCCTGGCCTTCATAGGTGCTGGTTGTGGCGGTTGTAATGATTCATGTAGTGTTAGAATGAGCATCTTTCCATGATGTCACATCAAAATATTACATATGGTATAACAATAAATCGTGAAAATGCTGTTTTCGGACGGGATAAGCAGGAGTCTGAAGTCTTGTTTACCTGAAGCTTTACCCACTTTCTTTTTGCTTGGTCTATGTCATTGCTTTTGATGATCGAATATTTGTTTATTTTTCGTGTATTGTACCTTATATAAAACTTTCTTCCACAAGGGATATGGCTTGATCTCATTCAGACCTGGCTCATTGTGACTTCGTCGGTTACTTTGACTTCACAATTATATGATATCACAAATCTCTCTGCCACTGAAGCTGGTTTGCTCAAGACACTAGTTTAGTACTAGTTATTGTTGTTTACAAAGTAAAAAGTTGGAAGAATGATTTGGATGATAGATAGAATATATAGAGAATCTCAGACACGTTTCTTTAGATATTAACGCTGGGCATGCCTCTGATATTTAAACTTTTATCAACTCTTGTTTATGTATCGGATATCAAAAGAAACTTGGGTGAGTTGCTCTACCAGTATCATCTTCCCAAGGCAAGGGAGTTAACTGACTATAGAAGTCCAGTTTCCACCCTTGCCGAACTAGGCTGGAATTATGGAGTTACATTTTGCATAATGCATAGTCCAATCAAAATCATGCAACAAAATCGAAATTGGTTCGTAAACGGTCGTGCAGATTGTGGTCGATTGCAGGATTTCCGAAGCATGTGCACCGCCAACTCGTCAACAGATATTTTCCAAATCTTTTCATGTTTTTAGTCAAGGTGCTCACGCATTGCTCGATGTAAGACACGTTTTATCACAACATAGACCTTGATTATCGATCAGATCGTCTTGACTGGGCACCACTGTTTTGTTTGAAGCAAATGCAAGTGATACGAGAGGTGGAATCTGATTGGTCTAAAGGAGAGGCTAAGAAGGGACATAACTCGTAATAGCCCCTGGTGGCGCTACGATAGAGCTCAGGAATTCCAGTCTAGTTCGGCAAGGGTGGAAACTGGACTTTTAAAGTCAGTTAAGATGTCGGGAAGATGTACCAGTATATATTTTGACCTTATCAGCATTAGAAATAAGTCCTACGGTCCTTGCCAAACTGCCCAAGCCAAACTGCCCAATAGTAAAGGTATCCAAAGGACTAGTAGAAATATGCTATTTTTAAGGGTTTTGCTATATGTTATCATTTTAAGGACTATTGGGCTAAAACTGTTAGTTTCTATCACTGCTTATTGTAACATGTCCAAGTGTAATCAGCCCTGTGATGTCTGAACATAGTGCAGTGATTACAAAAACTAGTTTTATGGAAATATACAATAACCATGATAACTGGACCTTCTATGGTTCTATATATCCATAGTGTGTAGCATTTTTCTATTTGATGATTAGATTTCATGGTATGTTGCTATTTTGTTGTATTTCAGGACGTTTGTTACCGGTGGTGGGGGTGGCAGTTTTTCGTCGTTGGATGACACGTACCACTACCTGGCCACTAAGAACCCCCTGGATCCTGAGGTGGCTGGTGAGTGATCAGCGTTAACTGACTCGGAGAATACTGACAAAATAGATAGAAAAACTATGGCAGTGACACACATCCAACAGTGGCTTTAAATGTCAGTTGTTCCGGGGCCTTTCTCGACTGATGAAAAGGGAATATGACTTAAGTAATCAGGAATGTGTTAAATCAATATCTGACTTGCCCGACTCATGTGAGATTGCCAAACAAACAACAAAACCAGCTTTAGATGCCTTTGGGAAAGCTTCGTATTTAGAGATCTTTGGTCAATTTTGATAAAATATTTGTAACTAGTACTAAACATAACTTTAAAAATGTGTAAACATCGCCAGTATGACCAATCCAATTGACGTCAGTGTATTGTTTACTTCCTTGTTCTGATCACGATCACACTTCAGGACACGCTCTCTGATTGGTTGACTAGAACATCATTAGCTAATTGAGTAACATATTGTAAGAATCATTACAGGACGTACTGGCTTCCCCAAACCAGTTATTTTCATTTGATTATGGCCTAGAAATTGATGAATTTATTTTCTGGATGCGAAAAGTAATGGCGTTACGAAAACTGATTCATCAACGTGAAAAAACCAAAATCATCTGCAGCAAGAGAATGATTTGTGAAATAAAACACCATTTTTGGTCAGTAAACTGGACAAAAAGACTTTGTCTCTGTGATGATTGCAATTGTGGCACATCCTGGTGTGGCTGCAGTAGATCGTAAAGGGAGTATTTATTGGTGTTGTGATGATTGCAGGTGCAGCACATCCTGGTGTTGCTGCAGTAGATCGTAAAGGGAGTGTATATTGGTGTTGTGATGATTGCAGGTGCAGCACATCCAGGTGTGGCTGCAGTAGATCGTAAAGGGAGTGTATATTGGTGTTGTGATGATTGTAGGTGCAGCACATCCTGGTGTTGCTGCAGTAGATCGTAAAGGGAGTATATATTGGTGTTGTGATGATTGCAGGTGCGGCACATCCTGGTGTGGCTGCAGTAGCCATTCCTCAAGCAGGTGCTGCCACAGGGGGCCACACTGCCAGGGTGCGCTTTGATGACGGGTAAGGGTACCTTGTAGCTTTCAGAGATTAATATACAAACTATTTCAAAGATGTAAGAAAGAATATTTATTGGCTTTCGAGATGTTCTGAATCATTTCAAACCTATTGCTGCTAGCACTTTTAAAAAAAAATTGTATGAAAGGAATAGTGAACTAGGAATCAAACTTTCTGAATTTGTTTGTCTGAAAACAGAAAGAAAATGCTCTCTTGTGGAGAGCTGTAGATAGCTACCTGTTAACCCTGTTGTCATCTTTGATTGTCATGATGTCCACTTTCCCCAGACGAAGACAGGCGCCTGGAGGAGGAGCAACTTTTGCTGTTGAGGTCGATGACTCCAAGTCAACCGCTCGCGCCAAGGCACAGATGTATCAGCTTGAGTTGGCCAAACAGGTGAGAGGGTCAAAAAGGTCATTGTGAGGACGGCAGTGTTTCCACTTGGCAGTATCAGCTGACCATAGAGGACCAAGAATATCCCCCCCTTTTACATCCTTATCAGTTAGTTCATGTTTTCCAAAAATGTGGACTCCATGCTATTGAAACATGCCACATCTGGCACCACTGGAAATTGTTTGCCGATTACGTTGTGTTAGGTGTTGGAGGTGAGGTGAAATTGGGTTTAACGTCGCGTCCAAGATTATTGCACTTATATAGCGATGTGCATGCACGTGTATGTGTGTGTGTGGCTGCTTGTACTAGTCCGGACTGATGCCGATTTATAGTGCTAGCTCACTGAGATACCATGCCGCAGTTTAACATGAATACCCCACTCAGACACAGTTTACTGACTCCGAGCCGACCAGTCCTTGTTTTAGCCCCTTAATGCCGAGCGCCAGACAGGGTAACAACAAGTACAATCTTTTAACGTCTTTTTGTATGACGCGGCCCGGGATGGAACCGTTAGGTGTTGGAGAAGTGCTGAGGAAAGGCAGTAAAACTACCCCAATGGAAGCAAATATACCACAGTCTTTATCTGTCGAGAGAGATGTTTATTTTAAGAACATATATAACTTTGTTTTATTTCACTTACATAATAGATCAGTGGTCTTTCTTGTGATCCAGTTATGACATAACAGTCCAATGTCTGACTATATATACTACTCAAATGATGTTAAAGAACACCTGATTTTTTCATATTACTACAGTTAATCTGTCATGGCATATAGTTACTTACACGTAGCCGTGACATTTTGCAACAAGTCATGTATTCGATCAAGTGATGAAATATCGTGCTCAGATTCGCATAAGTAAACAGTTGACGGGGTGTGGATTATGTGATTTTCTTTAACTTCTTTTGAGTAGTATACATGTATCTGCATACTACATCAAGGATGAGAAATTTACAATATCACATATGTCAGATTTTAGACAAATGTAGAATGCAGAGTATTAATGCTGTTGCTACCCACTAATCTATGACCATCCATATTCTCAATGAGGTAATCATAGCAGTTTAATGTCCTGTATGTATGAGGATCACTTATTGTCTTTATAATACCAGATTGAAGAAGACAAGATGAAGAAAGCAAAGCAAAGGGCTCATCAGGAATGGTAAGAATGGCTAGTTTACACAAACGTTCATTGAGAAAATATGATGTACATAAACAGTCAATACGCATAGTCATATACATAGAAATTAGGTTTGGTTCGTCTAGTCAAATAACTGTCTACTTAGTTCACGAGTTGTGCTTGCATCATGTGACACATGGGATAGGATCAGTTTTTTGCCATTATTGACAAAAAATTGATTTTGCTGAAATTACTTTCAGTCTAGTAAGATATGAGCTAAGATATGTGCTCAGACTAAATTCCACAGAAAGACGACGCCTCAAACACTCCAGACAGAATACAGATAATGATGTGTTTGATTACAAGTTTAGAGGTAACAAATCAATGATAACAAACTTCATTACATTTTTAACTTCGTTTCATTTGTTCAAGTTTCTCCCTTCATCTATGAGTGATGAAATATTGAAACTATATTTTCGTTCCTCTGCCTGACTGTCTTAATGTGTCTAGGCAAGTCAGCCCAAACTGCTTTTATTATTGGGGTACAGATTTTGGGTAAAAAGACCTGGTTTGTTGGTAGCAAATATATAAAAAAAGAAATTAGAAGACATTTCAGATTATTATATCTTTCATGAAGTTGTTCTCATGTGGGCAATGATGGTTAAGCTTGTCGTGTCCTCTACCCCTGTGAACATCCGGGTTAGAATTCATAGGTTTTCAGCGGTTTCAGTTTGCATTGGGTGGTCAAACTCACTGACTTGGTCGATGCATGTCATCGTATTCTAATTGGGAAGATCGATGCTCATGATGTCAACCACTGGATTTCCTGGTTCAGACTCAGTTATTTACAGACCACCGTCATGTAGATGGAATATTAGTGTGCGTCATTAAACAAACACAATCTTGTCCTTTAAATTATTCAGATTTTATTTATTTTGTCTTTTCATTTTTGTGGGACAGTGGCTCCACAATGTAACCTTTGAAGTTTTGCCTATGGTGTCATAATTCCATCGTGCTCCTGTTTCTTGATGATGAATGAAAATGTTGGACCTTATAAAAGAATCATGTTTCACACTTGTACCTTGCTAGCTTGTAGTTTAAGTCGGCAAGTGGGTGCCTGGGTTGTTGCAGGTATGACATGAAGCTGGAGGAGGAGGCCAAGAGCTACAACCCGTACGGCAAGGGGGGTGGGGGTGCACCCATGAAGGATGACCGCGGAAATATCATTGGTGAGTTACACCACAAGGTGTTATGTAGATTGGATGCTAACTTTGTCTACAGCAATACATTCAGGGGTTAAATTAATCAGTTTATGACTTGCAAGATACAATATACTCAAAGCAGAACAAGTTAGTTGATCAAGCTATGTTTTATGCATCGTTACGGGAAGTGGGTTTTGGCTTGACCTTCAAACTCAGTTACTAATTTCTATTTATGATTTTCTTTACAAGAGAAGGTATTGATTGGTATTGTGACTCAGCTCTGCATAGAAAATAACCACAGTGCTGTGGAACAAGGTAAATCCTTGTAAGAATACTCATTGTGATCAACTCATTGTCCCAACTCTTACAACTACATACATCCTTTACCTGCAGCTGACCTGCGCTCACTGAGGAGACCGGGCGGTCCCCCAACTGCAGCAGGAGTGTATGCTGGGACCTCCCCTCGACCCCCCTCCCCCCGGGATGACCTGATCCGCACCCCACCCCTCCAGACCACAGCAGCTGGGGAACCCTCACATGCCCGAGGGGGGCATGGAATATTTGGACAGCCCAAGGTATGCAATAGAATATACTACTCAAAAGAAGTTAAAGAACACACGATTCTTTCATATTACTATAGTTAATCTGGTGTGGCATGACATTTTAACTATAGTAATATGAAAGAATGTTGATTAACTTTAGTAATATGAAAGAATCGTGCGTTCTTTCACTTCATTTGAGTAGCATATTATGACAGCCAATGTACTTCGTTTACTTACGTATGATTAGGCAGCTGATACATTGGAATATTTTGGCTGATTGAATCTGGAATTAATAATTCTGTATGCGTGTTACAGTTTCAGAGATTTAAATACTTGATGAGAAGTTTGATGGTGAAAGTTTGATCTCTTTTGTTTCATTGTTGTAATGGAAACTGTAATTGATTTGACACAGAATATCCAAATCCATAACTATGACAGTGATCTATGCTCTGTGTTGCAGACTGATGCTGAGAAACACCAGACCGATGTGTACAAAGATGATTTGAGGAGACAGGTAATGCATTTGTTTTCACACCTGTGTAGAATGTATAGAAAAATGGATAACATTATTTAAGTTTACTGCGAGGTGTGAATTTTTGAGGGATGTCCTGAGTTGCATCCCTTGGATCCACTGGTGACAAGCTCCTTCCCAGCGTGTGACACCTTTGTTACACTCTCGCTAACATCGCTGCGAACAGTGTGGGCCCAGCCATTACAAGAATCTTCAAATTTGCCCTCTAACCCTAAATGTAGTAACATTTGTACTTTTGTTTGTCTTTGGGACATAGTTCATTTTGAAAAGGTTTATGACTGACCATGTTTTCCAGATGAATATATTTTTTCTTTTGTATAATCAGATTGGTTCAAGATTGCAGACTAACAGAAAATCATTTAACTTCCCCATTACTATACCAATTACATGATAGTTGGAATGATATAGAAATTCATGTCTACAAAGAAAATAATTAAGCTGGGGTAAGAGTATTCGGCGTCACCTCAGTCATCACTTGTTTGTAAACATATCGGGCAGTCGGTTGCGAGTTCAACTCCAAGCATGGTTGTGGTCACCTATCACAGTGGGGGGTTTTGACTGGTGGCAGCGATAGTATAGAGATATCGTTGTTAAGAGCTTGCACTAGTGAGTTTGAATATGTAACAATTATGCAATGCTGTGTGTGCTCGTGGGAAATCGTGCATCAATTTGGGATTTCATTTCACATTAAACTTTATTTTCATGTCATGATATCACCGAAAACTTGTTGCGAGCGACTCTTACACTTGCTCAGCTATTATATGATCATGCTGCAGTTGGGTGAGAGCCCGAAAGAAGAGTTGTCTGATCTGGCCATGTATCATGAGCCATGTGAAGTCGTGTTTGTGGTAGATTCATTGATGATACAGATTAGAAGTACCTATGCTATGAAGCTATGGTTGTAAGTTCCTGCATGCTTTTGTGTGATGAATGTTGCTTGTATCTGATGAGCATTGCTTGTGGGTGATGAGCATTGCTTGTGTGTGATGAGCATTGCTTGTGTGTGATGAGCATTGCTTGTGTGTGATGAGCATTGCTTGTGGGTGATGAGCATTGCTTGTGTGTGATGAGCATTGCTTGTGTGTGATGAGCATTGCTTGTGTGTGATGAGCGTTGCTTGTGTGTGATGAGCAATGCTTGTGTGTGATGAGCAATGCTTGTGTGTGATGAGCATTGCTTGTGAGTGATGAGCATTGCTTGTGTGTGATGAGCATTGCTGTCTAATAAGTGTTGCTTGTGTCTGATGGCTGATTGTTTTGTCTCATGTGCGTCGCTTGTGTGAATCTAGATTGAGGCCAAGAAGGCAGCTGCTGCTCTGGAGCGAGAGAAGGAAAGGTATGAAGAAGAGAAGGAGCAACGTAGGATAGACGCCGAGCGGAAGAGGATGCAGGAGGAGTACGAGGAGGAACGCAAGAAGATAAAGCTGAAGGAGGACGAGGTAACCAAGCACTTGGGTCAGAATGTATGGCTGCAGTAGAGATGGAATAGTAAATTTGTATCTTGTATCACAAGTTGGCCCTGATACCAGTGTCCAGCCTACGTCCAGTCAGATGTTTTTAAAATTGTGAGGTGGACTTTTGACTTGAAGATGACCTGCGGTAATAGGTGACAAAGGTGACAGTCAGAAGCTGTATCCTATTAATAGTGGCCATTTATTACTGATGTATCAATGTATTTTTGGGAGAATTCCACCTTTAAAACTGAAACTGACTCCCTGACAAATGATTCCTTTGAAACATCAAGACAGAGTCTCCCCCAACCTTGCTTTATGTTTTACTCTAGTAGAGATTGAAGTCACTCTCCTTCTCACACAAGACCCGTGAAGATACCGGGGTAGAATAGGTCATCAGCAACCCATGCTTGTCATAAAAGGCGACTAACGGGATCTGGTGGTCAGGCTCGCTGACTTGGTTGATGCATGTCATCGATCCCAATTGCGTGGATCGATGCTTGTGATGTCAATCACTGGATTGTCTGGTCCAGACTCGATTATTTACAGACCGCCGTCACATAGCTGGAATATTGCTGAGTGCAGCGTTAAACAACAAACAAACCAAACCAAACCTTCTCACACAAGGCATGGTAGTAGACTCAAAAACTGCTGTGAGGCATATATCACTCATTGTTTTAATTATGCAATCATACTAGGTTGGATGGTTGTATCCGTATTGTTACAGACACATGTTAGTGGATCAGTATGGTTGTGTCATACAGAATTTATCAGACAGAATGTTCCATATTCAGGAATGGATAGTTTTTTGTTTTGTTAAGTTGTTTGTGTAGAGATAGCATTCATTTTTTAAACCCATTCTGACATGAGAGTGCTGTGTTGCCAGGCTCGGAGGAAGAATGAAGAGTTGATGAGACAAGCGGAGGAGAGGAAAAGAGAAGCAGATCAGCGGAGAAATGATGCTGACGATGAGAGGAGGCGACAACAGGAGGAAGCAGACAGAGAGAGGCTGGAGAGGGAGGTAGGGAGAGCACAGATTCATCACTGCTAGGAAGGTATTGGTCAGACAGAGAGAGGCTGGAGAGGGAGGTAGGGAGAGCACAGATTCATCACTGCTAGGAAGGTATTGGTCAGATCGAGAGAGGCTGGAGAGGGAGGTAGAGAGAACACAGATTCATCACTGCTAGGAAGGTATTGGTCAGACAGAGAGAGGATGGAGAGGGAGGTAGGGAGAACACAGATTCATCACTGCTAGGAAGGTATTGGGCAGATAGAGAGAGGCTGGGGAGGGTAGGGAGAATACAGATTCATCACTGCTAGGAAGGTATTGGGCAGATCGAGAGAGGTAGGTTAGGAAAACACAGGTTCATCACTGCTGGGAGGGTATTGGGCAGATAAAGAGAGGCTGGAGAGGGTAGGGAGAATACAGATTCATTACTGCTAGGAAGGTATTGGGCAGAGAGTAGATGGAGAGGGAGGTTGGGAGATAAATGAAGACTGGGCACACAATTGTATAAAATATATCCCCGAAAATATTAATGAACTTTTTTCTTCAGCATATATATAGTACAGAATAGTTATGTCAATGCCCTTTTTTGATTAAGAAGACATTATATTCAAAATCCTACTACATTTTAAAACAAAATATGGTAATGATTGTTATCATTGTTTGCAAGAATCTTAAAGGTGCCAAACTTGGTGCCTTTGTACAAAGTGATCTTAGCGCTAAGGCGATCGTAACTCCAATACCTTGATAAAGACTTACGACAGTCGTAGTGCTTAGGTTGTTGGCACCCTGTTCAGTGTAAAACAATTCCTGTGATGACAAACAGATGAACAATTCAGTTGATAATTTTGTGAAAGAGATTCAAGCTGTTTGGCAGTAAGGGCAAACACAATGGATAATAGATGGCATGTTCTGTTGAGATGAGTTGAATGTATTGTCACATATGTTGGAAATATGTTATGGAAATCTTTCCACCCAGGGGGGCTTCTCAAGCAGTTGGTTGTCCATCTTCCCGAGGCAAGAGAGTTAAATGACTATAAAAGTCCAGTTTCCACCCTTGCCGAACTAGGCTGGTATCATGGAGTTACATTTTGGCTGGACTAACGAGTCTATGCATAGTCCAATCCAAACCGCGCACCGAAATCGAAATCCGGTTCGTAAACTGTCGTGCAGATTTTGGTCGATTGCAGGATTTGCAAAGCATGTGCACCGCCAACTCGTCAGCAGATATTTTCCAAATCTTTTCATGTTTTTAATCAAGGTGCTCACGTGACTTGATGCATTTCGCGATGTAAGACCCGTTTTATCACAATATAGATTTGATTATCGATCAGATCGTCCTGAGTCGGCGCCACCATTTTGTGTGAAGCAAACGCAAGTGATGAGAGAGGTGGAAGCTGATTGGTCCATAGGAGAGGCTTAAAAGGGACTTAACTGGTAATAGCCACTGGTGGTGCTACGATCGTGCCCAGTAATTCCAGCCTAGTTCGGCAAGGGTGGAAACTGGATTTTTTAAGTCAGTTAACTCTCTTGCCTCGGGAAAATGTTGGTTGTCTTAACATGTGACCCATGCATTGGTCTGTGTATTGGAGACTGCCAGCTGGAATATTGTTCACTGTTGCATAAAACCCCATTCACTTTCTATTTGACCCATAAAGATCCTGGGTAGAATAGGCCTTCAGCAACCCATGCTTGCCGTAAAAGGTGACTTTCTTATTGTTACGTTGATGATGATTATGAGGATGATAATGTGTATCAAGACATTTGAGTTGTATGTTATAGATGTAATAGTAACAGGGTCAGTCTTTGTGCAGTGTAGTGACCAGCCCCTGACCATAGAACCAGCGTCTAATGTCTGTTCAGCAAACTCATTACCTCATCCTCAACAGTTTCTTCTCCTTTACCTGTAATATCCTCTGTAACAATTGTAATGTTATCAGGTATATGTTTTTAGGTAACTGTAATGAATAATAATCTTTGTGACATTCTATCTATTGTCTTGTATACAAATTAATGTCTATTTCAAGAGTAGTTTCTTTCATTGTATGTGCTGTCCATGTTGTAGTCCCTAACAGTATAACACTGAAACATTAGGCTTAAAAAGATAAAAGAATTGGTTCTCAGGCAATGGCTTTTGAAAATATAGTGCGGGCGGGTGAGGTTGTTTTTTGTTTTTTGTTTGTTTTTTTGGGTGTGTTCGAACTAGTATGTAGCCAAATAAGCAGTTGTGTACAGTCAACCAGGTGAAGCCTCCCTACATGAATGTATTCCTTGATGAGTAAAATACTGCAATACAGTACTTGACTACCATATGACTACCAGTGTGTGCAATCGATTCCAATTGTGTGGATCGATGCTCATGATGTCAATCACTGGATTGTCTGGTTATTTCACAGACCGCTGTCATATAGCTGGAATATTGCTGAGTGCGTCATTAAACAACAAACAAACAAACAAACAAGCAAACCAGTGTGTGCATAATTCACACATACAATGTTCTTTGATTTTATTTCACAACGCGAAGACATTATCGTGAGCACACAACACAGGAAGAAGCATGTCAACAAGTACGCATGTTAGTCCTGTTATTACTATCTGCCTGTTAATGTGTTCCTTGTGTGTCTGGACTTACGTTTTTAATCCATTGTATTACTTTTATCCAAGATTTCAATTTTGTGGGCTGTGCCTGACAACCAAGGCTATTATATTTTTTAGCCTTAACTTCTAGAATAATATTATGAGAGAGAAAATATCACTTCTTCATCAATTATTATAAATATTTGGAATCATGGTGCGTTACATAAATTATTTTCAGCTCGCTCAAATCTCTGCCTTATCTTGTATATATCCAGTTTGCTAGTTTGTACCCTTAACAGATGGCCAAAAGCTTTTTTGTCATTTTCTAATTATTTATTTTTTTCTGAGGAAAGCAAATCATATTTGTGACATGCATGTGAGATGTTGCAGTAAGCATGCACTGTCAGGTTGTTAACACCCTCCCACATTTATCAGCTGTCAGCATCAGGGGCTTCATTTTATTGGTTTAGGAGACAGTTTATATTCATGTATTTTGACCACACTTTAATTTCCAGGCCGCAGAGCGAGGAAAATCTCCCCCATTGCCAGCAGTGGGGAGAAAGCAGGCAACTGAGCACACACCGGTAATGCATTCACCCAGTCTGGGGTAACAATCAATATTGTGGCTTAAGTGCTGGCACGGATACGCTGAACATATCATTGCATCTAGCCTGATTATTGCAAACAACACGACTATTATCGTGAACATTTCATCTCTCAAAACCTTTCTAATACCTAGTCCTCTATCTTTCTGTATTTACTGCATTTTTATAGCAACATTGCTTAGAAGTATATTTATATTATATCTGTAGCACTAAGATTTTATGTTTATGTAGCTTTCTATATATATATTTTCTGTGTACCCGTTATTTTATCTTTACCTACATAATGCACCCTTTCCAGGAACCTGCTGATAAAGCGCTTACCTATCGAGCCTCCTCCCCCCCTGTGCCAGCTGCTAGAACCAGTCTTGCTGCTGAGAATCGGCCTCACTCTGTTGCTAGGCAACAAAATGAAGAGGCTGAAACCCGCTATGTGCCCTCCGCGCTTTCCAATAGAATAGATGAGCCTTTGGTAATCTTGGCTTCCATTATCAGGGGAGATAATTCTTTTCACGAATTTCTCCTCTGGTCCTTAACTGCTGTGTACATGAATTTGCAAAAAAGAACTATCATCTATTTGTATCAAATATTTGGACAAATTTGTATTTGAATGAAGTACTTTGAGTGCCTTTATGAACAGTAATAATCTTTACACAGATAATTCAGCTGTGGAGTTTTTGAAAATTATTTGTTTCATGAATTGCAATGTAAAAGTATGACTTCAATTTGTTTTAATCAGATGATAATTCTGTGCTTCATATTTTTGGAATCTGCAGCAATTTGCTTGCCCATAATATGCATGTATGATTAGTGACCTGTAAACATTCGGTAGCTTAGACATAACTCCTACATGACTGTCTCTGACTAGCTTGCCCATGCGTACCGCTCATTGTTTGCTAACATAGTAAGACTGATCTTTAATTATATACTTAGTTATTAGTAAAGCATTACTTTTAAATTTTGTTATAGCTTGATCGAGGTCGTTCCCCAGTTGACAGAGCTCCAGTAAGTTGTGCATGAAATGTCAGTGTGTTTATTTGTCATAACGGTTTTAAATGGACAGACAGATATTGTTTATTTACTTTTTATGTTTTATATATTTTTTTTGTATGTATCAGGTTTGCTTTTTAATGCGCAAGAAAGACAGTGGGCATACAGTTGACATTGGGACAACATAGTGATTGTTATGAGTTTGTTTATACAAATATTTGTTAGATTTGTGTAGTAAATTCAGTAAAATGCAAGCGTCACTATGACTTTTCTATTCTCTTTTGGAAGGTATGGTTAATGAGTATGCGTTTACATCTGGTTCAAAATCATATTTATGTATCTTATCTGATGAAAATATTTTGGAGAGAGAGTTTGGGCAGAATTAAGAACGTAAAAACATTTGTGTCTGCTGAAAGCTCAGCACTTCCTGTCTGAATTTCACACACGCACGTTGGTTTTAGCTGTATAAAGTAATCAGAGAAGACAGTTTTGGGTGATGATGAGAACTACCAGTGATGACCTTTTGAGGCTGTGAAGATATTTGTAATATCCTCACCTGTGACAAGTGAATAGAACTTGATAAGTAGGAGGAGTCCGCCCCATGTAACTTGTGGAACTAATGTTGATTTGTTGTTTGTTTCAGTCCTCGTCTAGAGCTCCAAGTAAGTATTAACTGTGAAGGGGTTTGTTTGAGAGAATGGGATGCCAGCATCAGTGTTACATATAGGAGTCCCCCTGTGAGGATCCTACCTGTGAAGATCTGGGGTAGAATTTGTCTTCATCAACCCATGCTTGCCGTAAAAGGCATCTATGCTTGTCGTAAGAGGCGACTAACGGTATCGGGTGGTCAGGCTCGCTGACTTGGTTGATGCTTGTCATTGTGTCCCAATTGCGTAGATTGGTGCTCATGATGTCAATCACTGGATAATTTACAGACTGCCGTAATATAGCTGGAACATTCATTAGTGCATTGTTAAACAACAAACTGCAGTCACAATGTAAACATGCAAGATCTAAGGCACATTTACAACATTTCTACACAAGTCAGTTTTCTCTATCTGAGGACAATGTCTTCATGTAAATAGAATGAAGTAAACGAATAGATGGGATCAGGTGGTTTGCTAGACCTTGATTGTGACTGGCTTCTCTCCAGGTGCTGACATCCTCAATGCTCTGGCCAGGATGAAGCATCAGCTGGCCTCCGAGAGAGACCGAGTGGAGACCATGCTGGACAAGAGTGAAGTATGTACACGTCTCTCCTGCTCAAGTAGTAACATTTCACGCAAGGCACTATGTCCCTCCAAGAACTCTTAGGTCAAATCAACAATTACAGCTGCAAGTATCAAGTTCAAAACTTTGGGCTCCAGATCTTACAGTGTTGCTGTCGCTTGTTTGTGGAATTCTCTCACTCTCACGCTGATTACAAAAACAACTCTCCAGTCTATCAGATCAGGACATAAAACTTATCTCTTTTCCAATGCTAATCCCAGGGACATTCTTTCATTCTTGTATATATATATATATGTTGCTGCTGCTCCTCCTCCTCTTCCTCCTCCTCCTCCTCCTCCCCCCCCCTCCTCCCTTCTTCTTAACATAGCTCAAACTAGAGGGATTAGGGAATATCACTTTTATATCCAGCATTACTTTATCTTGACATTGGGGCAGTCTGGTTGCCTACTTGTTGTTGGATTTGTAGTCATGCCAAAAACTGGATATGATTTTCTACTTTGCTACAGTGTATGAAGCCTATCATTGATGTCTTGGACTTGAAATTGTGGAAATAATAACAGTAGTAAAGGTCCCAGGTCACTCAATTATTCTTGCCATATAACATGAATTCTATTTCTTACAGTTGCTATAGCACATTCCTTGTGAACCTATTCTTATGAGGTGTAGCGTTTGCTTGTCACGCCGAAGACCCGGGTTCAATTCCTGACATGGGTACAATGTGTGAAGCCTATTTCAGGTGTCCCCCGCCGTGATATTGCTGGAATATTGCTAAAAGCGGCGTAAAACCATACTCACTCACTCTTATGAGGTGTAATGTCAACGCTGTGTAGACTCACCATCCTCACATAATAATCTGTCATTGGACAAGGAATCTTTGTCTGTGCTTCAGCAGAATATTAATTGCTATTGTTGTATCAGACTGACCTACAGTTTGATTTTACAATGATAGCAGCTGTATCTCTAGGTGTGTTTGTCCAGCATGATGCATCGGTTCAGTTTTATGACTGTTACTTTCTGTTGTTGTGAGTGTAGATATTCATGTCTGTTTCAGAATGAGCCTGAGGTGTTTGATCCAAGGTTAGCACAGAGGCCCCCTCCAGTTCCGTAAGTGGACATCTTGCCTCCATCACCACAACTCGGGGATCATAGCTTTAAGATTATCTGATGGGTCTTGCTTTGATCCGTACATACAATAGAATCTATCGAACCAGAGTTGCTTGCGATTAGTAAGATTACAAGAGTTATGTCCCTTGCAGACACAATACCCAATTGGTCTTCAGCAACCCCTGCTTGTTGTAATCTTGCTGACTTTGGTTGATGCATATCATTGTATCCCTATTATATAGATCCACACTCATTATGCTAAAAACTGGGTTGTCCGGACTTGATTATTGACAGACTGCTATCATTTAGCTAGATTATTGCTGGGTTCAGCGTTAACAACAACAAACAAACAAACAAAGAAACGTGTGTTTTATTCTACATGTGTGTTTTATGCTACAGGCGGGTTCAACGTGACATAGACGTGTTTGAGATGGCACGGAACCGAAACACTGTTCCAGTGAGACGAGCGCCAACAGCAGACAACAACCCACACCCAGAGCACCTGCGCGAGTTCCACGATCTCAAACAAGGTACAGTGCCTCACCAGCACCAGGCATTACACCTTGCTAGACGGCTTGGAACCACAAATTGAAATGTTTTATAAAGCTGTTTGAGTACATCTTAACATTTGACTGAGTGCTTATTTAGAAATGTTTTTTGCTGATTAAACATTTCAATCTGATCCATCCAAGGAATCAGGTTGTTTCTTGATTAGATGTGTTTGTAGGGTTTAAATTTCGTCAATATGGAGTAGAGGTTGTATTTGTGTAGAGGTATGTTGGAAAAACATTGAAGTTAAATTGCCAAGAATACATTCAACCCGCTCTAATTCATGCTGAACAGACACACAAACTACTTTTCGAATTCTCCTGGTGAATGTTTCTTAATAGTTTTTGTGTAGTTAGTATTAGTTCTTCTTTGTGAGTGTTACTATTAAACCTACTTGCACACTTAGGGATATATCTTCTTCCAGATGGAGCTGTACGTTGGTCAGGGGAGGCAACTCTTTATTACCTCCCCTTGACTACACTTAACTCTGTTTAGCCGTGGTAGTTGATTGTACACGATATTGTGTGAAATGTTGTACATTCTGCATCAGTGTTTGCAAACCTTTCTGTGATGTATTTGCACCACTTTCTCAGCTGACACAGATTCTAGACAAGAATTCAAGCGACAATATCCATATGACCCGATGTCCAACGACCATCTGGAGCAGCAGCAGGCTGCCCTCATCCGACAGCAGGAACAGAATCTCCGGGAATTGAGGGGCAAAAGTGAGAACCCGTAACTTGTTATGTGCATGCCCAGCTGGTCTGAAGTGTAACTCGATCAACTCAGAAATATGTCTGTTTCCTGCATTGAACATTACAGGAGGCAGGGTTAGGAATTAATATTTATTTTCACTGGAACACAAAAATGATCTTTCACGGAATTGCCATCTGCCTAATCGTAAAAGTAGTACTCCATATGAAAATGTCACTGGTCCTTTCTGAATTTCACTTGAGTTGATCTTCGATCATCAGACTGTGAATCTTGAATCATGGTAGGCCTGTAGCTATATGGTTGACATGCTGTTCAATTCAGTTATGTCCAGTATGTCATATTTCAGTGTGATTTAAACATTGGTTTGTAAAAAAGTTATGTTATGTGATGTAAAAAGAAAATGTCCTGTTCTGTGTTGCTTCTTATCAATCTGCTACTTCTTTGAAAAAAGTGGGAAACTGGAAGAAAGTTCTGCTTAGATGCTCTTTATGGCATATTGTGTTAATAAAGTCTTTTGAACAAATTATGAAGAAAAGTAATTACCACATTATTACCTCTCCATTCATTCACTCTCAAAAATACATGTACCATGAAATGTCTTTCAAAAGTCTACAGAATTGTTTGCAGTTGCTAAATGATGCAAATCTGCATCTGCGCATTTTGGAAAAAACGTACAGCTTCTTGTACTGCCAGTTTTTTGCTTGAAGTCTTTGCACCTGTTTCTTCTGTGTAGTTGTGTCTCTTTAGATGCAAGACTCTGCCTTGGATTTCAGAACATACTTATTATCTGCATAATATCATCTGCAGATTACTTGTATCTGACCAGTACAGATTCGATAGGTATCAGATAACAGATTCATGTAGGAAATAAGTTTGTTTTTGTTTTTTCTCACTTGTTAGTAAGAAGCAGTTTAAGCATGGCCGACATGGACATAGAAGGTTTGTTGTATGGGTGTAATAGAGAGTCAGACAAAAAAGTCAACTAACTTTCCTTTTGAGTCAGAAAATAGTCTGCTGCCTTTCCTTTTGAGAGTCAGAAAATAGTCAGCTACCTTTCTTTTTGAGTTAAAAATTAGTCTGCTACCTTTCTTTTTGAGTCAGAAAATAGTCCGCTACCTTTCCCTTTTGAGTCAGAAATTAGTCTGCTACCTTTCTTTTTGAGTCAGAAAATATTCTGCTACCTTTCCTTTTGAGTCAGAAATTAGTCTGCTACCTTTCCTTTTGAGTCAGAAAATAGTCCGCTACCTTTCCTTTTGAGTCAGAAATTAGTCTGCTATCTTTCTTTTTGAGTCAGAAAATATTCTGCTACCTTTCCTTTTGAGTCAGAAATTAGTCTGCTACCTTTCCTTTTGAGTCAGAAATTAGTCTGCTACCTTTCCTTTTGAGTCAGAAATTAGTCTGCTACCTTTCTTTTTGAGTCAGAAAATATTCTGCTACCTTTCCTTTTGAGTCAGAAATTAGTCTGCTACCTTTCTTTTTGAGAGTCAGAAAATAGTCAGCTACCTTTCCTTTTGAGTCAGAAATTAGTCTGCTACCTTTCTTTTTGAGTTAAAAATTAGTCTGCTACCTTTCTTTTTGAGAGTCAGAAAATAGTCAGCTACCTTTCCTTTTGAGGGCCAGAAAATAGTCAGTTACCCTTCTTTTTGAGGGCCAGAAAATAGTCAGCTAGTATTACCTTTGAGGTTTTTTTTGTATAGGCCTAGAATCCGAGTCTACCTCTGTTGAATGATTCCTACAAGTGAAACCATACATGTCTTCAGATGTGAAACACACAGTTTATCCAATGATCTTTGTTAGGGGCTTTTCTGTCATTTGTAAGTGATGTGGGAGGGAGATATGAAGAAGGCAACCTGGTCCAATTCCATGTGATCAGCCATTGTTTCAGTTATCTAAGTAAAAACACACCATTGATTTCACAGACGATAACACAGTTTTGTGATATTAACAATTCCTATATTGTAGTGTCATGCCGTATTCTGTCATCAATATTACAGTGAGACTTTCAGAAAAACAATGCAACACTGATAGATATTTGCTTCCTTTGATTTGTGATACCTTGGGTGCAAATGCTTCTAAGTTTGCAGTTAAAATGAGCTTTGTAGGTTTCATAGGATTAAAGCATCAGAAATCATGGAAAATATTTCACAACAAAACTACTTGCAGGTATGCTCTTTCTGGGATTTTGTTTTAATGTTTGTATGGAGAGGGGGGATACATTTCTGCTACTAACCGGCTTTGTGAGTTATATAGTTTTTATTCTGGAAGAATGTGGAGTTAGTCCTTCAGCAGATGTCTAACTGTTTACCTAATGGCTTCTAGGCTTCTAGCTCTGAGACATCTGTACCAATTGTGCTGCAGACAGTAAAGTATTTATATCGAATAATTTGGATATCAAGACCAATACTTGGTTTCACATTACACAAGTAGAGACTCTTAAGATATGAATTATTCATAGATTACATATCACCTCATGCACTGGTTTACCTTGGATATTAATAATTCATCAATATGGATTTCATTTAAGTGTATGATAATATGGAAATTGAATTCAGAATTTAAGAAGTCTGTTTAAATCTAAATGTTTTTAATGTTTCAGTACTTACATGGTTAAAAATTTTTTTTTGAATAGATTAAATCATGTTAAATGTAGTTTTGGTAGATACTGATTTGTATGCACAGTATAGCGAAATAGAGCTTGCCCATCTTTAGAGGTTATGATTGCATTTTACTGACGAGAGCTCAATGTATGTGTTTTAGTGAGTTTTAACTATGGCATTCTTTCTTTGAAGATACTTGAAACTAATTGAAACATAAATATGAATCAGACAAATATTAATGTCTTTAAAATGTCACGTCTTGCTTTAAATGTAATGTTTGTGTTGTAACTGAACCTGTCTGTCTCGAAACTTTGTGTATGTAGATTGTGTCAAACTTCTGACACTTCTGTAGACAAATTATTGCTGCATCTATCTGGCAGCCTCTGTATGTTAAGCAATCCATCCTAGCTGTCTTTACACACTCTCATCTTTATCACAGGCAAGTTTGAGAAGGCTCTGCCCAACATGGAGCCTAAAGACTTAGGCTTGAATCGTCATCGCACAATCAGTCCACAGCCAATGCTACAATCCAACAGTGCCTTTATAGGTTAGTTACACAGCTGTCACGCATGTCCAGGTCTCGTCACCACCACCACTGTCGTCAATAGCACTACATGTCAGCTGATGCAATCCTTGGATGTACATGTGAGCCAGAATCCTGCCATCATGACCTGTTAACACTTGAATCAGCAATGACCATTATAGGGTGTCCCTTCCTTTACTCTTTGGAAAATATGGAAACTTGCTTTGAAATTTTGTTATTGAACATTATAAAACCAAAGCTGAAATATTATCAGGAAGGGGCATGAGAGTATTGATCTTGAAGTCTTATTCAGTATGTAAAACCACAATATAGTCTGTCTGCCAATAGTTTTGAATGGTTTCAGTTTATTGAATTCAGTGAAACTTCATAAATTTGGACTCTACTGTTCCTGCTAGAAATGTTTGGATTCACCAACATCTGGATAAGAGAATCTGATACAAAGTAATGTCCAGGTATATATTTGTTCATGGTTATGGGTAATCGTCTGGAAAGCAGATGTCAAGACTGTAAAAGACTTTCAGGAGCATATTTGTCAGTAGTACATGACACCTTTACACAGACCTATTGCTGTATTTCCCCTCAACAGGTAACACATAGAACATGTCTGACAAATCTTAACTCTGCTCTTACTCTGAATGAAGAACAACAGATTGTCCATATTCCATAGTCCCTGTATTATCGGGACTTGATATGTTAGAGTAAATGTGAGGATGTGTTACTGCCTCAAGTCAGTAGGACATTCCTCAAGGCCAAGTATTTTCAATAATGATGTGTTACATTAATGCAAGGATATGGTACTGCCTCCACTCAGTAAAACATTCTTCAAGGCCAAGTATTTTCAATAATGATGTGTTACATTAATGCAAGGATATGGCACTGCCTCCACTCAGTAAAACATTCTTCAAGGCCAAGTATTTTCAAAACATGACATGTTACATTAATGCAAGGATATGGTACTGCCTCCATTCAGTAAAACATTCTTCAAGGCCAAGTATTTTTAATAATGATGTGTTACATTAATGCAAGGATATGGTACTGCCTCCACTCAGTAAAACATTCTTCAAGGCCAAGTATTTTCAATAATGATGTGTTACATTAATGCAAGGATATGGTACTGCCTCCACTCAGTAAAACATTCTTCAAGGCCAAGTATTTTCAAAACATGACGTGTTACATTAATGCAAGCATATGGTACTGCCTCCATTCAGTAAAACATTCTTCAAGGCCAAGTATTTTCAAAACATGACATGTTACATTAATGCAAGGATATGGTACTGCCTCAGGTCAGTAAAACATTCTTCAAGGCCAAGTATTTTCAAAACATGACATGTTACATTAATGCAAGGATATGGTACTGCCTCAGGTCAGTAAAACATTCTTCAAGGCCAAGTACTTTCAAGACATTACATGTTATTGTAAATATTGGGATGAGTTACCACTGATAGTTTAGACTTAATGCCCCCAAAACAGCTTACAATTATTTCCTTCAATGCCTAAACAGCCCACATGCTGGAATTCCAAGGATTGCATCGTTGTCATGTAAGTGGCACCACAGGTTCAGCATGACATGTTCCATGAAAGTTGTCATTGCATGGGTATGCACACTGAACTGTTTAACGAACTGCATGACCATTTATTTCAGCATCCAGTGCCAACTAACCAGTGTTTTGTTTCACCAAGTGCAGGTTCACTACACAGTGTTGTATATCAGTTGTGGTTAGTCACTGACATGTTCCTGACTATATGTCCGGGAAGTGTTTCGGCACGGCAGGAGTGTCGGCTTGTCATACGAATCACCTAGTGTTGAAGAATTATGCATGGTTCACATTACTGTTCAGCATCTTTGATTGGCATTTACAAGTTTGAAGAACATGGATAACAACTTTATTGGTTTTTACAGTGTTTCAGGGTTACTTCTTGCACTTTCGACCCACAAAGATCCGGGTAGAATAGGTCTTCAGCAACCCATGCTTGCCCTAAAAAGCGACTATGCTTGTTATAAGAGGCGACTCTTGTGATTGGGTGGTCAGACTCGCTGACTTGGTTGATGCATGTCATTGTATCCCAATTGTATAGATCGATGCTCATGATGTCAATCACTGGATTGTCTGGTCCGATTATTCAAAGACTGCCTTCATATAGCTGGAATATTGCTGAGTCCGGCTTTAAACAACAAACAAAACAAAAAGAAACATCTTGCACTTTCACGGGTAGAATCTGTAACAATGTGTCAGGGCTACCTCATGCATTTCATCAAGTGAATCTGTAACATATCAGAGCGACTTCTTGCACTTTTACCCAGTGAAGGGGCATGAAGTGGCCCTGAGATGTCGTTACAAACAATAAAGAAGTTGTCATCCATAAAAGTTTCCCCTCTTCATGTTCAGCATGTTCAGCATAAAGTGTCATGTTAATGTCACTAACAGCAGGAACAAGCAACTGTTCGGGACAGCTGGTTATTTACTGGTGTAAGGTATTGGTTAATCTGTTCAGTGTTTGTAGAGTTGGAAATCAGGTTTTGGAGAGGGATGTTTGTCATTTACTAATACTGTTAAGTAGTTTTGGTATTTATTTCACTCTCGTTTTTCAAATTATTACAAGGGTATATTATGTTGTTTGAATTAATGTTTGATCCTGTTTAAGGTCTTTTAATGTGAATATGAATATTACATGATAACGATATCCGTAATAATATATGAAATATTTGCAATCTCATTAAAATCAGATCTTAGTTCTCGCTATCGCTAAACAAAGATCTGAGGACATCCCATTAGGGGTCGCGTCTGAACGACCTTTCATCCGACCAATCAGAGCGTCGCTTACCAGATCATGAAAGTGAAAGTCGGAATGGGATTTCTAATTATGCAACCTCGAAAACTTTTGACACTGGGTATTCCAAACGATAGTTACGGGGTTAACAACTGAATCCATACATTCTAGACCATATATTAGCCATTCCCGAATGTTCTTTTGTTCAGGTTTCAATTTTTGAATCGAGAATTTGTCAAAATATGTTTTGAAGCGCAGTCGTCAATTTGAAATTAGTGCCGTAAAAAACGAGTAGGCTGCCTTCTGATTGGCCAATGAAGACTTCTTGTCAGTCATTCCATTGGTCGATCAAAGTTCGCGCAAGGTCGGTCTGACATGACCCGTAATGGAATGTCCTCAGATCTTTGTTTAACGGTAGTGAGAACTAAGATCTGATTTTTATGAGATTGGAAATATTTGTTACTGGAATCCATTTCCAGAGGCTCTTTTCTTCAGTTGGAAATTGACTTTTTTATCATTTCATTTTTATAAAAGGTATTCAATCTTGAAAGTATTGTTTATTGTCAGATCAGCCTGTAGTTACCACTGAGGTGACACTAAAATAGAAATAATGCTCTCACATAGAGCTGTGTTCAAGAAGGACTCCTCTTTAGTGGCTGCTGGCCATGTTTATCTGGAATCTTAATAAAATCTTTGACTGGGTTGGTGTATTTAGTTTTCTGAGAACCAGCTGTGACTGTACAAGGCTATCGTCCAGCACTTACCCACCTATATACCCCAGCACACAGATTTGTTCCCATTTCTTGCACCCTTCACACCTGCATTGAATTTTGCCAGTTACGTTACACTGAGAAATGTAAAGATAATCAAAATTTACATAGCATTTAATATTCAGAATAATCATTGCAGATTTCACTTTTTGATATATAGTGTTATGATATTCAGTGTCATGAGATAGCTTATACAACTGACAAGATCTGATGCTGTTAATCCCCAGTTTCAATATTGTGTTGTATCAATGTGTGTCATTTGTATGATCTAACATACATTCATGCTCATAATATCAATGAGGTATTCATCTATGATGTTGATTTTTTAATTATCTATAATTTTGTGTGACATTTTAGTAATCTACTTATGTTTCTATAGTAATTATATGATTTTTGCTTTGTCTATAATTCTTCCATCCTAAATTGATTATGATTCTTAATCTTTCACTGTTTCATTAGTTTAAGCATATTTTCCATTGATGAAACGAAGAGTTGATATGTTGGAAGGTAGGTTAGTGATAAGTTGAGAATGGAAACAGGCATGCGTTATTTGTACTGAGGTCCAGGCCGAGTTGCCTCTATGACTATGTTGTCATCTCATCGTCACTCTACACAGATATGAACGGGCTCGGACCGGTGTTCCCAGACGACCTGGATGACCTCCCGCGTCGGAATGAATCTGCTCGGCAGCGACGTAGAGAAGGACTTTTTCCCAGCCCACGGGTAGGCTATACATACGTAGAGTGTTTGAAATAAGGGGCGTCCTGGGGTCCTTGAGGGTGGCTCCCACAGTGTTGTTTATATTTTGGGACCCCTTTTTCTTTAACTTTTACAAGTATGGCTAAGACAAACATTGTACATGCCACAATGTATGATCTGATTTGTCAAAAATAAATCTCATTGGTAATATTGAGGCACAGTATGCCGTCTTTGGAGATGGGAAATGATGGTGTAGGGTAGCCCAATGGTCAAGGTATTTACTTGTCCCACTGAACATCAGGTTCAATTCTCAACATGGGTAGTGTGAAGCCCATTCTTGGTGTCTCTTTTCCCTCAGTCCCAGATCTGATCCTTTCATGACTCATCTCTTAGAGTTCTTTTTCTCCCTTGTACAGAAATATTTTCTTTAATGTGATGACATTGACCTCATAAATGATTCCAGCACTTTTGTTATGTGATAGGAAATTGAAAGAAATTTCGGTAAGCACTTCCTCGTTTAAGATGATTATGATGACTAGATGATTGTTCGGGTTAACATGAAGAAAACTTGTGTTTTAAACTTTCCATAATTTCCAACAAGATTGATGCCTGTTGTTGTAGCCTGGGTCTGTGACTAGCTTGGATGTGGATCAGATTGCCAGGAAGAATGAGCAGCGTTTGAAGAAACTCCGGGACATTCAAGGTAGGAGCAGTGTCACTGTTCACACTCTTAACTGTTTAATGAACGGAGAATTAAATGATCATCATAGAAAACCTTTTACAGTGATTTTATTAAATTTATGAGAACAATTTCCTCAATAAAGGTGGATCAGTGGCTTTGGGTGCTGCATTTTTCTGTACAGAGTTGTGCCCCTTAGATGTACCAGGCTCCATTGATAATGAGTTCTAATGTCAGAATGACACTGATCTTGATCCTTAGTGAGCAACATACCCATGCTCCTGGGTTTCACCCAAACTATATGTGTGGCACTTCCCCCAACAACAAGCTGACATTCCATAAGATGACTGAAAACTTAAACATTAGCACAACTCACTCATTCTGATACATACATCTAGTGTTCAAGTTGACATCAGCACAACTCACTCACTCCAATATACATATCTAGTGTTCAAGTTGACGTCAGCACAACTCGCTCACTCCAATATACATATCTAGTGTTCAAGTTGACGTCAGCACAACTCACTCATTCTGATACTTACATCTAGTGTTCAAGTTGACGTCAGCACAACTCACTCACTCCGAGACACATATCTCGTGTTCAAGTTGACGTCAGAACAACTCAATCACTCCGAGACACATATCTAGTGTTCAAGTTGACATCAGCACAACTCACTCACTCCGAGACACATACCTAGTGTTCAAGTTGACCTCAGCACAACTCACTCATTCTGATACATACATCTAGTGTTCAAGTTGACGTCAGCACAACTCACTCTCTCCAATATACATATCTAGTGTTCAAGTTGACGTCAGAACAACTCAATCACTCCGAGACACATATCCAGTGTTCAAGTTGACGTCAGCACAACTCGCTCACTCCGAGACACATACCTAGTGTTCAAGTTGACCTCAGCACAACTCACTCATTCTGATACATACATCTAGTGTTCAAGTTGACGTCAGCACAACTCACTCTCTCCAATATACATATCTAGTGTTCAAGTTGACGTCAGAACAACTCAATCACTCCGAGACACATATCCAGTGTTCAAGTTGACGTCAGCACAACTCGCTCACTCCGAGACACATACCTAGTGTTCAAGTTGACGTCAGCACAACTCGCTCACTCTGAGACACATATCTCATTCTAAGTTGACGTCAGCACAACTCACTCACTCCAATATACATATCTAGTGTTCAAGTTGACGTCAGCACAACTCAATCACTCCGAGACACATATCTAGTGTTCAAGTTGACGTCAGCACAACTCACTCACTCCGAGACACATATCTAGTGTTCAAGTTGACGTCAGCACAACTCACTCATTCTGATACATACATCTAGTGTCCAAGTTGACGTCAGCACAACTCGCTCACTCCGAGACACATATCTCGTTCTAAGTTGACGTCAGCACAACTCACTCACTCCGAGACACATATCTAGTGTTCAAGTTGACGTCAGCACAACTCACTCACACCGAGACATATCTCTTGTTCTAGGTATAGTTGACAATGTTTACATCACAACATGAATGTGACAATAAGGTCTTCCTATATTTCCAGGTGATGATCTGTCTCTCAATGACCCTGATGATGTCCTGGACAGGTTTATGTCCAAACAGGCTCACAACAGGTAGGATTGACCATCCAGTGTACTGGGTTACATCAAAATGTCAACGTCAGCTTTAAAAGTGCATGCTTCTTCCATGTGGTAACCCACCATGCATGGGTGTTTGTGATTAACACGCTTCAAGATAAATGTTGTATGTTATTAAATGTTGATTTAACCGGAATGGGATCTACTCATTTGCACCTTAAGTCTTTCATTTGCATTTTTCACTTTTTAAAAAAGAAATAATTTAGGCTAAAAAAAAAAGAGTCTTGGTTCTCAGGCACTGCCCGCATCATCATAAATTTCGCTGCATGTTTCATTTTTATTTCCAATTTTATGAAACAACAACCAAAAATCCTTCAATATTCCATGTCCAACGGTAGTCAAATACTGTAGTCCAGTATTTTTTCATCAAGGAATACATTTATTTAGGGAGGCCCTTTCTCTGGTTGATTGTACACTTGTACACGACTGTTTAGTTGGTTACAGGACTGTGTATTTGGTTACATACTAGTTTGAACAACAACACAAAACACCGCCCGCCTGCACTATATTTTCAAAAGCCATTGCCTGAGAACCAATTCTTTTATTTTTTTAAGCATTAAGTTGCAAATTTCTGAATCATTATGGATTTCATGTTTTTGAATAACCTAGATGTGTTTGATAAGTTAACTGATTCATTTATTTCCAACTTACACAGGGATTTTGTAACTGAGCTTGATTCAGAGACCGATACCTTTGTAAGTCCCCTATAGAACCCACGTACACGTAATACATTAGACCAGGCTTTGCTATCCTTAAGATCAGTACAACAGCCAGGACCTGCAACACAGCCTAGTATTGATAGTTCACTAATATGTAGTGAGTGTTTGTTACTAACCAGTTTAGTTTTCCATGTAATTGTGGCCATCTGAAGTGGTAGTATCAATGGGGAAGGATTGTGTATTTCAACTTCTTGTATTCCTTTGGGTGATGTTTTGGTACACTGGCTGGATAAAGGAGCTGGTACCTGTACCACGATGTTGCAGTGAATGAGTCCAAGAAGTTAAACTCCATGCACCAATCATGTCTTCTTTACAGATTATTAACAATTCAGTTGATTTTTTAATTTGTAGATAAATTATTTTCCTGTTTGAAAGCCAGTCAGTTGTTTGACCCTTTTGTGTTATTTTTGGCCCAGTATAGAAAAAGTGTTTATGGCGTTTTGCTTTTACACACTTTAGGCAGAGATTTGGCAAAATTGTAGGTAAATTAATTTAAGAAATGAGGTTGATTGCTTGACCAACCGAGGTTTCTTTTACTTTAATCACCAATCATGTTTGCAATAGCACTTGCACAGCGGTCCAGTATAGCAGCTACCATTGATGTCAATCTCCTTGATAGGACTGCCAATGTTTGCAATAGCACTTGCACTGCGGTCCAGTATAGCAGCTACTATTGATGTCAATCTCCTTGATAGGACTTCCAATGTTTGCAATAGCACTTGCACAGCGGTCCAGTATAGCAGCTACTATTGATGTCAATCTCCTTGATAGGACTGACAATGTTTGCAATAGCACTTGCACAGAGGTCCAGTATAGCAGCTACTATTGATGTCAGTTGCCTTGATAGGACTGCCAATGTTTGCAATAGCACTTGCACAGCGGTCCAGTATAGCAGCTACCATTGATGTCAATCTCCTTGATAGGACTGCCAATGTTTGCAATAGCACTTGCACAGCGGTCCAGTATAGCAGCTACCATTGATGTCAATCGCCTTGATAGGACTGCCAGTGTTTGCAGCAGCACTTGCACAGCAGTCCAGTATAGCAGCTACCATTGATGTCAATCTCCTTGATAGGACTGCCAATGTTTGCAATAGCACTTGCACTGCGGTCCAGTATAGCAGCTACTATTGATGTCAATCTCCTTGATAGGACTGCCAATGTTTGCAATAGCACTTGCACAGCTGTCCAGTATAGCAGCTACCATTGATGTCAATCTCCTTGATAGGACTGCCAATGTTTGCAATAGCACTTGCACAGCGGTCAAGTATAGCAGCTACTATTGATGTCAATCGCCTTGATAGGACTGCCAGTGTTTGCAGCAGCACTTGCACAGCAGTCCAGTATAGCAGCTACCATTGATGTCAATCTCCTTGATAGGACTGCCAATGTTTGCAATAGCACTTGCACAGCGGTCCAGTATAGCAGCTACCATTGATGTCAATCTCCTTGATAGGACTGCCAATGTTTGCAATAGCACTTGCATAGCGGTCCAGTATAGCAGCTACTATTGATGTCAATCTCCTTGATAGGACTGCCAATGTTTGCAATAGCACTTGCACAGCGGTCCAGTATAGCAGCTACCATTGATGTCAATCTCCTTGATAGGACTGCCAATGTTTGCAATAGCACTTGCACAGCGGTCCAGTATAGCAGCTACTATTGATGTCAGTCGCCTTGATAGGACTGCCAATGTTTGCAATAGCACTTGCACAGCGGTCCAGTATAGCAGCTACCATTGATGTCAATCACCTTGATAGGACTGCCAATGTTTGCAATAGCACTTGCACAGCGGTCCAGTATAGCAGCTACCATTGATGTCAATCACCTTGATAGGACTGCCAGTGTTTGCAATAGCACTTGCACAGCGGTCCAGTATAGCAGCTACCATTGATGTCAATCACCTTGATAGGACTGCCAGTGTTTGCAATAGCACTGGCACAGCGGTCCAGTATAGCAGCTACCTTTGATGTCAATCTCCTTGATAGGACTGCCAGTGTTTGCAATAGCACTGGCACAGCGGTCCAGTATAGCAGCTACTATTGATGTCAATCACCTTGATAGGACTGCCAGTGTTTGCAATGTCCAGCTGCACCGCATGCTGCCAGCACAATGTCTTGTACAACTAACACCTAGTTCAGCTATTACACATTGCTATTACAGATACTACCCTCTCCTGTTCCCACAATGAAATGGGTTTAACCCAGGTATCAATGTAACAAGGCTTGGCAGTGTGGATTTAATCCTAGATGTGTTCTTCTTCTCATATATAAATTTATATAGATGTGCTCTTTCCCCAACTGTACCACAGCTGTAGTTGAGCTATTCAGGCCAGTTACGGATAACTTGATCCTACCTTAATGTTTGCTATCCTATGTAGACTGTGGCAGATAATGTTCTTATTTCAAAGAGGACCCCATTGTAGTCCTTGCACCCTTCATGCCATGCTTGTCAGGATTCTGTTGATAGAAATATGTCTATGTTCCTCATGTTTGTGTATCATGGAAAGGTAAAAATAACCCCATAAAAAGTTAATATGAATGGTATATTAATAGTTTGACTGTATCGGTTAACTGATTTTAAAGCAGACAAAACAACAATGACAACTAGGCATTATATCTTGTATGTTGATGAAATAGCCATTACAGAAGATCACAACATTTGACCTTATCCAGAACAATGTAGAACATTAGTTGCTGTTCAATGACTAAGATATTCATCTCGTTGCATTTCTTGTTTTTTCAATTGTAATTGGATAACAACATATGTGGTAGATAGGCCATAACATGCAGTTATCTCATAGTCATAGCAACAGTAGTGCATGTAATACGTATCTAGCGTAGATAACCATGCCTGGATGTAGGGCTTCCTCAGCTCAGAACCAGTGGCGGATACGCCTATGCTATTTCTCCTGTTTTTCCAATCTATTTCTTGCTCTAAATCAAGTATAAATCCCATAAATACCAATATTCATCATCTCAGTCACTGGTATATAATTGTGCAATACCTTCTGCCTGGATCTATGGAGAAAGTCTTCAGTTATCTGTCAAGTTATCTTTTAAACAGAGTTCATTGTTAGACCATAGGGATTCTGCAGAATAATTGTGCATTACCTTCTGCCTGGATCTATACAGAAAGTCTTCAGTTATCTATCAAGTTATCTTTTAAACAGAGTTCATTGTTAGACCATAGGGATTCTGCAGAGTCCATGATGTTACATCGTCATACTGAAAATATAAAGCTGATGGAGTGAAGTGGCTAAGGTTTCACTGTATGTTTGAAATAAGCATTAGTCTTGGGATCCATATCTTAACCCCAAATTTTGAAGATTAATGATCAAAGTTGTCCCCAGATTAAGACACTACAGCAGAAAGTCTGAGGACCCTCCTTAGTTTGTAACATTGTTGATTGTGAGTCAGTGTTGGTGTTGCTTGTTTCAGACCCCCTACAAGTCAGACTATGCAGGATGATTCCTGGCTTCAGCCTGGCAGCAAGCTGTCCCGCTACTGAGCCCTGTGACTCCTCCACACCTAGCCTCATACAGTGCTGCACATCGCCTCATCTAGCTCACCTCGCATCTGTGTCAGGCAGCATCTCAGTCACTCCGATCCATCGCCACTTCCTTCACCATGTGTCATCAGGCCTCATCAACTGACATCCTGTTTAAATGGTATGCTTCAGCTTAACGTCTGAGATGTCACCATGCCTCATCAACTGACATCATCGGGTCTAAGTGGTATGCTTCAGATGAACGTCTGAGTTGTCACCTCGCCTCATCAACTGACATCTGGTCTAAGTGGTATGCTATAGATTAACGCCTGAGATGTCACCATGCCTCATCAACTGACATCTGGACGTAGTGAAATGATTCAGCTGAAGGATACTTTCTTAGTGACTCAGTAAATGTTCAGTGACTAAGCTGAGTTTTTCAGCTGATCTGCAGCTCCAGCTGACCGATCTCATGCACCATCTCCCTTCACATTCTGCTGACCTTGACCTTGATGTCACTGCCATGAAGGCAAGACTATGAAGTGATTCCTCAAGAATCTTGTCTCATGTCTTTGTGAGGTACAAGAAATATCCATAAGATCCTGAGGAGGGTTCATGCAACCTATTTTGTGCAAACTTCAACATTTTCTGTGCAAATTCCAACAATGTCATATGCAGCACAGGTTCACTTTATCCATTAAAGTCAGTGCTAATTGTGACCTACAACCGCTTTGCCAGTTCCTGTATATACATTCCTGTGTTGAGGTAGACTCTGTTGGTGCGGTACGTGAGAGTCTCAAGGACAAACAAGTGGAATAACAGTTTAAATCAAAATTACCATATCTCTGATGACATATTATTAATGTTCTGACAGCTTTTCTAATTGCATAAGTGCATGCATCAGCGTGTGCATCTTCCCGAGGTAAGCATATCCACTAGCCTGAATCAAAGCCTATGAAACAAGACTTGAATAAAAAGGCTAGTGGACGCTCTTGCCTCGGGAAGATGCAGTGTGTGATACAGTGAGCTATACCTAGTATTGTCTTATTTATTACATTCCACTGACATGATATTACATATTATGTACATGCATATCACATATCAGACGATCCATTACCGACAGATGAACGCATAAAGATGAGAGTTATCTCCCATTCTCCATGGCCAGGGTCATCACAGTCTACACATATGTAAATATGCATTTCATCTTTATAGGTTCACAGTATATGAATACCTCAAGAGATACTCTATTGTCTGTAGTTTCATGTCTATATATGTGATGAGTGTTTTGTTTTTAAAAAAATTGCCATACAACTAATCTTAGTGGTGCAAAGAGATTCTCTGTTCAAGAGATCTACTATTCTGAACAGGTCACTTCAGTTTTCCTGGATCCTTTCATCAAACAGTCTTTGAAGTTGAGTCACTTTTTAATATTGAAATAATCGCCAAAGCTTTGAAAATAGATACATATTTCAGAATTGGTAGGATTGACAAACTTCATCATTCCCCACATAGGACAGTGGAGTGCACAGCATCGTTTTTATAAGATGAAGTGCACATATTACTGGATGCATGTGGCCCTGACTTTTGGGTGCATGACTGTTTGTAGTCTTATGCACAATTCTATCCTAAACTGGGCTGTCGGTCAACATAATAGACAACTCTTTGTTGCATACAATTTTGGGGTTATATTTAGGTTTTGCTTGGCCAGACACTTGTTAGTAACAGTTTAATCAGAAGGCATTGGTGTAAGTATAAAATGAACATGATAGACTTTTGTGGGTCTGGAACAAATAATGTCATGTTGTATAATGTCACTGACTTGAGCATCATCGCTCAGTGTGAACATTGTGTAAGAGTTGTGTGCCTTCCTCACCACTGCCTCAAGCTCCTCCCCAGCATGTATCACCTTGGTTACCAGCGTATCACCTTGGTTACCACCTGGTACCATCGCTGCCACCAGTGTGCAAACAGCTATTACAAGAATCTTAAATTTTTTCCCTCTAACCCCCAATATAGTGACATTTATATTTTTCTGTATTTCTTTGGGAATGCCATTTTCGTGAATATTGGGAAAGATTTTATGACTGTTTTCTGTTTTCTTTGTTTGATAATATTGGTTTGAAATTGCAGACTAACGGAAAAGCACCCAACTGCCCCCTTACATTCTCACTGTACCAATTACATGATAGTTAAATTGACACCGAATATTTTTTAGCTGGAGAAGAGTATTCACTGTCCTGAAAGCCATCACTTGTTTGTAATCATAACAGTCAGTCAGGGTTGATTTCAACCTCTTTGGTCGCCCAGCACAGTAGGGAGTTTTGACTGGTGGCAGGTATCGCTGTGAGGAGCTTGCCACTGCCTTGACATCTTCTTATAGATTGACCAGGCAGGGCTTTCTTTCATGGTTTTTCTTTTTCTTTCCGTCTAAGAAAAAAACACTGGTGAGGAAAGGATAACTTTTGGCATGTACTGATTCAATTTCACCGTCTTTGAGGGGTGGGGGTAGGGGGAACAATATTGTCCTGATATTCTGTTATTAGGCAGCATTCTAATGTGTAAATATATTGCCAAAGATGTATATTTATAATATTCTTAACTGTCAGAATATTGATGTGCGTTTGTATAGAATGTGATGAATGTAAATATGTAGGTGTAATTTGTTTATGAAACTTGTCGTTGTAAATGCCTCTACTTATTTATTGAAAAAGGATCTGTTAAAGAATGTTGAAAATTGTCCTCTTATTTCAGACTTAACAATTACCATAAATGTAATCCACAGGCCATTGAAATTGTAAGTAATGTTATTTTGCTTTAGGTGTCCTGGTTTTGATTTCATTACATGTAATGTGGATTACAGGTAGTTTTGTCAAAGTATACAAAACATGAACACTGTATGAAACTATTGTAAGTGTAACTGTATTTCTTCCTGTATGATTTCATGTGTAACCAGAGTGTCTCTGTGCTGTCATCACCCGCTGTTTTATTACTGATTAAGAAAAGGTGTTTTCATTTGATACCTCGCCAATCATTTGATACCTCTCCCATAGAGACTTGCGTTGAATCCAGAGTAAAAGTAAAGGATTTGATTTTATTGTTGTTGTATAGACAGGACTGATTGTACAAAGGCTGTTTTATGTCCATAGATCTGGAAGCTAATGCCACATATTGTTAAATAAAGCACCTCATTATCTACAGCACTATGCAAAATGTATGAATCAAAATCTGGTCATTGTCGTGATACAGCTTGTTTATTACATAGTTATCTGTCTGTGATGTGAGTTGTTGACAACTGTTGCCGTGTTGAAAACTGGCTTTAGTGTTGAAACTATTTTTGTGACAACCAAATGTGAAATTTATGTCAGGAGGAACAGAATTGTACTTAAGAATGTATTCTACCCAAAGGAAGTTAATGAAGACCTGATTTTTTCATATGACTGGAGTTAAGTTGTCATGGCATGATTGATTAACTATAGTCACATGAAGAATCAGGTGTTCTTTAACTTCTTTTGAGTAGGATGTGATTGATTTTGATTTGATTCTGAAGTTAGAGGTAAAATATCATTTGATGCCCATATTTGGAGGAAAATAGTTTGCGGGATATAAAAACATATTTTATATTAGGTGGATGTTATTGAACTAGTTTAAGTTGCACAAGTTGTTTATTATAAGGTGCACACTTATTTATGCTAGAAGGATGCCGAGATATGCTAATATTATGAGATGACAATGTCTGTTTGTTGTGCCTTAAATTTCAAGCATCTTCTTGGTATCATAATTCAAACTGGAATTTTTTCAAATAATTAAATGTATGCATATATATTTTGATTCACGGCCTACCCGACATGTATATCTTCCCTTGTGTCATAGGTATTAAGTCAATAATTTGTCATTTCATTTTATGATTTTAAGAGTTGTTTCCCTTTGATTGCTATGTTGTATAATCATGACGTTTTAGTTGATCTCTGTTACTGGTGATCTGTGGATGATTATTTATGGTGTTAGAGTGGCGCCTACTGTATGATGTAGACAGGTGCTGTTTGGGCGGAGAGTTGGAGTGTAGAGTGCACTCCCTGACAGTGAAGGGTAGAGTGTCCTCAATCTGTGTACATTGTGTTAAAGCTATATACTGTGTGATACAGGTACATAACAGATTCCCAGTATTCTAAAGCCTCTTGTTTGATCTGGAGGTTCTTAGTGTTAAATTGTATATGAATATTTTTCATACTAGGCACATGCTGTTGAAAAACAAGGCATTCTCACATTCATGAACTGTTTCTATCTCATTAAAATCAGATCTTAGTTCTCGCTATGGCTAAACAAAGATCTGAGGACATCCCTTTAAGGGTCAGGGGGCACGGGTGGCCCAGTCGTCATAGCGCCGCGATTCGCTGTGCAGAGTTGCGTCCCTTGGGCACGCCAGAAACCTATGATTGTGGGTTCGAATCCCGGTTCGCCCCGATTATGTTTCTAGGTTTGTCAGCACCATACCCGTGCTCGTGGGTTTCACCGAAGTGGTAAACGTCTGAGACCTGCATCACTTCGGGCTTTCCTCCCACATTAAGCTGACACGCGGCGATATAAGTGGAATACTGTTAAAAGCGGCGTTAAACCAAACTCACTCACTCACTCACTTTAAGGGTCACGTTAGAACGACCTTTCATCCAACCAATCAGAGCGTCACTTACCAGATCATGAAAGTCACAGTCGGAATGTATTTTCTAATCATGCAACCACGAAATATTTAACACGGGGTATTCCGAACGACAGTTACGGGTTTTATGATTATACCATACAATCTAGGCAATCTATAAGCCATTCCAGAATGTTCTTATCAGTTTTAATTTAATCGAGAATACGTCAAACTATGTTTCGAAGCGTAGTCGCCTGTTTGAAACGTCGTAAAGCTCGAGAAAGCTGCCTTCTGATTGGCTAATGTCGATTTCTTGTCAGTCATTTCATTGGTCGGTCAAAATTCGCGAAAGGTCGTTCTGGCGTGACCCGTAATGGGATGTCCTCAGATCTTTGTTTAG